CAACGCTTGCAACTCACTAGTTTCCGAGATGCAGAAATAACATATAAAGATTCCATAGCTAATTCTAATCCATAAAAAGATAACGATGTTGTACAAACAACTTCCTTTTTATATTACACTCTGTAAAAAGTGCATAAAATATATTTTTTAAATTCTTTTAAATTTCTCTTCCTTTTTTATGTTTTTATAAATTAACTGTAATAATCGTTTAAATCTAACTGAAAGTATCTAGACGATGAAAATCATAAATTTTAATCGATTTCAGCTAGAATTATTATCAATGTTACTTTATAGCCAAGATAGTGACTTTAATTGAAATTATTTATAGGTATAACTCTAAGCGCCCAGTTACACGAGGAGAAAGTTTTCGCCGCGTGGCTACCGCCCCGTTACCGCGCCTTCATGTACATTAATGGCGAATCTGAATTCTATTTACTAGGCAACAACATTTAAATTCCTCTGAACAATTCAACCCGGTCTCGCCCACGTGTCCGGGATGCTCATTTAAGTTAAAACACTTATTTAAATAAATAGAGCGTATTTTGCCATGACAGTTAGACGCACGCGGTTGCTGCGCGGCGGCAACGCGAACTCCGCTCGGCGACCGCGCGACGGCCGCGCGGGATGAACATAATGAAATTCGTGTCGAGTACAGCGCCCTAAAAGTAAAAGATTTAGGACTATGATGAATGTGGTTTAAAATACTCATAATGTCTCAAAGAATCCTCTCCTGAAATGCCTACAATATAACACAAACCACTGCACATGATTTGAAATTGGTAATAAATGTAGGTACTGCGTCATTTAGGTGGACAGTGTCGTCGCGGATTATACTTACGTTAACAGATATTTCTTTAAAAAGAAGTAACAAAAATATCGCACATAAAATAACGATGAAAATCGTTTTCACATAAACGAACTTTTTACAAATTTTGTCTTAGTGTCAACTTCTTGCATTTAAAAAATATGTTTATTTTAGACACGGTGCCAAAGCGTGCTGTTGACAACTAGTGATGAACCCTTAAACAAACGTTGTAACTAACTACTGTATAACTATACAGTACTAATAAAGCAAGTATACGAGTACAAGCGATAAATATTCTATCTTCTTCCGTTTACAATTGTTGCGATGTCAGTTGTAATGAAAACTAGTGAATCTTGATAATATTTATAAATAAATAATGTATTGAAAAAGGCGTCATTTCAAGTTTAAAAAGAAATACGTAAGTACCTATTTACCTATACCGATTATACGTACACGCATTTAGAAAAGTATATCGTCTTTACTGACTTGTAACTTTGAAAAGTCACGGACTCGTTAGTTACAAGGATGTTGTAGTACCGCCATGTATTTTTTATGTATGCCTAACATACCTTATTGTTACCCAAAATAAACAAGATACAAGTTTGGTCTAAGAGTAAAAAATGGCAAAAGTAATTGCAAATCATAATGTTTATTCATAGCACGTAAGACTGCATCTAATTTCATTTCATAGATACGTAGAACAGATAGACGTATCTAGGACTAGAAACAACGTAAACTGAGTGAAGTGACCTAAAAGCTGGAACGGCGGGCGCCTTTTAACTTGTCTCACTTTTGAAATAGACACCAGCTTTCTTAAAACTCCGAACGTCGAATGCCACGTTTAGGTACGTTATGTTTTTAACCGATTTTATCTAAGGTAAAGTTCGTGTCTCTTTTATAATGTACTGCGCATTTTCATATCTTTTTATCGTTAATGAAATTATCATGGTTTCGGGGTCCTTTAACTTATTGCATTTAAAGCTCAATTCTTGTCGGTGTAGAGTTCACATTTCTCTTCTTCTTGATTTGTTTTTCATGTTACTTACCTTATATCTGACTGCTATTGACGTACATTGTGTATGTACACACGTGTCACTTACCTTCAAACATTGTTTTACATGAAATCATCAGGCCGCTCAATGTGGCTCTACATATTCCGTCTTCTATTATCTGTGGTACCTTACCATTAAAAATGAATATACAAAGATTCTATACACGTTGCAGAAGCTAATCGACATTATTCGTACCTGTAATAGATACAGTCGAAATCAGAGTAATTTTTCAAAGCCATTAACAGTAGCTATTACGGCTGCTCCATAACAAAAGCTAGTAAGTGTTCAGACAAGTTCAGACAAAATTTTACAGGAGAGACTAAAAATCGCGAACACAAATCAAGGTCGCTCTTAAACAATTTTCCTTTTAACAAAAAGTAATAGTATTAGGTAGAGTACCAATCAACCAATATAATCGATGTCACAGTAATGATCCCAACTTATATATTACATATTTTACACTTATTGACTTTGAACATTTATATACATTTAGATATTGCATTAAAAATTTTGGAATAAAGATTGATTTTGTTTGACTAAGTACTTTTATTAATAAAACAACTAATATTTTGAGTATGAGTAAAGTACATTATCAACTAATTGCCAATTCAAATACCCAGTAAAAGCGCTTTAACTACTTTAAAACCTAGCAAGTCTCAAATACTTGCTGTTTTGAATTGGTTAAAGTACCTACAAGATTTTTGACTGTTCACGAACCAGACAGATGCGCCTTACTAGGTTTTATGGTTTCCAAACGTCTCATAAATTGTAGAATTTTGATGCGGCTGTTACTGTTAGGTAAGTACTGATTATAGAAGTAGTATTCCGTTAACAAATTATTTCAAAAATTGGTCCCTTACTAGGTTTTGCTCTGGAACAGCCGATTACATGTGTTTCCGCTATGACCGACGTCGTACGTGTACGCCTTCGTACACTGTATACGTTCTAGCTTGTTGTGATATCACATTGTTACACATTTTGCTAAATGTTTTCAAACAATCTGTCACTTTTTATTTCTCAGACTCAGAACATCCAATAAGTAATCAGAGAATTTCTTGTGTATTGGTCACTGTAACCGCTAGTTTTTCAATTATCTTTTAATAGCTGCCCGTAATGCACAGTACATTTCATTATAGATACGTGATACGTGTAGTCCTACTTACATATGTGATATTTTGAAATTGTTGAAGTGTGAATGAAATTAATAAAACCCAGTAATGTAATAAATCAAATGTTTACCTGTGAAACTAATTCGAAAAATGTATTATGATTAGCCTTTAAGAATAGGCACGTAAGGTACCTTCACACGCAAACATAAAATGATACGTCATATTTGGAACAAAAAAATTAACATTTTTAACGTTTTGAAACGAAAATTTTGTCTCATTTGTCATCTTATGTACATTTATCGGTAAGTTGAAAAAGGTTCAAATTAAATTGAATCAAAGAAATAAAAACCCATTTTTTACATGATTTTGTTCCTAACGATATTTTTGAGATCTTTTGTATGGAAAGCCAAGAAGAATGGAATACGTTTATTTTCCAGAATACAGTAACAATAAAGGTCTTAAGTAAAATTAGGTACCTACATTGTATTCAACCCGCAAGCAGATGTGCAAATATTAATAGGATTTCATGTTTGGTCTGTATCGTTAATTGCACTTCAAATTAATGTAAATTTGTATTTCAAAATTCCAATTATTCTTTATTACTACAGAAGCAATGTGTCAAAAGCCATTTTGTCAATTGTAATTTAAAAGTATGTCCTTGTAACAATTTAATTTCATGTGAAACGAAAAGGTAGCAATATTTCCCTGCACGTACTCTTTCACACCCTTACCGAGGATATAACTATAGAATATATATATAACTAGAGAAATAGAGACAAAATAAGGGCCATCCATCTGTGTTTTCGTCTCCGTATATTCCAAAAATATTCTGTGTTTATTGTAATAAAGATAATATTTCTAACTATGGTGTTCCATTCGGTGATGTGGGTAAACAGCAAAATATCTAATTACAAAACAAACGGAATCACATTTCATCGGTAATCAAATATGAAATATGTGATTTTTAAATTCTCGTCCATTAATTAATTGTTAGTTGTTTCCAATTCGGGCTGGCCAATTGGAGCGCCGTTGTCACCGTAATGATTTGGCAGAATAGTTTCAAACAAATTAAATGACATGTCTGTATTTCTGGTTATATACTCGGTGCACACCCCCGACTTACTCAGGAAAGAAATGCGAAAGTAGTGGCTAGCCTAACCTTGAAAGTAGTTTGCATAAGGCACTTTCGGCGCATAGTGTAAAGGCTAAAAGAGACCGACCAACATGAAGCAAGTTTGGGAGAGGCGCATGTTCCATCATGATAACACAAGATCTTAAGACGGATGCATGTTTGAGACATTTCGATAAACTATGTGATCGTATAAAGTTCCGCCAGCGTCAATTTGATGAACCGTATCGCAAAACACTAGAAAAACAATGTTATTGTTTATTTATTGTATCTTATGGTGATCGGAATTGAGTTAATTTATTTAAAGTATCAACGTTTTCTTAGTACGGATTTACTTATTTCGTCATCAATGGTTATAAAATTCTTCTTTTTTTACTGTTTATTTTCTGAACATTCCAAAATATAGGTAGACTCATGTTTATTTTTTAAATGGCTAAAGTATTTAAATACGTAAACAACCAATGTAGTTTGGTATTGTTTGACATAATAATTTTTAGCAAATAGGTAGGTAGGAAAAAATAATTTTCACGTCTCATACTCTTAAAGTTCGTATTTATGCTGGGTGAAGGCTGCATGAAATAGGATTTTATGCTCAAGTCATTGACTTACAATTATATGTAAGTCAATGGCTCTAGTGCATAGAATAGGATTTTATGCTCTAGTGCACAAAATAAAAAACCATCACATTAAATATGTCTAATTGTTGTAATTTTACATTCAATATTATTAAATATTCGTTTATTTGTAATATTGCTGTTTAATTTCCTCGCAATCGAAGTGAAAAGCAGAGTGTATAACTCGTTCATGAAACCCATTTCACCCTCGACTTAAGTCCGAGAAGCACCAGGATTTGTGGAAGGGAATGTCCGCGTTATTCTTTACTTTAGCTAAATTAACTCCCTCAATTCCGATCAATGCTTATGACACATAACTCACTTTTTATAAATTGGCCCATTAAATAGCCTCAAACCTAGATCCATCTTTTGAGCCTAATGTTAAAAATGACTTTTGACGCAGGTCTTCAAGGTCGTACATGGAGATGTCTTATACGAACAGAAAACATCTACATCTACCGGCGGCGTTAGTGTGTATTAACTACCGAACTCTTGCGGCGATAGCGGTGGTCGGATCAGCCTTAACTATTTTTTATTACTTAGGGTTGCCAGTGTGAGTATTATGTCAGAATATCGAATAAGGTTATATACAAGGTTATTTGTAAAATATTAACAATCTCTTCTCCACAGGGAGACAAATAAGGACAGCCTTATCCCACGCTAGGTCGGCACAACGTGTGTTTTTCTTCCACTCTCCCCTATCAGCCGGCATTTCAATACGTATGTGAGAAGTGGACAAATCAACAACTCTTGTTCCATGACTTTTTAGAAAACATAATAGACTTACCAAAATTTCCTTTTGAGTTTTTGTTGTTCTAAATGACACTTTTTAGGTCTGTACTTGGTGGTAACTTGTTTACCTACCTGGCGCGCCTCCGCCTACCGCGTTCTTTCATTTGCTGCCGCACAGAGTTATCACCGTTTAGAGCGATCTATTTAAACATTTTTGTTGTTGTGCAAAAGTAAAATGTGATATTATTAAAAGTCGTGGAACAGAAGTTGTTGTTTATGTTATTAGTAATACAGTCCTGCGAGATTGTTAGTGTTTGACAATAACGCTGTATATTTATCGAGTTTTTTAGATTAGCGGCCTATCTGCATATCACGAATATCTAATCCTTCAGATTGTTTAAAAAAAAATGATGCGTGTCAGGCGCGCAAATCGTATACCTACCAGCTAATATAGTTACGTCATTATGTTTTATTTACAATAAAATTTTGCACGGTCCTGAATACTGTTGCGTAATAAATAAATCAAATCTTGGGCACCGTTCTTAAAAGTCAACGATATGCTGTAAATAATAAATAATTTAACTAAAGCAATCTTTAAACCAAACCTCGTGGGGAGAGGTGTTCATCACATCTGTCGACTCATCACAACGTACCAAAACATTGATGCAGATGTAAAAAAAGTTATCGTGAGAAAAAAATTAAGTATAATAATTTAAATAACATCAAGTAAATGCCCAAATACGATTTATATTTTTTTATAGATTATTACCATAAGTGTTTGTGAATTGACGCAGTAATTACAAAATAATAACAATTTCCAAGTCTAGCAGCGACAGCCAAAGCAATTTCAAATTGAAACAAACAAGTTTTATTAACACAAATGTGACTGGACTTTTACCATTTTAGTGCTGTTTTTGCGTGTACAGATTAGCTTGGATTTCCTCCAGCCCTTAACACTATTTCCTAACTTTTTCACTTTCTATCCATAGTATACATATATCCCTCTTGTGAATGCGAGCTCTGATAGTATTTTTCCTTTACAAATTAGAAGTGCTTTTTGTATGATACTAAATAACGCGACGAACAAGTCAGGCAGGCAGGCAGTTGCAGTGCCACTCAGAGCTTTAAATCGCAAAGATCCGTGGGGCACTGCCAAAGCACCCTGAGACAAGTTGACAAGTCTAATGTGCCTGTAATCCCACCAGCACCCTTACCCTTCAAAACCGGAAAGCAGTAATACTCACATTACTGCTTGGCGGCAGAAATAAGTAAAGTGGCAGTACTTCCCTGGAACTCTTTCACAAAGTGCTCTACAGTTACAAAACTGCTACTTCAATAAAAATTTTTGGGCCTAATTCGCAATACACAAAACGACACCGCCTATATACATCAGTGGTCTAGTAAATTATCTCTGAAAGTATGCAAATTGTACAATTATTTGTTGGCTCTGTCAAAATTCTGAAACCATGTGGTGCGTCCGCTGGCGTGAACACGAGGGACTCCAAAGTTTAGTAGGGTAGATTTATAATATATTTATTTAAGTCAAGGAAGATTGGGCGAGAATCGCATGTAGGTACAGATTACCAGCAAAGTCAAAGCCTTCCCAATCCCAAAACAGTTTTGTCTGTAAGTGGAGAAAGTACCTCTAGCTGGGCCTGTCTTTTGTTTAGTCGGCCTCTTTTTTGTAAAAACCTTTTGTTTATAAAAAAAATATGACCTAGCCCTTAAACGCCTTGTTTATGAGAACAAGCAGACTGCTGGTGGCTGCTTCTGAACGCTGTGAAATGTACGCAAAAATGACCCTTAATTTGGTAACGTGTCAACTTTGCTTCTAATATTGTCTAATAACTAGGAATAGACTGATGATCTTTACAACCTAGGAGATGTTCAAATCATCCCTACTGATTAGCGTTAACAAAAAAACAAAAGCTCTTTGAGGTCAGTCCATCTGTTTGGTAGTGACGATGGGCGTCCCGCAAGGTACCATTCTAAGTCCATTTTTGTTTTTAGTTTATATTAATGGCTTACTTACCTAGCCTCGTGAAGAGCATGAGATAGTATTGTTTGCAGATGATACTTCTTTATTATTTAAACTTAAAAGGCACCAATGTTCCTATAACGATGTAAACAATGTTCTATCCAAGGTAATAGATAGGTCTCCAGTTAATAACCTGCTTCTTAATGAGAAAAAACAAATTATGTGAAATTTATACTATCCGTTACTAACGTTAGACAGACAGTCACAAACAGTGTACGCGATTAAAAAATACGAAAACTTTCAGACGTCGAAACCGCTAGATTGGTTTACTACAGCTACTTTCACAATTTAATAACATAGAGTTTTGCTTTGTGTTAATGCCGCTTTGTCCTACAAAAACGTGCGGTTAGAGCAATTTACAATCTGGGTCCTGGAGTGTCTTTGAGAGATACTTTATTTTAGGAATAATTATTTTATGAAAAATAAAAACAAACATAATATCAATAAGAAGAGTAAAAATCATCTTGTCCTTGAAAATCGCTTCCACAAAGCCACAAACTCATTTAATGATACGCGTTTATAATTTCCGGTTGATATTCAAATTTCACAATTCACGAGGTTTAAAACTATAGTGAAACAAAAGCATTTACTAAACGTTATTTAACAGCTTCCGCGTACTTGGATGACAAAAATCCGCGGTAGTGACCCATTTAGCCTTAGAGGTGTTTAGCTTTTGTAGGTACCTAGTCTCGATCCGTAAGTTTGAAATAAATACTGTAAATATGATAAATGTTCTTGCTCATTCTAGAGTAGAGTTTTATCAATAAGACGACTTCAAGTGTAATTTGCTTACTTATGAAATAAAGATTATTTGACTCTACTTGATGCCACAGACAGACATAGAGTCAGACATAACCATCCTTTTTGCTTACAGAAACCGCAATGTCTTCCCGCCAAATATACTGGAATTCAATAGACTACGGAATAAAATAACTAAACCATTGTCTGGTATGTATGGAATTCGGTATGTTAAAAATTGTACGTTTCTAATAAGATCATTGCTTTGGAGACATATCTCCTTCTTCTTCGAAATGAATAAGGTAGTTTTGCAAAAATAAAATATAAACTATTACAACGCCATTAGCAAGTAGCGTAACTCCCTTTTTTTGTATATAAGATCATTGAATACCTTTTCTCGCTTCTTGCCCGTGGACCACATGGCTGATTCGCCTGGGTGGCCCACGGGCAATTATTCCTTCCCGTGGTTCACCAATGTCCACTTGGGTGGACTATGGGCACTTATTTCTTCCCGTGGTTCACCTAGGACTTTTCTTTTCTGAGTCACCTTGTTATTAAAACTCCTTTAACATTTCGATTGCAAAGATATATAGGACTACTTTATTGTCTATTAATTGACAATTTGATGAATTTTTCATGTATGGCAGTTGATGCCTGAAGGACTAAAATACGAGTAAATTAAATTTAAAAAAGTATAAAATGACCAGTGAAGAACTTAATTTTTTTCCGAGAATAGGTGGCAATAATAACAAGTTTAGAAAAGATTATTGTTGATCTCTAAAAATACCAGAGACAGTTTTGTTTTTCTTATATCTTTACTTTCATTTCAATCAGCCAGATGGTCCACGGGCAAGAAGCGCTCCTTCTCTACCCTATTCCAATAACATTTCAATATTCTTTTTTTTTCTATCATAAACACTCAAGTAAAAGATTGAGCTTTTTTTTTAATCCTGGCTTTTTGCGGTTAGCGTTTCAGCCACTTACAAAGGGTTTTGACTTCTTCTTAAAACGGGGAAACGTATACAATTGAATAATGAAATTTGGTAACGGGAATAGGAAGTTGGAGAAAGAGTGAAAAAGGGATCCGGCGTGTAACAATAAGGGGACTTCTTTTCACCTTCAATGACGTCATAAGTAGAGATGGGAAAACTGCTTATTTTTTAAACGTTTAAACATTATGCTTTTTTTAAAAAAGCGTGCTTTTTAAACGCTGTTTAGTTAGAAGCTAACAAAATCGTTTAGAAAACGTCTGAGCGCACATTTTTTTTTCCATCCTCTAAGAAACGCACATAGACTGTTATGTTAAAAAAAGCTAGCAACGTTGTGTTGATAGCGAAACGCAAGAGTAGACCACTAAAGGTTTTAAGATAAGTAAGTTTTTTGTAAAAAAACGAAATAATATATAAAATATATAATAATATATATATAAATAAAATATTATTTATGACATAATATTATTATATTAATATTTTGTTTATTGGCGTTTAAAAGCGTTTAAAAACATAAGTTGTTTAATTTTTGTAGTTGTTAACCGTTGAAGTGGAAAAAACTGCTTATATTTTTAACGTTAAAACGTACGTTTAAAAAGCGTGCTTGTAAAAGCGATTTTCACTTATACGCTTAAAAAGTCGTTTAGAAAAACGTTTAAGCGCATAGACTTTATGTTTAAAAAAGCTTGCAACCTTATGTTGAATTAATTTTAGTAAACATAGATGGTGCTACTTGAAACTTAGGCGCGTTGTAAAAATGATACGGTTGAGTAGGTACTCAACCACTGGTCAGTTGTATAGGTATATAACTGACCAGTGACCAACGCTTACACTTAAAATGAAAAGCGTGCTTATGCGCTTATTTTAAAAAGCAGACTTTTTTAAGTGCTTTTCGTTTAAACGCCCACCTCTAGTCATAAGGTATCCAGTCCAGTGGCGGGCCATTCGCTCTGGGCCTTTTGGAGGGAAGTGTCGTTTTTATTTTGACTTTCAATTATTTTGTGAAATCTAGTTTAAAGTGAAATAGGATAGTGCTATTGTGCCTTAATCGAAGATTGAAACGCGAAATATTCAATTATTTTTCGTGAAATTACTGACGCGGTAATGATAATATGTAGTGATACATAAAATGTACGAAAGTGATATAGGAAGATTATTGTTATATGATGCGGTGCAGTGCGGCCCGCCATAATGTGCGTGAGCCTTTACAATATTTAGGTACTTTGACTTATTTCTAGTTATCATCAGTGAATTTTTTGTCACGATTGGCCGCCCTAGGCCCGGGCCTACAGAGCCTTAGGGCAAATCCGCCACTGATCCAGTCTCTTTAGTAGAAAATCTTATAAATATACGCGATTTAAATCCGAAAATTGTTTCATTTCCTATATGTAATAATCGGGAAAACCTAAGAACTCGAAAATCTTATAATTTAAACGAAACCAAGCTGTCAGCATAATTGTTTACAAGTATAATAATCATTGAAACCAAGTATCAATGTATTCGTAGTAGAGATAAAACAGATATCCGGTAACTATCCGGTATCCGGCCTATCCAGTATAATTTTACTTTCCGGCCGGATACCAGATAGTAGATAATATCCGGCCGGTTGCCGGATGTTTAAAACGGAGAAAAATTTATAACCAGTACGCCAAATAAATTGATTTATTGATTAAATATGATAGTAATACGATAAAAGGAAACGATTGTTTCTAAGTAATCTGTTTATTACTTGTAACTGAATGAACTATGAAGTTAGATAACGCTATCTGTAAATTTAGTACTCAAATTTCAATATAGCCAAATTATGGTGAATGAACACCAGTTTTTTCTATGTAAGTGGTAAAAGTTTCTATTAATTTTCATAAACAAAACCAGCTTCAGAAGATAGTTTTTCACTATAAACTCTTGCAAACTTTGTTAAATTCTAAGTACTACATGTTATTGCCAGACGACCAAATGAAAGAATCGCGATCACTGTCGATTTTAACTGTTTTTAAATATAATGTGTACCCACAATAATGAAACGGTAAGTAGATTAATTTTTTTTTTTTTGGAAATCTAAAATCAAGGTTTAGAATTATATGCACAAACAAATTAATAAAACTATATTGAAATAAAATAATAACGGGCGTATCAATGCTAGGCTTATACTTACAACAACTAGAAATTTTAATATAGCCAAAAGAATGATGTAATTGCTTTTTGTCCTTCTCCACCTCGAGAAATTTGCATTCGGCACGACAAACAAACAGCACTGATATTAAAATATTGCCAAATTTGCGCTGAATTTCACTGTTTACATTTTTCTGTTATGTATTTGTTTGTATTATTGAATAAATTAATCGTTTTTATAAAAACCAGGTGACCACAACAAATCAAATCGTGAATGTGAAAGTGCAATCATTCACTAATCAATCACTCAAGCAGTGGGTCAGATATCCGGCGTCCGGATATCCGGTTATCCAGGCTCTGTGCTCGCCGGATATCCAGTATCCGGTCAAATCACTGTCCGTTTCATCTCTAATTCGTAGTATCGACTTGAACTCAAAGCTTCTATATTCACGGCATTGAACTTTTCTAATTTTAGCTACCGACCGATTAGAACTTTCAAGACCTTGATGAGGAAAACAACTTTTCTCAATAAGTTCTGGCAGTCTGGTCTGGGTGTTGGAAGAAGCGTCCCGGATTTCATTTTGTTATTCTGGTACTCAAAGTGTTATTTGTGTAATTGTTTAGCAAATTATTATTTGAAGATTTTCCATACTTACCAACCAAGGTTTTAGCCCCCAGATGAAGGAAAATACGTGAATTCAAATTTTTAGAAATCTCACATTTTTTGTCAGACGTCGAGTATATACCACCAGAACTAGAGACGAATTAAGGAGGTAAATGGGCCTTATATCACTTTTAAATATCAACTCTCGTTTGCACTGAAATCACAAATTAGAAAGGTGAAATAGTACATACAGCGCCAACAACTAACCTTTGTACGTTTCCGTATATTCCAAAAATATTCTGTATTTATTGTAGGAGGGAGGCTGTTACATTCGGTGGTGTGGGAAAAACAGCAAAACGTATAATAACAAACAAACGGAACTACATTTCATCGGTAAATATTAAATATGTCATTTTTCAATTCTCGTCCATTATAGCAAAGCTCAAGTTAAACTGGTCGATTTGAAAAGAAACAATTGAGAACACCCATCAATTGTTTCGAATTCGAGCTGGCCAATCGGAGCGCAGTTGTCACCGTAATGATATGGCCGAATAGTTTTTAAACAAATTAAATGACATTTCATCTCCATTTCTGGTTATATACTCGATGTTGTTAGACTATTCTAACAACGTAAGAAACTGGCAAGCCTGGTGAAGCGGGGACGAATGCAGGACTGCACGAGAGTAGCGTGTTGGGATGGCATATACAGGGGCTTTACTCCCGTTCTCTGACCGATATCCGTCCGAAACAATTACTAAAAGTAATAATACTCGACCAAATTAAAGGACGCTACTAGTATTTATGTGGTCAGTGCATGATGTGAATGAAGCTTCAAACTTGACATTGTCTTGATTTGCTCGAGTATTACTTATTTGAGAGCAATTGTTTCGGACGGATGTCGCATGGAGACTGGACCTCCTGAAACCGCTCAACATCAACAGAAAAAATATATAAATTGTATAAAAAGCTAGACCAATTATATTTTATTTGGTGATTGTACGAAATTTGTAGAAGGAAGGATAAAAAATCTGGGAATATAAATTTTCTAATGATAATATTATTGGTTAATAGGACTACGATCACCAGTTGCGATACTATGTATGATTTTTTCTTTATAATATCAAGTTACGAGACGAACAAATCGTGCGCCTCATGGTAAGCTACACGCCTGCCCATAACAGGTGCAGTGCCACTCAGAGCTTTAAGTCGCAAAGATCTGAGGCGCACTACTTCTGCGCCCGTCACCCTGACACATAAGTTGACAAGTCTTATGTGCCTGTAATTTCACCAGCACCCTTCAAAACCGGAGCACAGTAATGCTGACTTTTTTTCTTTATTTTTTAGAGGGTTTATCCACCCCCATAGGAACATGGCACCACTTAAACACACTACGTACTAAATACTGATAATTATCTACATTTTATACGTTTTTGTACCATGCGGTACAACGCTCTGGCGACTTTGGATGTAGGGTTAGCCAGTAAGCTGTTACACGTACCCACACTTAGTACTAGCAAGTTGAATTTCATGCCCAACTGAAAAGCCTCTCAGTCTCGCTCCGGACACATTCCACGAGGACGTGGTGTACGTCTCCCAACTGCTCTATTTGTAACAAGAGGGGGGTTGTTAAAAATAGAGCAGTTGGGAGACGTTGTCTTAGCCATCAAGTGGGCGAAACTGTTTAGTGAGATATGGCCCGAGCGAAGACGGAAAGCTGTTATGATTTCATTTCTACTCATGTCTGCTGCATCAATCCAAAGGTAGTTGGGGAGGCTAGGCTGTATTGTTTTATACCAGGTACACTTTGTAACAGATCTCTCGTCGAAGTTTTCATTCCAAAGTTTCTCACTCTCTTTTTTAGACAGGTGAAATAGATCCGAAAAATATCGTAAGCATCCATAATAATCCCCATCGACACTGGCCTGTGTAACCTAAAGATCTACTTTTTCGATCTACTTCAACCTAACATGGGCTGGGATCCATTGCAGAACGACTAATTTATTAGCGCGTGTTAATTTACTGATGGAGTCTAATACAGTGTAGGCTTTCGGTGTTCCTCGAAAACTCGAGATACACCGAGCCAAGTGTTGAAGTGAGCTTCTTGAATCCGTTACGATAACAAAATGCTGACATTACTACTTGGTGGCAGAAATAGATAAGGTGGCAGTACTCCCTGGGCGAACTCTTTCACAAGGAGCTCTACCGCTACTCGGACTGGTCATGACCAGTCCATTTCATGAATCATTCGTAGGTTTATGAACCAGTCCGACAGTAAACACTGTTTTTTGATTTTTTTACTAGTATTTGGAACGTGATAAGTCTTTATTTTCATTTTACAGACGAAGCGAAGCCGCAATGGACTTGGATTTGCAGTAACGAGAAATGCGAGCGCACTACAGCTAAGGAAAACTTAGACCTAGTGTCTCTTCCTACATGTAATGCACTTTGCTCCTCAGCCGTAATATGGCCAAAACCAACCGGACAATTAAAACTAAGCAATACAGTCTTACCGTTAAATTTCCATTTCACTCTCGAAATATCAACATCACCGTCAAAAGAAGTTTCCGAACATCTCCAAAAAGCTTTTTTTCTTTTTGAGCAAGATTTAAGTAAATATAAAAAAGTTCAAAAGCAACCGGACAGTATGTATGCTGTGTACTCTTTATTAATTAGTGTATCAGTAAAAGGGGACAAAGACCCCCGTTTAAGACTGAATACTGATGAGAGCTACGAAATATACGTCGCACCATCAAAAAGAGGTGACGTTATAGAAGTTACTGTATCAGCAAAATCTTTCTGTGGCGCAAGACACGGGTTCGAAACATTATCACAACTAATTTGGTTCGACCCTTATAACGACTCGTTACTCATGATAGACACAGCGGTTGTCAAAGATAAACCTAGCTTTCATTACCGCGGATTGTTATTAGACACTGCAAGAAACTACTTTCCTGTGAGTGACATCTTAAGGACCATCGATGCAATGGCAGCAACGAAGTTGAATACCTTTCATTGGCATGCCGTTGATACTCAGTCGTTTCCGTTAAAATTGAACAGTACAATGAAACTTGCTAAGTATGGGGCTTATGGATCAAGTTCAGTATACACGAGAGACGATGTTCAAACGATTGTGAGTCACGCAAGACTACGTGGCATTCGCGTAGTGATAGAAATTGATGCGCCTGGCCATGTTGGCAGTGCTTGGAATTGGGGTCCGAAAGAAGGTCTCGGAGATTTAGCTTATTGTATCGAAAATGAGCCATGGTGGAAATACTGTGGAGAGCCACCCTGCGGTCAACTCAATCCGCATAATCCACACGTATTGAATATTCTAGAAAATATTTACACAGAAATAATACAACTAACTGGTGTCGACGACGTATTTCATTTAGGCGGTGATGAAGTGACTCAACGCTGTTGGACAGAACACTTACCAGAGTGCGTAAATAAGCCGTTATGTGCAACCGATGATGCTTGGATCGATTTCGTGCATAAAGCTTATAAGGCACTGGAGCGAGCTAACGGAGGAAAAGCGCCTAACCTGACGATGGTATGGTCATCACGACTAACTAAATGGCCATATTTGAAAACGCAGAGAAAGTTCGCAATACAGTTCTGGGATTTAATGGATTCACAAGACATGTTAATGCTTCTGATGAAAGGATTTCGTTTGGTATTATCTCATGCGTATCCTTTGTATTTGGACTGTGGTTTTGGCAGTTGGCGCAGCGATGGCGAAAGCCATTGTGGTAATTATGTAAAATGGCAAGATATATATAATAATCCTCCTTATACGCCAAATACATTGCATATTGTAGGCGGAGAGGCTTGCTTGTGGAGTGAACAAGTTGGACCTACGGATTTAGATGGACGATTGTGGCCAAGAGGAGCGGCGTTCGGAGAGAAAATGTGGACGCACCCGAAATTATACGCAAATGAATCTGTCAAATTAAGACTTGACGTTCATAGATCTCGGCTAGTAGCGAGAGGCATTCGCGCCGGACCCATATTCCCACGATGGTGTTCGGAAAATCCGTATAAATGTATTTAGGTGGAACAAATAATTTAGTATATGAATACTTGAACCGTTTGTGAACATTAGGCTCAATTTAGCTTGTATGCAAATGCGAAGTTTCGTAACGAAATTGTACATAGCATAATGAACTGTATGTCGATTGTGTAACGTACAAACTAGATACTATAGCTGCGGGAAATCCCGAGACTGCGCGAGAATTCTCCGAAAGACGCGCGACGTTTTTTTATTTGGTTCGAATCTAGTTTGTGTTACACAATTGGCGATAAAGTTCATATTGCCATGGTTACAAAAATCCGCGGCAATGGAAATTAAGCCTTAAATTAATGACTACTAGGCAAATTCTTGCTATAAGTTCAGTTACTAAAAGAAGTCTGACAGCCCATAGTGTAATATTTCCGCACACTTCACTTATAAAATATAATAAAGCTTTACAGTGCTGACAGTCAAGAACTAATTTTAATTTCAAATAGTAGATATTTTTCCGGAAAAATTACTGAAAAATTGGAAAATATAATTCCAAGGTTCATGTTATGTTGTACGTTTGATATATCTTTTAAAGTTTTATTTGGCATGAATTTATAAATAAAATAAAATTGTATAGCTAAAAGCATGAGCAAAACGCGATTTTAATTAATGAACAACGAAAAACAAGAATCGTACCTACGTAAGGTAAAAGAAAAACTATAATGGCTCCATCATTTTCGTTCAGTATCTTCAACTTTTGACAGGTGTCAACCATTAAATGTAGGAAAATATAGGAAAAATATTGACAGAAATATACATGAAATATATAAATATATTTTTGAAAAATATTATCTTTCCAAAAAGATTTTTTTTATTAAACTAGGATGAAAGTGTTTTAAAAGAAAACAGAATATTAGTGAGAAAGTCATTGTGTAATAACACTATTGTAAAATCGTTGTGCGCTGTACATAATAATCTAATAAAAATTATTTCTTAAAACAACTTTTGTGTGCGACAGTAATTTACTGCTTTAATACTGCAATAGAATGGGAACTACTATGATAACATCACGTGATTACGTCACTAAAATGAATGGATAAATAACAAGGCAAGATAGCAGTCACCAGTAGCGTTATTATTAATAGACATGAATTAACAAAATTATTAAAATATAAAGAGTGAGAAAAAAATCAACAATTTTTTCACTCACGGAATCCCAATCATAATTTAAGTTTAACAAATACTTAATGATATCATTTCTTTCGGAAGATTTTGAGTCGTTTGCTCCGAGGGGTTACCTGTAGACAATATAAAATTTTTGATAAATGTTCATCATCCTTGTGTAAAGACTTTCGGAACTTAGAGTCATAGTATAATAAATCAAGTAGTGCAACCCCGCCCATTTAGCTCGTCATTGCCTACACGTCTCTCGGAGCGCAGGGTTCTCACATGATTATTTGAATTGTAGCTACAGGTTGTAAAGGGTGTTCAACACAGAAATCTCGTGCTATAATTTAAATAACCTTTTTTGAATGCAGTACTAACGTATTGAAATTTTATACCATCGCGGATTTAGTATTTCGATTGTGATACTACGTAATAGATGACATAGAAATGAAACGCTGTACTATTTTGAATTTGAGGCACACTTATTCAAATAACCACAAACACAACATAAAACATGTCCACTATTTGATATAATAATATTTGACATATAACGCCTGTTTCTATAATGAAGGCGCTGTGCAACTCGTGTGCACCGCGACTTTATGCGAATGTGTGCGGCCAGCGCACATGCACAAACATGTCGCACTGTTACGTTTGTAAGAAGTTACACTTCTTGTCTTATTATACTATGTTAGAATCAAAATGATGAAATCCGTAATTAACATTTTTGAGAAACTAACATAATAATTTGTATTTTTTTTTTAATATCAAATGACGGGACGAACAAGTCGTGTGCCTGATGGTAAGCTAAACGACTGTCCATAACAGTTGTAGTGCCACTGAGAGCTTTAAATCGCAAAGATCTAAGGGCACTGCCACAGCGCGGGCGCTGAATTTGTGTATTTTATAATATATTTATTTATTATATATAATGTCTCATATAACGTAAGTTGACAAGTCCCATGTGCCTGTAATTTCACCAGTACCCGTAACCCTTCAAAACCGGATCGAAAATATTTGATATGATCAAGAATTTTAATTCGTACGTTATTTTATTTTGAAATCTGTTTCCTGAATTTCCGCCATGCCATTTTGGGTTACAATTGTTCCACGTGGAATTCAGTACATGGAACTACTGGGAATGAACCATATGGAGAGTTATAGTCAAAGTGAAGTTTGAAAGTGAGCTGACAAGATGTCCTTGCAGGCTTAAGTCTGACTTACAAAGTACCTACGCATTACTCTAGTTATTAAATAAAATCTTGAAACAAATCTAGATTTTTTTTAAATGTTTCTTATTCGCATTAATGCCAGCACTTAGATTTCAGGATTTTTTTTAATAAAAATTTAATCCATTTAATAATACAATCATAATGGCGGACATGACCACAAGACCTAAGCCGAAAGATTGACCTCTTTGTTTTGGTGAAATGCACTTACTTCAGTTTCATTCCTTACGGAGCGAAAGAACGTGCGGATGCGAGAGGGCGTAGATGTCTTGCGCGACAGATCGACGCTGGTGCCTGCGCCCGCGCCTGGCTCTGCGTCGACGCGTAGCGACTCGCGCAGTTCAGCGTCCTGACCACACGTAACAAGTGAATTAAGAGGATAGTCTTCCCAGGTCAAGTTGACAACTTGCTGCTGTCTCTATCGGCCGCTGCGTGAGCGCGGATGCGTGAGAGTGATAGCAATCGTTTGCAAACATTTCTCCGAGCAATTTTTTATATTTTGCACTTTTTTTCAACGTTCGTTTAAAACGTTTCATAAATCGTCGCTTAGCATACAACACCGCTTAAGTCATTTCAAGTAATTTCATAGGGGCGTGATAAACCTGCACATATTATTGTATAAAGATTTTTATAAAAAAAAATTACCTATTATTAGAATTTAACTATTTATATATTACTATTTATATATTATATTATTATATTAGAAATTAACTATTATTAAATAACACTTATGGACTTATGGTCTGAAATAAAGATTTTTATTATTTTATTATTATATTATTATTATATTAGTAATAGGTTAATTAAAAAAATAACAATTAAAAAATAACGGCTATATTACTTAAGCCGTGGTATTTGCTAAGCGACGAAATGTTCTGTTTGGGTAATTTTCAGGTTAGTTTTATCTACCTAATTTCGGTGGCTATTTGTATTATTTAAATAATCCAGAACATTATCATGAGGCATTATTTAAAAATCGAGTGCAGTATCCTGAAGTATTATTTAATATTTCATGATAATATACTTTACTTAAATAATAAAAATTGCCCCCGAAATAAGGTAGAGAAAAGTAACCTGGGGCCTTACCATGAACTCTTATTACAGTTCCGTATAGGTTCGTAACGACAAAAAAGCGGGATGGTGATATACACTTCATGTAACGCTGTCTCACAACGATTCATTTTAGGTCCTAAACTGAATCGTAATAAGAGTTCATGGTAAGGCCCCTGAAAATTACCCATTTTATATTCTAAGATTGTTAAAAAACTTCATGCAGTAACACTGCTGCTGTCTGTTTGTTGCCCACGCGATTGTTTAGTAACGATCGAAAAAATTATATTTACGAAAATAAGTAAAAATTGAAGCGGCAAACCGGAGGTTGTGTAGGAATAAATAGTGTTAATATTTTAAAAACAATTTCACAAAAATGTTGAAAATAAAAGTATATGCTACAAAAAGAGGCACATTTCATTTTACACATAGTTTTATTTGTACTTTTAAAAGCTCATCAAAATTATTCCTCCACGGCTCGATGAGTAAGCGAAATGGCCTGGATGTACGAAAGTAATTACCGTAGCAGATAATCGTCCTGCCTGCTTGCTAGGCGTAGGAGGACCAGGTTTCTTGTACGCAGTGATGCCCACTTCCTTGCGAGGTTGTTTGTTCACCGTCGACGTTTTGCCTGTGCACTGTAAACACGCAAAAAATGATTGCACATTCAAAGGACATTATTAAGCGTCATCTATCGGTACAATGTTGAACTACGTAGTTAACAGCTGTCCTCTAGAATAACAAACTCACATTTTTTTTCTACTTCTAAGTAGATACTACAATGCCACACGGGTGTTGGTTGCGGTGCGGTGGCGCGCCGTTTCAGCGTACCGTGTGGCATGTCGTTCTGATTTATATAGAGTACAACGCAGCGTCACGACGCAACGCATCGTGTGGCATCATTCTTACGTGAAAAGACATTTGTTTTTAAGCTGATCACTGGCTGATCACAATATTAAAAACATTGACTCAGAAAATCACTTACATGAAATCTAATATCATTAATTCTCATTCATTAAACCTAATCGCGACAAATATGTTATTGTTGTACCTTGATATCATCCTCATCAAAGGTGTCTCTAAACTGCATCTCGGCGGGATACGAGCTCTTGAGGTGCGGGGGGCAGAGAGAGTTGCGCCAGCGCAGTTCAGATAAGCGCTGGCCAGGCGGAAGGGTGTGGGATTCGCGTCGGTTTTGACGCGGCGTCTCTGATAACTCTTTTAAACATCTATTGTCGAAAACTTCCCCTTCTTCGTCAGACATGTGGAGGCCACGGCCCTCTGCAAAACATACAATAATGGCATTTAGATAACCAACGTCTTTGGTGGTGCGAAGAGAATAGAGAAGGTTCTCTACAAAATGGGTATTTTGTAAGCGATATTTTTGAGTTATTCGGAAAGAAGGTCCTTCCTGAACGACCAATAAAATTGTATTTGTAATTAAATTGTACCACGCTTTTCTCGGGGATTCGAAACTGGCAAGGATCGCAGTGAGCAGGTGTCCGAGCGACGACCGCTCTCGTGATGCGATGGCACGAGACCAGACTGCAAGGAAAACACGTAAACATAAGTTGCTGTCTATAGACAAAAACAAAACTAAAATCACTAAAGAGTTCACTCCTGCATTGAATTGCCTATGAGTCTCCTTCAATCAAGTTTTTTTTTTATTACAAATTTTTCAAACATACTTATTAATTTAAATATGGTGGCGCCACAAAAACCCGTTTAGGTTTATCCGTGCACCGCAATTCATTGATGGGAACTCGTAACGAAGCTGTCAAACCTTATTGTTTACTTATAACGTGCCTACTTATAAAAGTAACCAATTAAAAGTATAGTTGTCCATGATTGAATATTTTCCAGTATCTGCAATGGCTGATGGTTTTCAATAGACATGTTTCACATTGATTATTCTAGTGTTTACAATAACACAACTAACCGAATGCACATGTTGCAAAGACATAAGCGATCCGGATTTGTTCTTCCTTCTCAGCCACTCAGCTTCGTCTTTCTTCATGAGAAACTTTTCTCCAACAGTCCATAGTTCTGTGGTCAATGTTCTGATATGATCCTCATAAGCCCGACTCGTCTCCGCTAGCTTATCTCTCGCTCTTTGAAGTTCTCTCTCCAATGTCGCTACCTCTTCCACCTGCTTTTCCTTGTACTTCGCTATTTGTTCTTGGTAAAGTTGTTTCTGGAAATTTTTATAAATTTAAATGTTCTAGGTGAATATACATACTTATATTGCGTGCGTGTAAGTCTGTCGTGCAAGAATAAAAAGCGTCCAATGCATAAATAATTAAACAGAAAAATAAATTACCTTTTTTATCTAAGCTAAAACTACACTACACCTTTTATGTTTTAATGAACACTTAAAGCAACTGAAAACTAAATACAAGAAATAAAACAAAAAGTATCCATTAAAACATACTTTATTTTGTAAATAAAAATGATTTCACAAGTCGTAACTCAAACTTCATAGTTTTATTATTGTTTATAACAAAATAAAAGAAGGAAAAATAAAAATATGCGAATAAATAAAGCCACACCATTCAGTGATCCATTTTGAGATAGCACCACCACACAGCCTGATATAATAATATCAATAACAGAACGGGAGCGATACTGACCATTTTAGCCTTCATTCTGTTGAGTTTGTCCTCATATTCAGCTCTAACTTCCATCACTGTGACTGCTTGCGGTTCTTTCGCTCCCTCCCCTTTCGGCGCCCTCATGACTTCTTCTAAAAGCTTCTGGAAGGAATTCTCCAATTCCTCCAACTGTACTTCTATACTAGCATTTTGGAACATCGTCGATGCAAGCGACATTCGTTCCAAGTCACTAGTAAAAGCCTGTTTTATTTTCTCAGGCGAAATCGTCCGCCAAATACATCTCTCCATCCATCTTTCTAAGTTCATTGTACATTCGGATAGGTCCTGCATAATGGCTGCATACCCTCTCTCTAACTTACACATCATTGCATCTGTTAGTTGTCCTTCCATGTTCAAAATCTCACGTCTTACAGTTCTCTGCACAGATACAACTCTGCTTAACTTTTGAGCGTATATATCTCTAACCGAACTAAACGTCTTGAAGCTCACAGAGAGTTCGGTCAAAAATTTCTTCGAATTAATAATTTCGGACTCGTTGATTTTGTTTACTTCATAAAGCCGATCTCTCTCTTTTTGCAAGGCAAGTTGCTTTTCGGAGCAACGCTTCATATGTTTATCTGTGGTCTCAAGGAAATACTCCAAGTCCTCCATAGTAATTATACCGGCAGCTAAGCTTCGTTTGGATTCGCATTCACTGTTTGCAGTATTACCAAAATTTGTCAATTCCTTCAATATAGTATTTGACTTTATATCAGCAATCCTTTTCAATATGATCGACTGGTACTTTGTGGATACTTTGATTATTTGTTTCGATTGTGTTTCAGTCAAGTTCATTTTTGAGATTTGTTTCTTAAGTTCGCCAATCTCTTCGTTCTTTTGTTGGACTATCTTCTTTAACTGGCTGGATATATGTTGGTAATTCTCCTTTGAAATTTCCAACTCCTTGGTGACGTCCAGTAGTTTGTTTTCCGACTCGGCCATAAGTGATTTCATGTAGGTAATATCGGTTTGTAATGTGGTGATTGTTCTGTTCTTATCATGTATTATCTTTTCTAAATCGTTGATGGTTTTGGTGCTCTCCAAGGAGGAGTGTGTGAGATCGGATGTTGGTGTGCTAACCTGGTGTCTATCGCGCTCGCGCTCGTCGTGGGCCGACATTTTGCTCGATGCCTTTTCGTGGTTGGCCATAGCGACTGCAAAAAAATATTAAATACCAAGAGAATATTGCATTAATGTTAAATAATATTACAATTTTTCTCATGAAACGTAAAAGAAAAAAAGTGTCGAGGTTTCTTAGGCTTCTTATTGTTTGGATTTTAATTAACCCTCCACCTACCCATGGTCTTATTATCGACTATCTTGAATATACGGTTTTTATTTAGACTTTATTTATTAGTTAGACTCTCAAATTCGAAAAGTCAGTCCATTTCATAAAATTATTATCGGATAGAAACATACAAAAGACTGAACGCGTTAAATTTTACATTGCATTGACTCCAAGTTTGGTTAAAATACTAATACACTGTGGTGCAAAAAAAAACAAGCACTTTAAGATAATTGTAATATCAATTTAATTATTTCTTATTTATCCATATTTTCTTATGAATGTTGTTCCAAGTTCAATTACGCTTGCTGGCCGCTAATATTGAGCATTCCTAATATAGAACATGGAACAACACTCAGGACAAAAAATGAATAATTAAGAAATAATTTAATTGATATTACAATGTATCAAGTGCTCGTTTTTTGCAACATAATTTACTTTAAAAGTACAATTACACCTTGAACTTCGAAACCCACAATATCAAAGAATAAAGTTCCCGAATTAACTTACATGTCTCCTTTTGTGCACTCTCTTTGATGATCTTATCATTCTCAGTATTTAATCTGTCAAGCACTTTAGTTTCACTCCTAATCTCTTCTAATTTTTGCCGTAACTCGTATAAACTTGTGGCTTTTACTTGTAATTCCTTCTGACACCTTTCTCTTGCCACACGCTCTTCCACCAATTCTTTACTGATCGTACTTATCACTGTATCTTTCTCTTGAGCCATATTGGTTATAATTTTATCCTTGTTATACAAATCCTGCTCGTATTTATGCAATTTGGTTTTATACTCCTTAATTTTATCTTCCAAACATAATGCTCTTGACTGTTCACTGTTGAAATTAGATCTCAGACGTTCCAGCTTATCTCTTAATGCACATATTTCAATTTCACGTTCTTCAAGATATTTTTCAGCATTTGCTTGACACTCTTGTAACAGGGAGTATTTGTTATCTAGGTTTAATTTGTCACTTATTGCATCTTCTTGGAGCTTTTTAACAGAATCGTGCTCTTTTATAATATGTTCTAACTCCAAAATTCCTGCAAAAAATGTTGATCGTAGTAACTCAACTTGTCTCTTAACTCGAATAGGCGAAAGTTTGGATGTTTCATGCTGCATTAAACTATCATAAAGTTTGAACGTATTTCAATGGAAGATGCGACAAAGTCCTAGATTACAATAGATAGTGAAATATATTAAATGAAAACAATTACGCATTTTACTTGACTATTTTTGTATTGTCACTTATTGTAATACTCAGTACTTACGTTTCTGGGTCTGTTCAATGGTGTTAAGCAACTCGGAATTCTGTTGTTTCAAATACTCCAATTCTTCCTTAGCCCTCAATTCATTTGTCTCAAATTCTGCCTTTACCTCGTCTAATTTAGAAATGTATTGGTTTTTTTCTTTAATCAAATAAATTATTTCCTCACTTAAAATTTTTACTTTATCCAATATTTCAGCTTTCATTTGCAGTTTTTCTTTAAGCGTTGATTTGAATTTGTCATTCTTATCTGTGTCACCGTTAATAACGTTGGTCAGGCGGTCTATTTGAGCTAGCAATTCGATTTCAAGGGAATCCTTGTTGGTTTTCAATTTATTGTCCTGTTCCTCTAAAGATGTTAAGTCTGCGAAAAATACTTACTTTATGTTATTTCTATTACGTTTGACTATACCTGTATTTTGTTTACATAGTTGCAGTAACGCAATTTAATTGAATTTTATTACGAAAATTTGAACCTTGAAATTTGAGTAAGACATTGTCTTAAGTGACCACTTAAGCACTAACACAAGGATACCATAGAGTTCTGAATGATAATGTTAAATAATCCACATAAAAAATATTAATTTAAGTATAAATTAAACTTTGTAATAGCCACAAAAAAAATTCAGTAAAAGTAGTATATTATGTTAAAAATAATACACATCAAAAAGCAGAAATATTTGCGCTTCTTTACTCGTAAATGTGCAAGTCAGATTTCTTACACACACACACACACACAAGCACACGCACAAGCAGACGCACACGCACACACACATACACTTTCATGCATTTCGAGATAAAAAAATAAATGTGTATTTTTCATACAAGAAAAAATATCCTAGTTTTTTTCCCTGAATCAATCAACTTCATAAGTACCCAAGACTACACAAGAATATAAGTTATCAGGGTATATAGAAAAAATCAGCTCGGTATTGCACAAATTGTTCCTAAGATTCATCATCATCATCACCAGCCGGAAGACGTCCACCGCTGAACATAGGCTTCTTCCGAAGATAAAAACTGCCTCTGTGGCCGAACGTGTAATTTGTGGTTGTCTATGTGTCCATGGTCCATGGGACCCGCGACACAGGGTTTTCCCTAGTGCGAGGCTAACAACTCGTATATCAACAAATATAACAAACTAATGGAGTAATTTCACAAAAAATAATTGAATATGACGGTAGTAAAATATCGTAACATTCAATTAAATTAAAAATTACGAATATTAATGTTAAAAGTCAATACCGATATCGCTCCAATTCATGGCCCACAAGCAACTTGTCAGCCTTAAGCAGCAGTTTGAAGCAAAAGTAATATTTACCATTTTTCATTATCTGCAAAGTGTCGTCCAAGTCTTTATTTCGTGACTGCAAGGCCTCAATCAAAGACACCTTTTGCGCGATTTCTTCAGTCAATGCAGCAATCTCTTTTTCCCAGTTCTCTTTCTGGGCATCCATATCCTTCTTCAGCTGATCTTGGATATCGTTCAAAACCTTATTCTGGCTTTCCAATCCTTCTATATACGACCTTGCAGTCGATAATTCACGTGTGATAATCGCGATTTCTTTATTAGAATGCTCCTTTAGACCTTCAATTTCAATGTCTAATAATTCTTTCTGCGACTTCAATTCAAATAGTTCTTTTAATGCTGCCTCGAGAGTAACTTCTTTGTCTAGGAGCTTTACTTCGGCGTCTCGTTTGTCGTTCTCTAATTTCTCTTGCATAACCTTTATTTCTTCTTGGAATGCCTCATTAGCTTTGACATGGTCAGAAATAACTTTATTTAGTCCAATTTTAGTGTCTTCCATAACAGATTCCGTAACAGTCACCATGTTCTTAAGCACGAGACGTTCGGATTCAAAATCACTAATCAGTTTCTCTTGGTTCAACTTCTGAGTCCTAACTTCATCGTCTAACGTCTTTATTACTGTAAAACAGATTAGGATAATTCAAGCTTTATACAACTTGTTTTTTTTTCTCTTTAAGAAACAGGCCATTGACTGTAAGACATTGGTGCAACATTATATAATAAGGAAATACTACCAGTGAACAATAATACATCATATCTCTATAACAAAATACATAAATCATTAATATGAGCTAATAAACAGAAATGGACCTAAAATTTAACATGGAGGAACAACAACGATTACTGCAAACTCTGACGACCTCGTAATAATGGTGAAGTTGCCTGACCAATGCAACATGGTGCACACAATCAAATACTTTGAGAACGTTACAGAATATGCCATTGCATCATGCGAGCGGTCTCATGCATCAAATTCTATGTTAAATCAATTCAACATCAGAATCAGGTGTTAAGTAACCCCAAGTGAAACCAAAGCCTGCCGTATTTAAATATTTTTGTAATTGGCATAGGCTGTAAAGCATGCTTGGCATTTATGTTAACGAATCATTCTTGTGTTCTATATTAAGCTAGGCGTCATGTTTCAATGTAAACTCTACATTACCTTTATTCTTTTCATCAATAATTTGCTGCAGTCTATCCCTTTCCTTCCTAACGGTCTCTAATTCAACAGTTTTATCCTTCAAATAGCTTGTTAATTTATTTATCATTACGTTCAAATTCTCTATTTGACACTCATAGGTTTTTTTTAGTTTATCAGTCAGATTTTCGTTGTCGACTAACTTTTCTTTCAAAGAATGGACCTTTACTTCCAATTGAACTTTAACATCATTCAGTTCATTCATCAAAGTTTTGTTTTCCAGTTGTAGTTTCTGAATGTCCCGCCCTTGTGTATAGCATGATTCATATTGCTTTGATAGTTCTGTAAGCAAATATTCCTTTACAAAAAAAGTTCAACCACAGTTGGTCAAAAAATGCTTAACTTGCGCCTAAGAACTTTAGAAGCCACGTGTTAAAATGTTGGCTATAAAACTATATGAAACATTGTAAAAATAAAAAAGCTTATTAGAAATTTTATATACACACTTACCAATTTTGTTTTCATAATTAACTTGCTGTAGTCTCTTTACTTCACTTTGCAACTCCAAAACCTGAAGTTCCTTCTGATTGAACATCTCTTTCAATTCACTAACCGTATGATTTTCATGTTCTAATGTTTCCATCAATTTCCCCTTCAAGGACAAATCGACTGTCATCGTGTCAGCAATGTTAATCAAAAGATCACACTGCTCTAATACTTGCATACCACCTCTGTCGCAATTTGTAAGCTTCAATAACACCTCGTTAGATATATCTCCATTCTTAATACTCAGGAAAAGTTTATCTAAACCACTACTTAGCAACGAAGCCATATGTACAATTAAATCTTCATGTTCTGAAATGAATATTATAACAAACAATTAGCTATATACAACCCAAATCCTAAAGGAACAAAAAATTAAAACATACTCTCATAATCAGTTTTTAAAGTTTTTAACTCTGCACACAAAGAGTTCAATTCTTCTTGATTGCTATGCAATTCGGCAGCTAACTTGTCGTTCATTGCGCTTAAACTGACAGACACTGCAGATTTTTCAAATTCAACTTCATCAAGAGCTGTTTTCTTGCTCAAACGCATAGCCAAATCGTCTTTTTCAACCATCAAAATTTCCTTATCACGCACAAGCCGTTCTTGAACTGACGTAAGTTCTTCGATATTCTTTAGAAGGTTGTTGTTTTGTTTCATGAAACTTAATTTTTCTTTGTGAAATATTTGTTTCATGTTTTCCTCCGAGTCCAAAAGCTCAAGAATCTGCTTAATTTCATTCATAGTGAGAGTTTGAGCAGCGTTTTGCTCAAACATCGCCTGTAAATGTTCTACTTCCATGGTTAATTCTTCTTTTTCGAGCAACAAACACTCTTTTTCTTGTTCAAGATTTTGTTTTATATTGTATAGTTCCATCATTTTCTCTTCAAGTGCTTTTTTGTCATCTTGCAATACATCTTTCTCTTTCTCCAATGTCACTTTTAAAGATTTCATCTCATCGCATAATTTTCGTGTAAGATTCTCATTTTCTTCCTTCAACTCATCCTTACATTTGATCTCAACCTTTAGGATTCGTTCCAATCGCTCTTTGTCGACCAACAATCTTTTTTTTTCTTCTTCTACAATTTGCATTATCGAATTCGCTTCCATTACTTTTTGGTTTAACAAATTCTTCTCACGTAATACTCCCGCATGTTCCTCCTGAAGAGCTTTGCGTAACATTCGTTCACTAAATAAATCCTCAATTACTCCTTCGTTTTCTTTCAAAAGTTTCGCCTTTTCAGATTCAAGAATATCTCGGGCAGATTTCTCGCAATCTAGCTGTTCTTTCATTGTACAGATTTCGCGTTCGGCGTTGCGCAGATAGGTTTCCAGATCCCCAACCTCTTTTACGTAACCAATAATTTCGTTTTTTCTTTTTAAATCGTTTTCGTTGCTCTCTTTAACAATTGCATCGATTTGACGTTTAAGATCTTCTTTAGCTTTCTCTGCAGCAATCATGGTTTCTGCCGATTCATAAACTCTCAAGTCTAAAGTTTGAGTCAGCTCAGTAATGTGTTGCGTCAATTTTGCTATTTCATTTTCTTTTACCTCAAGGTTTTCGCGCATTTCTATCTTTGATTTTTCCCACATTAAAATGCCATCTTCATAATCTTTTCTAATGGATTCCAACTGTATTGTTGTAACTTTAAGATGCTCCTCTAATCTTTCTATCATGGTATCTTTTTCTTTAACCAGAACCTCATGATTGCTATTATCTTCTTCAATAGCAAAATGCAATTGTTCATTTTCTCTTTGCAATGCTTCAATCGCTTGTGCCTTGCTATTCGTCTCTTTTTTTAATTCAATTTCCAATTCATCATTCAGAGAGTTTAACTCCCCAATTTTGTTCTTCATTGCTTTGATTTCCTGATCCTTTCGATTTTTTAAAACCCGAGCAGATTCCAATTCCTGAGTTAATTTAGCTTCTAGCATTTTGATTTCTGTTAAACAAAATTAATAAAATGAAATAAAAACGCATAAAGCAATACATTCTTGTCAATGTAAAAGTATTGCAATCCCGGATTGTTAGGTTATCACTATCCTGTGCAACCTGGAAAGTTTCTATTTGTAACACATAACTGACAACTGTAATTGTCCAATATTTAGTGTAAGTTTCACACTGACACTACTTACCTTCATCTTTTTCTTCCGCTGTCTTAGTCAAACATTCTAATTCAACCTGTTGTTGAGCTTTCAAAGCACCTATTTCTTCATTTTTTGCGACAATCTTATTAGACAGCTCCTTAGTTACTTTGTCCAAAGACAGACACAAATTTTGATACTCTTCTTGTAATTTGTTTCTATACGAGGTCTCACCGCTGAGTTTTTGAATTAATGCCTCCCTTTCTTTAATAACTTTACTCACATTTTCTCTTTCCTTGTCTAAGGTCTTTTGCAACTTTTCTACTTCATGTTGCATTATTTGTATTCTTAGTTCTTTTTCTTGAATGGCGTGTTTAGATTTCATTGTGTGTTCACTTATTGATTTCTCGGTGTCTTTCAGTTTTGAAAGAAGGTTCGTAGTTTGTACGTCGAAATCTCTTTCTAGTTCAACATATTTTCGGTTTTCGACTTCGACCTTTTTCTCTAGCATTTCGATCACTATAACAAAACCCCATTTTGATTTTTTTTAATGCTAACGCATAAATAATACAAGAACATAACTGCAACTCGTTCGTGAGTGTAGAGAATAGATTTCTTAGCACGATAATATTAATATGACGATTGGTAGTAGTATAGGAGTAATAAAATGTAGATAATAGAAGACAAGTTTTTGTTTAAATATACTCGTAAATTAAAAAGTTTTTATCGGAACAAGAAAAATATTTTCTTTTCGACAAATGTGAAATAAAAAAATCTGTTCTATTCATAAAACTATTTAAATAGCACTAGAGAAAACAAGCCAAACGTATTGCGGAGTTTACCAAACTTTATTTCCATTACCTAATTTTTATAATAACGTGTGAAACTGAAAATGGCAGTGTGCAAAGTGTACTTACTAATATTATTATTCTCTGTGTTTTTACATAATTTTTCATGATCCTGCTGCAAACGTAACATTTCATCATATCGTTCCATTACTTGTCTCTCCAAATTATTCTTATCATCATTCAAAAAGGCTAAATTTTGTAGTAGAGCACGCCGCTCTTCACCGTCTGCGAAAATCTTATCATTCAAGGACATAACTTCACCATCTTTTTGCAATAATTCTTCATCTTTTTTCAGCAATTCCGCTTCTTTTTCTAACAATTCCTGATCACATTTCACTAATTCTTCATGTATTTTCTCTAATTCTTCATTCTTCATTTGTAACTTCTCGTCCATTATTTGTAATTCTTCCTTTATCATCTGTATTTCTTCAGTTATGGCCTGTACTTCCCCGATTTTCTTCTGTACCTCGTCAGTTTTATTCCGTACCTCTTCTTCATACATTTTTTTATCATTTTGTAGAGTTTTGATTTGATCATCTTTTTCACCATTCAGCGTCACAAGTTTGTTATATTCTTGGCTTAGGGCGTCATATTCAGTTTTCAAATGATTATTCGTGTATCTCTCATCCTTCAAGTATAGGTTCAAAGCGTATATCATTCTTACTTTCTCTTGAAATTCTATTTTCAAACTGGCTAACTCTGCCTTTAATTTACTTACTTCCTCGGATAAAGCCGATTTTGCCTGATTCAAAGTTTCAATCTTACTTTCTAAGTCAGCTTTAGATTGGACTTCAACTTGTACCTGCGTTTCAAGTGACGAAATCACGGAATTACGTTCATCAATATTGCGCGTCAGTCTAGCCTTCTCTTCGCTAAATATGTTTGTGATATTCTCAATTTCTTTTCGAATTTCTACATTATAATTGTCTCGAGATTCTAACTCCGCCATGAGATACCCTTTAGCATCTTCCAGAGACCTATTGCTCTCATAAAGACCAACATTTGCATCCTTCAATTCGTCAATTTCTCTGTTCAATTCTGCAAAAACTTCCACATTTTGCACCAAGCGCCTTTGTAATGCTTTCGCTTCATCAGTTTTTTGTTGCAAATTTGTCTCAAGAACACTTATTTTTTCTTTTAATTTTCCAATTTCTTCTTTGTCATTACGAATCTCCAAATGCAACTTTTCTATAAATTCACTTTTTTCAAACACATTGTTTTGCAGCTCTACTAATTCATTGTTTCTGTTTAACACTTTTTCGCTCAACTTCATTAGTTGATTTTCGTAATCCTCTTCCATTTTTATCTTTAGACACTTCTCTTTATCAATATCTATTTTTAGGTCTTTAATAATGTTTTCTAGTTTTGTAGTTTCGTCCGATAGGCTTTGCATTAAGGACAATTTATGTTCCTGGAGTATTTGAATTTCTCGAATCTTTTCTTCTATTGTAGCTGCCGATGTCTGTTTGTGGTCTTTAAATTGTTGGTCTAATTCATTAAGATCATTGTTAAACTTAGTGAGTAGGTCATTATACAGTGTATTTAGTTTGTTTTTCTCCTCAATCTCCTCATTTACACGATGTTTCAAAGTAGATATTTCTTCGTCTTTTTCTGATATAAGCGCCTCATATGTGAGCTTCTCATTTTTGGTGGTCTGGTCAAACTCAGTCATTCGCTTCTGAAAGTGAAGAGTTAGAATTAGTATTTAAACTAACTAGATGGATTTAAAAGCGAGAAAACAAGGAATAGCTGTTATTGTTGAAAACTTATAAGACACCTGTAAAGTTTGGATTTCTTGATTGAGGATAACAATTTTAGCTCTTTCCTCCACTAATTGAACTTCGATAACATTGGCGCATGCTTCGCTGCAGACAGCTAAAACAAAAAAATGCAGTTACAATTTTATTGACTTGGAGATAATCACACAGATCTTTAGGTGCTACTCAAGTACTTACAAATATTGTGAAGCGACATGCTGGCATCAGGATCATCGCACTCCAATTGACTGGAATCCAACCCATTGTTCTTACGATTGTGCTGTTGAAGCTCAGTTAAAAGATCTTTTAGAGACTGGATGTTACGTTTCTCTGATTCCAACTCTTCAGCCAGTTGAGCTGACCTAATTGCCTCTTCTTGATTGACAGAGAGCCATTTATCACGTTCTTGTTTAAGTTCGTCGAACTATGAAAGCAAAAAGCACAATATAAATTAAGTAATACTTTATTTCGCATTCCCTATACAGTTGTACCAAAAATAAGAGGTGGTGCTATGGTGAACCAGTAGTTTTATGCAGCGATTCAAGAACGATCCACGTCACGCGCGTAAGACTGTATAATAAAATGCGCACGCTCCGTTAACTATTGGGAGAGGTGAATCACCGTAAATGCGAATCCAAAAATCGGTAAAGAGGCATCATGGTATACCTTTGCTTTATATGTGTCTCTCTCATACTGTAAGTCGTCTAACTTCTCCTGTGTAGCAACTAGTCGCTCCTCCATGTCTTGCAGCTGCCGAGTCAGCTTAGCAGTATTTTCATCAACACCTTCCGTGGCCCGCACTTCCGCGTCTTCACCACAGCACATGGATATCTTAGCCTTCAGATTCACTATCTCCAACTTGTATTGTTCTTGGTCTTTTACTGCATGAGAATTAAAATTCGTCAACATAATATAGTAATGAAAATTATATGAGACGAGAGAAAGAATAATGTGTTTAAAAGGTACAGAAATGTTTTTCAAAACGTCCTGCCCAGGGACGACAGTGAGAGTCTAAGGATTTACGATATCAGTATGCTTCTATAGTATACCTCGATACAAGGAGCTGGTGTCGTCTCTTTATACTATGCAACTTACATAGCTTATTCATCCCTAAATTAGTGCGTGAAAGCTCCTCTTGCAAGTAATTGCGATCGAATCGCTCAGCATCCAGCGCAGCCTGCAATCGCCGCACTTCGCCATGCAACGAACGTAATGGAGGTGGAGTTTCTGCCACCTCCATAGTCTCTGGCTTCCCATCTGTTGCTACGATTTCTTGGCCACATGCCTCTGCGAAATAAGTAACAAATAAAACAATAAGATTTATTCTAAACTATTTCCGTTAATAGTTCAGTTTACTTCACAGCCTTGTCAGAGTTCATCCAGGAAAGTACTGCCACCTTACCTATTTCTGCCGCCAAGCAGTAATGTGAGCATTATTGCGTTCCGGTTTTGAAGGGTACGTGTTCTGGCGAAATTACAGGCACATGAGACTTGTCAACTTATGTCTCAGGGTGTCGGACGCAGTAGCGGTGCCCCTCAGATCTTTCAAAGCTCTGAGTGGCACTGCAACTGTTATGGTCAGTTGTTGGTCCCGTCACTTAATGTTATCAAAAAGAAAACAAATAGCACCAGTATTTTACAATTATTTATTTGCGGCATTATGAATAGTACAGAGAAAGGCATTTCAAGCAAATATGAACCATGTTAGGGTGTAGCAATCTAAGTACTTATACATTTTTCTGTAGTAATAAATCAAATCCTCCTACCCAAAGAATCGTAAGCCCAAATGTAAGAATTTACAGAGGAATGTTTTAATGTATCAAAAAGGTTAAAATGAGCATACCTGCTATTTTCGAAGTATTGTAATAAAATTGGGAACAGATCCATTATTTTCATGTTTTCCAATTTTACTGCTGAATATAATAGACCTGCATAAAAAGAAAGTGACTTACTGTACTCAATTTTGTTACTTACGATAGATTACGTAGGAGGAATTGAAATATTCTATAATAATTCATTACTTACCATTCATTTATTAAAATAAAATTATATTGAAGGTTTTTCCAATGGTAAGTATGCAAAAAAAGTAGGATACGATTTAATACAGTGCATACTTATAATGCTTACAAGTACGCATTCAACTTAAAGGATAAGTATAATAAGAGACCTTTTCATGACCTTTAATTGTATGGACCTTTGTGTTAATGGATTTAGGAACTGTTACCAGGTGCCAAGTTGAAAAATTAAATACATATTATTGACTTTGTTTTCACTCTTGAACATTTTATTGCTTAATATTTTTAATGGGCATAATTATATTTAGGAACGTAAATAAGTTTAGGATGACCAAAAGTTCTTTGGAAATCAAATATTTCATACATTTTATTATTTACCTGTAATAGCTGCCTGCACATCTGTTAAAGTAACAGGAGAACACTCCATCAGACTCTTGCTGAACTTCAAAATGGTTTCCTGGTCCTCGGCACTCAGTTTACTACACATAGCGGTCTTTATATCTACATCTTTAGAAATAACACAAACAAAGAAAAGGAGCAACGAAGCAGCGATGTACAGGTTCTCATCAGTGACAGCTTCAACTGTTTCATTTTCGAATTTGAATTCCGGATATTTCTCTGTAATGAACTCTTCAATGGTATGGGCTTCTAGTAAAGACGATTTGGACTCGTCAAGATTTAAATTTTCTCGTAAATGAGATATTATTGTGACAATAGCCTCTAAAGTCACATTTTCTTCCTTTTCAGTGCTTTCATTGAAATAACAATTTATCTGTAAATTAATTGGAAATTTATTTTTGGAAAACAACCTTGGAATGAATTTAAATAACCTGGAGAAAAAAAGGAGATTAATGGTCTATTCCCGTATGGTTGGTATACCAAGAATCCAGAAAATAATAAAATTCAAACATGGTAAACTCAATCTAAGGCTCATTCTTCCAAAGTGAATAAGAGATGTGTTTAGTTCGATGTTCTCTTTCACTAAAAAGCTAATGGTAATCAATTTTTTATTGAATTGATATTCAATTATTTTTTGTGAAATTACTCCACTAGTTTGTTATAATTATTAATACAAAGATCTTAATACAAACTTTAGTCTATTTGTGACTCTATCAATAGGATACAGGCGTTATTTTCAAATCTTCCCTTCAATTAGTGAAAATACACAATTCAGTACACAATAGGAAATGAAACTATATTTCCGGATTTAAATCGCGTATATTTGTTTTTTCAAACAAACCGACGTTTCGGGCCCTTTACAGGTCCCATGGTAACGGTCGACTTGGTGGTTGAAAAACAAATATACGCGATTTAAATCCGGAAAAATAGTTTCATTTCCTATGTGTAACAATCGCGAAAACCTAAGAACTCGATATCAATACACAATTTTTATTAGTTTTTATCATGTCTTCTTTATGTCTGACAAACAGGGTGAAATTTTTATCAGTAGCCAAATTTTTTATACGCATTAAGTATCAAAGTCTCCGTTTTTAAAAATTGATAGGTAAAGTTGTCATATTAAAATTATTTGTCCAAAATAATAATCGATAATGTCAATACAACACGCTAGTCAGGTCCATGAATGGAAATACACCCCCCCGTTTCACCAGGGAGAGATTCCCGCACGGCGGAACCGCATTCATTTTCAGTCGCTAGCGCACGTTCGTCTCGAAAAGATGTCACGCATCCTCTCTCCTACTACCGACCGTCTCACGTGTTCAATGTACCTACTCAAACCGCGAGTGCTACGAAATGGTGAGGAGATATTTCTTAAGTGGTGAAGTCTACGGGGAGTCCAGAGCCGAGTAGAAAGTGTTCCACGCCGTCGCAATTTGGGAGTCGAAAACGCAAGGACATCTAACCTTCAAACGATTTTAAATGTCGTTCAATGACTAGGCTATACCCAATTTATAACACCTTCACACGCTCAAAACCAGGTAACTTGTCCATCCTTGACTTATACTCGGTTAATAATGGGTTACATTCCAAAAGAAAAGCACAAGCCTGTCCCTGTCCTGTTCTGTTAGTCGTCATATTCAAAACTATATGACGGACCTAAGCTCGTAAAAGTATGAAGGGAAAATTTGCAACTTATGTTTCTTGTCAATAACGGTATGCGGCGGCGAGCGGTACATAACTACTTACTAATTAAAGGTCCAAAATAAGTTCTCATTGCTGTGGTGTAGAAATTACAATAAGTCAAATTGGTTATTTTCGTTTCTTTCCTAGGTCGAGAAAAACAAATACGTAATGCAGATGTTATTTATGTATTTTTTTATTTAAACAATTATGGGTGTTATTTTACGATAAAGGTTTTTAATTAAGCCTACTTAGCCCGCGCCACTGATCCATCGCCGCACTGACTTGAGTAAGATAGCGAGTGACCGGCGGGTGATTGGCGTAGCTGAGTCGCGCGGAAATATTACAATTGCATCGGCCGGAGTGTAGTGTGCGTAAAATCGTGGCCGTATTTTGGATAAGTTGTGAAGTCATGTCTCAACATTTTAGTACTGGGTGATACTAAAATAAAAAAAAAACACGTATGTTATATTTTCATCTACGATCATATTAAAATTTGGCTAGTGATAAAAAAAAACATTGTGTATAATAGAAACAAACTAGTTACGTGCATTTAATTTCACAGACTTATTAATGTATTTCTTCAAACATTACACATAATGTTCTAATTGGAATATGACAAACAGTATAATTCCATCAGATGTAAACATTGCTATTGCTTGATCATTACAAATGAAAAAACTGTTAGGTACAGCCTGGGCTAGACAATATTATTACATGAATTAATTGTAAATAAAAAACGAAGGTAAGTATTTGACATACAGAAATATATTTAGTTTTTCAATTAAAAATGTAAATTGTAATTTTAACTGCCTCCGTGGCCGTTAAAATTACAATGAACTGGTAGTTATTAATGTAGAAATAAAGTAAAGTAACGCTTACAACGTGTTGTAAGTACGAACTAACTGCCTCGGTGGCCGATCCGTTATCATATCAGACTGCCACTCAGAAGTCCCAGGTACATTCCCGGGCCGGGAGAAATAGGTGTACAGCCTACATTTATTTCTCTCATAAGTTTGCGTGTAATTTGTGGTTGTCTATGTATGTATCCATGGCACCCGCAACACAAGGTATTCTTAGTGTGGGGCTATGTTGAGTGTGGGCATCATTATAATTATTATTAATTGGTATTTCAAATATTTTTGTGGTGCCAGTTTCTTTTTCTTTTAAATGCTATGGCTCCATCAAAACAATGATTTCACCAATGTCAAGTAAAAATGACTATGTGCGGTACTTCTACTTATAATGTTACAACACCATTGATACCATATCGGTAAACCCGCCAATGCCAAGTTGAGGAACGCACGCATTTTTAACTCAAAGAATGACCGGCAAATTCCGAAAAAGTTCACTGAGGAGAGAATCTACAGCTACAGAATACATACACAGACTATTACAAAAATAACTTTTTTTTAAAAATTAACTTACACAGAACATTGGTGCCAGTTTAATGGTAATTTACTTTGTATTTTCAATACAGGAAGCTACAACACCGTCTTGTATATATACTCAATTTACCACATAAAATCATTTTGTATCAGACAAGTTTTAATCCACAGAGAACTTATATTTTAATTTTTTAAATGTAAAAATACACCCAGTTTAAACTGCATGTATAAATGTCATTGTAACATTCAGACATATTGTCCACTTTGGCGGTAATGGATGCAAGTTCAAACACTTTACATAGTTTAGATTTTATGATCCATGTAGAGATATAACATGTAATTAAATCATTTCTGTAAAAATAGTCCCTTAGTGTTTGTTGTAAAGGAGATGTGGGGTGTGACCCCACAATGCTATGGAATTAAAACACGAGAAACTATTGCCATCAGTTATACACCAAGTTTATAGAAAATTAAAAGTATTGACTGTATGCCACATAATTTTGGCGCTGACTGTACAGCTGCGTACATGGAAAATAGGCAAGCGAAGGGTCTGGCTATTTGTAGATGTGCGATATGAATAAGTGATTGCAGTTTGGTACATATTAAGTTACATACCAGGTACGACGTATACAGTTGTGACGTAATTTACGCGCTTTTCAATCACAAAGACAGTTTTTTGAAAACAAACAAGTGACAGTGCAAACAAAAACACAATACAATTATGATAATTTTACCTTGATTCAGTAAAGAATTGCTTCTGAAAGTACTTACAAACATTGTATAAAGATGTGTTAATTATACGTTATGGTAAGAAAACGGTTACTTCGGTAGGTAATAGTTTTGTCCTACAAAATGCGATTTACACTTACCCAGTTTGTTAATATGAGTTTCCATTTCTGTAACATGTTTGTAAGTATAAGCAATGTCCACACTCGCGGATCCCTCGGCTACTATTTTATTGTAAATGAATCCTAGTCATTAGTACTGAAAACAAACAATTTTTGTAAAAGACAAAACGTTGTTATTCGCCGTTGCTGTTTGAATTCTTAACTTTTTTTTTCAACGATCACAAATGTCACTCACTTTAGATACCATAAAAACTCGCAGCTTTTTCGTTTGAGATTGAATGAATGGCGATGACATGAATCAAATGAATGATTTGAAATATGACATATTACTTCTTCATGACTTCGACAGTTTGACATTTTATAAACTTAAAGATCATCTTGAGATTTTGACGTTTATCATAATATTTCTGAATCTAATCTAATTTAATTTCATATTAATTTTTATTGTATTATATATTGTTATTTGATAGAACGATAGAACATTTTAATGACCATTACTGGTCTCTGTTATTTTGTGAATTTCACTATAATAATATGTCACCAACTCGAGCAGCCGGCTTAGTAATATTCAGAAACGTAAATCAAGTGGTACAGTTTCTTATGCTTCAAACATCATATGGTGAAAACCACTGGACTCCTCCCAAAGGTAACATGTACCTCCAATATAATTTGTTTTTTGAATTCAGGGACTTAACTGATGTTTAAACCCAACCTAAATCAAAGTGCATATTACTATTCCAACCCTTTTTGAAGCACCAATTTTTTTCAGGCCATGTTGACCCTGGTGAATCAGATTGGGTTACAGCGTTAAGAGAAACCCAAGAAGAGGCAGGTTTATCAGAACACGAAATGGAGGTTGTAATAATTATTAAATTCCATTTCATTAAGATTATTTTTAACTGTCCCATTTTAACCGTCTCTAGACGAAACTCGGTTTTCAATTATAAACTTAATTTTAGTTTAATGGCCATTCACCAATAGCGTTTGTTCAGTGACGGTATCAATTTCTACTACTATATTTATTATATTATTTTGTTTTGCAGATATACAAAGATATATCAAAAACCCTTAACTATGAAGTAAATGGAAAACCCAAAACTGTGGTCTACTGGTTAGCTAAGCTGAAAAACCCAGACCATAAAGTTTATTTATCTGAAGAACATCAAGACTTGAAGTGGTTGCCATTACAACAGGCACAAGAAATAGCAGGTTACAGTGACATGAAAATGCTTTTGCAGGAGTTCCATGAAAAGGCCCAGAAATTAATATAAATGTTAAAATTTAATAAGAGAAGACGTATGTATGTAATAAGAAATACATGTTAAAAGTTGAATTGCAATCATTGTTATTATTCACTCAAAATTTAAAATTCCTTGTTCAAAGTAAACATTAATTTAGTGTTTGACCCCCACTTATCAAAACGGTCTACTGGTTTTTTTTTTTATAAAAAATAAGTGCGCATTTAACCTCCATATAACCTAAATAATGCCTATTCACTCTCTTCTTGAAATGGTCCAAGTTATAGCGTTCGGGGAACAAGTCTGCAGGCAGGGAATTCCACTCCCTAACTGCTCGCCACACAAATGTGGAAACGAAACGCTTCGTGCGCGTTCGTGGAATATCCACAACATAGGGGTGGAACCGCCGCCCACGTCTAGTCTCCCAATGATGGAAAGGGGAAAGCGGTGATATATCCTGTAGAATACCGATAAACTAGCAACACTACGGCGGTGTTCAAGACTCTGTAGCTTCGCCTCTACTAGTTCCGAGTCACCTATAAGTCTCTTAGCACACTTGTCTATTGAATCCAAGGTGGCTAGTTGGTATTTAGCAGAGCCATCCCATAAGTGGCAGCAGTACTCCATACACGATCGGACTTGTGCTTGGTACAGCTGAAGCAACTGTCCCGGTGTGAAGTATCGCCTCGCCTTTTTGGCCACGTTGTGTTTTATGTATTAAATAGGTACCTACTTTCAGAATGGTATTTTTGCTACAGCTATTATATTGTCACAAACAGTTTTTTGCCATAAAAATAATTAGTGTAAAAGTAAATTAGTATTTTATTGTACGTAAAATAGGCGCCTTGTCGTCGAATTGCGGATACCAGCCCGTTGCACCAACTGCCAAGTTTATTGTATTATTGAGATTTTTTCGTGTAATAACTTTACTAGTTTTGTATAAGTAATATAAGTGATTATCGAACACAGAAAAACTTATTATTACAGTATTTTATTATGATATTGATTTAATTGAAGATATGCTTGTGTCCCTTTGAGAGCAAAATACTTAAATTCTCAACATACCAAATTCTCAACTCGGCTAACATTTTTAAAAAGTAAGATTTTTTCAAAGCATCTTTCACCCGTCTACGTAATTACATCCTCTAAGACTTAAACATATAGCTGACATTACAACAATAGGTAAGAAATGTTATTTGACAACATTTTTACTATTGTATACTGTGGCATTTTAAGTAACATGGCTGCGTTAGCAATCCTTCGAGTATATAATCAGTAGCTACTTAACCCGTTTTGTAATTCAACCGCAGCCGCTTAAAAACGTCATAGCAATACATTATAAAGAAGATCAAAACGTGCGTTATAGTGACTTTTTCCTCTGAACAATATTTTACGTATTTTTTATCCCTACAAAAATAAGGGTATTCGAAATAAATATTTTGGCATGGCAATCCGTTAAAAATGTCAAATGTAATGCGCGGGGGGGGGAACATTTCATTCTTTACTCATTCTAAATCTATTAAATTCAATTTAGACGTTTAGTGCGATTATTGTGGATTGTGCCTGTATGGATATGAATTTTTGAACAAAACAACATAATGGATAAACCAAGTAATACTGATAACAATTTATCATCTTATAATGCTGATGCTGATGAAGATACAAATTCTCCTAAAGCTAGACTTCGGACTCGTGGAAAGAAACGTAAACGGTCGGTGTAATGTTTTATTTACATATAATTTTTGTGAATTACTTTCAATAAACACACTTTCTTTGCGTAATGTTTGAACCAAATGATGACATGGACCGAGTACATGTGATTCATATGAATTTTTTATAAAGGAGTGGTAAGACTCTTCTACATTTCATCTCGTTAGCAAGCTAATTGCCCTAAAATGCAGTAACATCTGTAATAAGTCTATCTATGATTTTTTTACTTTACTATTTAGAGGCATATGTCGTAGAGTTTCATTTAAAAGGGCTCACTTTAGTACACGTGACGTCGAGTTGGGCGTTCAAATAAATTTTGGAGATAGACCTAGTCAAAAGGAACCCCTCCACAAATTTTCAGTTTTAGGACGCCAAAGGTTTTCGAGAAAATAATTTTTGAAAATTGTGAAAATTAAAGGAAAAAAATGCATTTAACTGCGTATTTATGTTGTTTTTAGATTGTTAGGTTTTTTAAATTACAATCGTGAAAGTCCCTCTGGGCAGAAATAAATTAGATTATTTAGGTTAAGTTAGGTTTTTTTTTATACAAACTCGGAAGTCTCTCTGGGCAGAAACAAGTTGGATTATTTAGGTTAAGTTAGGTTTTTTTATACACACGCAGAAGTTCCTCTGGGCAGAAACGAATTGGATTATTTATTTTAGTTAGGTTTTATTTATACAAACGTGGAAGTCCCTCTGGGCAGAAACGAGTTGGATTATTTAGGTTGAGTTAGGTTTTTTTTATACGAATGCGGAAGTCCCTCTGGGCAGAAACAAATTGGATTATTTAGGTTAAGTTAGGTTTTTTTTATACAAATGCAGAAGTCCCTCTGGGCAGAAACAAATTGTATTATTAAGCTTAAGTTAGTTTTTTTTATACGAATGCGGAAGTAATTCTGGGCAGAAACGAATTGGATTATTTAGGTTAAGTTAGATTTTTTTTATACAAACAAATATTAATGCGGAAAAGACAACTATTGTTCCTTTCACTAGGAAGCGGAAACTAGACAAGCTAGTGGAACCGATCCATGGTGGCAGGGCTGTGAGTTTTTCTGCAGAAGTTAAATATTTAGGGTTACCCCTTTGATTGATCTAGATCAAACCCTAAGATGGAACTGTCATATAGCTAACACAGTCAACAAGGCCAAGATGGCCTTAGGTTTCTGTAGTCGTATGGCAGGACAGCACTGGGGTCTTAAACCAAAGATGACTCTCTGGTTATACAAGGCAATTGTGAGGCCCATAGTAACATATGCATCTGTTGTTTGGAGTGGCGTGAGACCCAGACTCAGCTACAAGCTGAACATCGGACGTCACTCCTCTATCTTTCAGGCCGAAATATACGCCATAATTGCTTGTGCGGATCTAAACCTGAAGAGTGGCTATGTTAACAATTATATTTATATAAACTCAGATAGTCAAGCCACTCTGCATGCACTAACCTCAGTCACCCAAACTTCGAGGATTGTAGAGAACTGCATAACTATACTGAATACTCTCGGGGTAAGGAATAATGTAGTCCTGCATTGGGTTCCTGGTCACTCTGACATCACCGGTAATGAAACAGCGGATGAACTGGCAAAGGCTGGTGCTAGGGAGGCATTCTTTGGTCCTGAGCCCTTTATAGGAATAGCACACAGCCTGGCAAAGCTCACTTGGCTGAACGAAAGCTCCCATGTGTCCCAAGACGTGTGGCTGCAGACTAAAAGTCTTGAGCATTCTAAAGCCCTGATAGCTGCTTTCAGTGCCAAACACTGTAGAGAAGCTCTGTCACAGGACAGGAATGGCATTAGAGTGGTGACTAGAGCCTTAACAGGACATTGTGGCTTGAATAAGCACATGTCAAATATTAGACAGAGAGAAAACAGAGAATGTACATTCTGCCACGAGGTGGATGAAACTCCGGTGCATCTCCTCACCCAGTGCTGCCCTCTGACGGGCGTCAGAAGTTCCATACTGGGTAGGCTCAGGCCACACCCAGAGGACATAAAGACTGTTGGAGCCAGGAAAGTCCTTCAGTTCCTTAATGCTGTTGGCCTTGACTCCAAGCTGTGATTAGTGGTGATCACAATAGATCATTTATGGTCGCAGTGATGAAGGGCCTCATAGGCCCCAAATGAAGTCACCCTAATAATAATAATCCCTTAGCCATATAAGGTAACATCCTGAGAGGCACTTGATGGAATGACTTGTAACAATACAAGGTGAGTTCTATGTCCAGCATAGGACTGTGATGGGGTAATGTTGATAGTCATAAAGCAAATCCTTTATTAATGCAAAAAAAGGGGGTCAATGTAGTGAAAGGCTGGTTTTCTCTAATAAATATTTTTATTCTTTCTAGGAAGGACAGTGAGAGCAGTATAGAATTTGAAGGCATTTTGCCAGATAATGTTCTAGAAGTAGAAAGAAACCTGCAAGCTTCAGCCATTAAGAATAATTTAGATGATGCTAGTGTTAAAAAGATATTAAAGGTATTTACAACTTTTTATGTAATTGATAATAACATTCCAAGAATGCGTTTTACAATCACATCTACTACTCTAAGCTATTCTCTGTGCAAGAATGCTATAGTCATGGTACCCCTACAGCTGTGTCAAAGTCAAAGATCATTTATTCCATAGGTAAAGTAAATTTACACTTGAAAAATCACATTTAAGCTACTGCTCGTTCACTATGCTGACCTCCATGAGAAGAACAAGCAAGAAACTCAAGGGATTGCTCTTTTTAAAATAAACTTAAATGCTATGGAATAGGTACACTTTGAATCAAATTTGTGTGGATTCTGGAGCTGGGTTGTCTTTCCATACATCTTTATCTAACACATAGTCTTAAATTTTGTAATATGACTTTTCGGTCAAAATATTTTTAATGTAGTTTTTAAACTTAGGAAATGATAAACTTAATATATGCTCCGGAATCTTATTGTAAAAACGTATACAGTTCCCCATAAAAGTGTTGTTTACCTTGGTTAAACGAAATCGTGGTACCATGAGTTTGGACTTAGCTCTAAGGTTAATATTATGGATATCATCTTTCTTATTGAAATTATGTATATTTTAACGGGTATATAATATATTTTAGTAAATGTACCGTGATGCCACAGTCATGATACCAGTCTCCTTAAACTTTTCTCTGAGATAAACCCGATTGCCTTGACGGTAGATAGAACGAATCGCTCGTTTTTGCAATATAAATATGGTTTGAATATCTGCCGCTTTACCCAAAAGTGTGGTATTTAATGTGTTTTAGAAAGTTGTAACCAATGACCATGTGCTGGCACTGGTGAAGCTTCGTGAAGAGGAGGAGCTGTCATGTAACATACCTGAGCAAATAACTGCAAGACACACTAAAATTACTAGAGCCAAGGCCAAGTAAGTTACACATACTAAATACACGCCGCACTCATACCGGAATTTGTTCAATTTTATTCATGTGCTTTTTATTTCAATTATGAAGGTAGGTAGGGAGTCAAAACCACATCAAGCTTGACTACAAAAATTATGATAATTAAAATTAAACTTTACGTCTCTTATTATAAAAACATTCTAAAGACCAAAATGTCGAGCTTGATGTTCTCTTGGCTGTGTAAGTTTTTAATTTTGGGCCAAGATTTATGTTTCGAACAGTGTTGGTAACAGAACCATTTAAATTGACGTTATGGATCGCCCTTCGTTGTCACCAGAGCACTAACTCATCTTAGACCATTTTGGAAACCTATTTACCTACAATAAATACGGTCTATGCCCGTATCAAGAGCCCAGCCATATTACAGTCATCTGTGTAGCGTATTTATTAACTAACTTTATAACGAGACTCTGTAGTAACTTTATGGTGCCAAAAGTATTGGGCACCATTTTAGAATTCGAAAGGAATTTGCCAAACTTTGCCTTTAATTTCCCTTTTAGAAGTGTATAACATCGCTTGTTAATGACCTTGTTTCAGAGAATTAATGAAAGTGTCACCAAAGTCTGCACCATGGAACCTAGAGCTCACTCCGATCAAACATATACCAGTAAAGACGCGACCGGAGGTGAAGGCACTTATTGCTCAAGAGCTGCCCGAAGACGAGGATGACGAGGAGTATGAGCCTACTCATGATGACGTGCCTGTAAGTGTCTATGAACCACATGTGTCTATATATTTTATGATGATGGTCTTTGAAAACTCGGAGAATATTCCTAAAGATAAGATAAAGAAAGATCAAATAAATATGAAGCCCAGTAGCACACTAATAAATATGGAAGTTCAATCACCAACCAAGAAACCAGTGCACAGTAGCTGCGATTGTATTGAATAATTTTTTCATGCAGTGAATTTTCCCACTGTCCCTCCGCATAAAATGACAAACACCACCACCAAAAATATACCAAGCACATGTTACACCTCTACAAGACATCTTCAAGATTTGTTGATTGTTCGATACTCAGTCGTAGAGTGATTATTCTTGTGGGCATCATTACCAGAGATCATAATAAGTAAAGTATATTCACCTAAATTTCAAGTAATACTCATAGGCGCGTGGAGTAAATAATACCTCTCTCTGTAATTCCGGAATGATAAAAAGAAGCCACAAAACAAAATTGTTTTACTTACAGGACTTTGCCTCTATGGCACGCTGTACTCTAGTTTTCTGTATAATATTGAAACAAAAAATAACATTAATATTTTCCTTAAGATTTTTCCTTTTATTGTATGTAATATTTACCTAATGTAAAATTTGTGTATTACAGATTTATAAGGTTATATATACATAGCTCTAAGTATTATTTGTTGTCTATTATCTTATAGTTGTATTGTATTCAATAAAATAAATTAACTACCATAATAAAACAATTGCTAATTATACATAAAAAACAAAGTGAGATTGTCATATCGTAGAACCTGACTTCATCAACGGCAACTTCTTGGTTTGCCACTATGACACAAACTTTGCAATAGTTGCACCGTATAGGTTCCGTCCATCTTTCAACACACTAGATAATTATAACAACTTTTTGGATAACCTAAACAGTGTTCTATCGAATATTTCAAGTGTCAAGCAAATTGCTATCCTTGGCGATATTAACATTAACATCAAGCCCACCAACCAAGACGCCCGTTCAGATGATTATCTTACTCTGTTAGCATGTCATGATATTCTTCCCGCACATGTAATTCCAACTAGGATGAATAATTGCTTAGACCATATCCTACTTAAAACCACAAATCCCTCAATTTCACTAGTCATTGAATCACATATTACCGATCATATGCCCATATTTCTTGCTGTTGATGATTCTATTCACCCTCCTAAGATTCCAATTACGAGGACTCGTACTGACTATCGCACTGTTTATGAGAATATAAATGCCGCTGATTTTTCTAAAGTTTTTACGTTGATGGATGCAAATGAATCCTCAAATGCTTTGATATCGATCATACAGAATCTCACAAATCTTCATACTCATATTATAAAGGTAAGAAATATTAAACCGTGGATCACTCTGAGACTGGTTCGGTGTATTCAGCAGAGATAAACTTCATAAGAAGGCTAGAAAATCTTCTGACAATGACTTAATAAGATTAACATACACTAGATATCGAAACTTTTGCAACAATCTTTTGAAAAAACTGAAAAGGGCGTACGAAAAAGCTGAACTTGAAAGAAACCAAAAAGCACTATGGAATACCATAAAGAAAATTGTCAATATAAATAAGGTAACCTCACCGCCTGTCGAGCTGTTAAAATCTCTCTCAGAACCAAGAGAATCATGTAACGCAGTTTGTAAATTTTGGCCAACATAGGGAAGAACCTGGCCACCGCGGTTATGTCTACGAAAACGACAACTTACACATCCTCATCTTCATCAATGCAACTATTTCGCAAATACCTTTAAACTCGTTCGTAACTTTGGAGGTTGATGAAGCTGAGGTGGAAGGTCTCATAATGAAGTTGCGTAGCGATTGTGCAGTTGGATGGGATGGTATTACAACTAACCTCTTAAAAACCTGTCGCCATACACTAGTTCCCTTAATCACACACGTGTTTAACTGCTCTTTTGCTACGGCAGTTGTACCTGACGTGCATAAAACTGCAATAGTACATCCAATCTTTATGGGTGGGGTAATAACTACAGGCCAGTATCTGCACTTCCTACATTATCTAAAATCTTTGAGAGAATATTAAACTCACCTTTGTTAAAGTACTTAGAACACAACATACTTGCTGCAAATCAATATGGATTTAGATCTGGAATCTCAACAGAGGACGCAGTAAGTGATCTAACTGAATCCATATCTCGAAAACTTGATGGCAAACAAAAATGTTTGGGTATATTTCTCGATTTGACCAAGGCTTTTGACAGTTTCTATCCCCATCCTACTCTCCAAATTGGAGAAAGTCGGTGTACGAGGCTTACAGCTAGAAATTTTTAAGAGCTACTTTAACAATAGAAAAATGAGAGTAAAAATAAGTAACCACCTCAGTGACGCCGAGTATATTACTTACGGTGTGCCTCAGGGAAGTGTTCTGGGGCCTACACTCTTTTTGGTCTGCATTAATGAACACTGTAAACTATAATTTCTAAATCTTTACGTACGCAGACGACACTGCAATCGTTGTGTATGGACAAACTTGGCAATAGGTAAAAAATCATGCGGAGAGCTCTTTACGGACAATAATGCAATGGCTAAAGTCCAATTGCTTGACGCTAAATATGAGTAAATTCTCTATAACATCTGTCTCCAAGCCACCAACCACGTACACTATCACCGCTCATACCTGTACTGGTGAACAGGTCCACCCTTGCGCGATCAACCGTGTGACCCACATCAGATATTTAGGAGTGCAGATTGATGATGGACTGAATTGGTATACACAACTAGCATCATTGACCTCTAGAGTGAGAAAACTAATTTATGTTTTTAAACATCTTCGTAACTGTGCTGATTCACAAACATTAAATATGGTGTACTTGGCTTTATGCCAGTCTATCATTAGTTACTGTATTTCCACGTGGGGTGGCGCTGTTAAAACTAGGTTACTTGGGCTGGAACGGGCACAGAGAGCTGTCTTGAAAGTTGCAACCAACCGTCACTTCAAGTACCCGACTGCGGAACTGTACGCTGAGACTCAAGTCCTTTCAGTGAGACAGCTTTTTATACTCAGGGCCGTATTGCAACCACACCGTCGTGTTAAACGACCGGTGTGTCCAAGTGAACAGCATTCGACCATCTTTGCAAGCAGGCAGTTTTATGTTTGAAGCTCGATTCTATATAACAAATTAAACAGAATTCACAGATGTATTGGCTTATCTAGTTACGAACTGAAGTCTAAATTGCAAAATTGGCGGCTACAGAGGAACTACTTAAAATATGATTACTTACACAATAACTTTTGGATTTTATATACACTTACAAACACACACACACAACCACACAGTACGCGCACGCATGCAACACACATAAATCTACACAAACATGCATACACCTATACTTGTGCCTATTATTTTTTGTCTTCTTCTCTCACTTCTTACCTCATAACTATCACTAAAAGTGTATAACCACGATCGCTCAGTCTCATTTTTATACTTTAAATTTTAAATAAAAATTAAATTTTAAATATAGGCACATATTTTCGGTCCCGCCTAACTGATTACTGTCTCCTAAGACACAGACATTTCTCTAGTTTAGGAGCCAGAGTTTTGTTGTCGTTTTTGTTGTTGCCTTTTCTACCTATTTGTTTTGTATTTTTTATTATTAAAGTACCCTACTATAACTCCGGAATTTGAGAGGGAGGTGTTATCCACCCTATGTATATTAACAACCATAAAGCAGAGAATAAAAAAGTTACCTTAAAGTTCAGGTAAATAATAAATAAATACCTTGCTTATTTCAATCTCTGATATTATATGTCACCTTTACATTTCAATACAAAGCTGAATCATTTTAGACATTGATGTCCACGGTTAACACCAATTAAGTACGAACGGTTACGCTGCGTTATACTATATATAAATTAGAACTACATGCCATATGGTTGAAAAGTCCGAACATAGGACAAGAGGCCAGGACACGAAGCAGTGCGTAAGTAAGCGGCGTTAGTTTGCAACACCGGATTGCTCGTGTAGCACTCGGTGCATTGAAGTCATAGCATTGCAACTGGCACTCTTAGGGCTGCACAAATATTTTAAGCATTTACTTACTTGTTGTGTTAGATGCCGTTTTATATTGCTCTGTCCTTAGACAGGATGACATCAGAATGCTCACTAGAGTCTTAACAGGACACTGTAGCTTGAACAAACACAAGTCAAATATTGGGCAGAGACGAATAGAGACTATAGATTCTGCCACAAGTCAGATGAAACTCCTGTTCATCTTCTCATCCAATATTACCCCCTGAAGGCATACGAAGTTCCATACTGGGATGCCACGACTAGGGAACATAACATCTCTCAGAGCCAGGAAAGTCCCTCAGTTCTTCAATGCTGTCGGCCTTGGGTGCCGATAGATGAGCTGTTGGTCGCAGTGATGAGGGGCTACATGGGCCCCGACTGAAGCCGCCCTAATAATAAAAAAAAAAAAAAGATACTGTTTTTAACAGCTGCAAACATTTCATTGCAGAGTGACGACGATCAAGTGTCGTGTAGCGATCTGGACTCACAGCCACGGACTCCCGCAACGCCAAGCAGTCTTCATTCGAGCAGCCCTAGAGTCGTCAAAGACGGGCCTTTCAAAGTACCACAGGTATACAAATAAATCCAACGTAAAAAACAAAAACTTGTATAATTAATATATTTCGTAAACTAAACGCACGAGTGTTTGATAGCAAAGTGTACGAGAGGGTTAGCGAGAGGGAGGATTGTGAATTTAGCTTTTCTCGTGACTAACTATCGGAATTACCATTTACCACCATCATTACAACCAGGTTGCTGATTTATTCATAGACAGCTGTATAAGGGCCAGCGCATACAGCTGTCTATAGACACACGGCAAGGCTGAGGATGTTAAAAGTTATCAATGTATATTTTTGTGCTGTGTAATATACATTGATAAATTTAATGTCCTCTGCCTTCTTATCCGCCGATTTACGCTGGCCGTAAGCTATATAAGTTTTATTAGTTTATTCATTCATTCATACATTTATTATAGAGCTAATTCGACCCCTCCTACATACATACAATACGTACATCAAAATTGCCAAGTTTACAGGGGAGCGTTTTAAAGTTCTGAATTCACTGAAATGAGCTTAACCCGTGAATTTAGCATTTCTCAGTTTTATTCGAGAACGAGTTTTAAAGTAACGAGTTTGTCGTACATCAAACTGTCGTATTCGAAACCGAACCGAAATGACGTCACACCCGTACGATTACTCGAGCTTCTCGACCGGCCAAGGCTACAAACGTTAGAACACAGTCATCGAATGAAAGTTAACGTATTGTTTACAAAGCAAGATTGTAATATGTAAATCTCTTATTATTTTAAATGAAGTCTAGATTTTGTTCAATTTTATTAATTTATTTTAATGCAAGTCATTGTCTGTATTTTAGGCCATTAAAATCTTGAAAATGTATGTTAAAGGATTTTATTATATGTTTCACCAACTAACTCCGTAAACGCCGCGCCGTTGGATAACGATATCAAAGCCGCATCGAACGTTTAACTCGAAAGTTCTGAATAACTCGGAAAGCGCCCTTCGATTCGAGAACGATATCCAATGGAACGATTCGGTTAAAACATCGGGATCCAGTACAGCAGCTTGATTTTGATTGCCTCTCCCGATCGGAAACTGCGTCTTTTCCGAGTCGAGGCGCATAATTGCGATTCACAACAGGCCGATCGGAAACTTTTGACATTTCTAATCGTAACAATAGTTGATTTAATTCACAAATTAGAAAGATATAGTAGGAATCAGGTTCATCTTCTCGCTCAGAAACCCATCTGATTTCGAGACTACTCGATCGGATCGATACGGGGGGTCTACTCTTGATCTCCGTCCGACATCCGTCCGAAACAATTACTGTCAAATAAGTAATATTCGACAAAATTAAAAGACAAGTATCAAGAATGAAGCTTCATTCGCATCACGCGTCTTTTCATTTGGTCAAGTAGTGTTTATTTGGTAGTAATTGTTTCATACGGATGTCGGACGGAGATCGAGAGTAGACCCCCTGATTTGAATCAAAATCAAGCTGCTTGTCCTATTGTCTGTCGGCTGTAACTGTGAAACCTGTAAAAGGCCCGAAACGTTTGTTGTTTGAAAAAACAAATATTGAATTAAATAATCTTTATTGCACTTTAAAAATCACAATAACAACACAGAACTGTAAGTATCACAGAATAAGCTAATATGCTAATATATACAAGATGTTACTACTAACATACGCGATTTAGATCCGGAAAAATGGTTTTATTTCCAATTATGCTTCCGGACACATAATTCGAGCCACCTCGCATGTTTGCCTTAAAGGGCTAGAATTAAAAAATAGTGTTATCATCATTGACTTACAATTATATGGACGTCGGGTCCGCGCTAAAAAGTGTCCGCACTTGTAAGGCGCTAAAATCGTATACAGAGCGCCAAACTCCGCTTTAGTCTTAATTTGTTCTACTGACAGCGCGATACTGCGATGACATTACAATTTAAATTTCGAATAGGTTGACTTGGGACATTTTTTTCGTGGTTTTTGTATTAGACCCGTCGTCCATTTATTTGTAAATCAATGATTATCATCGAAGAAAAAGGTTTCCCTCGGTTTTGCAAGTCCAAATTTCCACCAAGGACTTATGGAAAAGACTTTTAATCTACTAGTTTCAAAATTGCGTAGGATAGTTCTTGATCAATCGATCGTTGTTTAAGCTTAGGGCATTTAATACTGATGCGAGGTGGCTCGAATTAAGTGTCCAGGAGTGTATTTATACTTTCACGAATATTTACACAAGCGGAGTAATGCAATTAATTTTTTTAACCACTAACAGAATATAACAACACCATCCCGCAGAAAACTAATAATAGTAGAAGAGGAAGAAGAAGCTACCATAGCCCTGAGGACACGTTCTAAACTTTCTCTATCTGCCACTCCAATAGAACATATTGAGAGCTCATTTATACCACCAGACGACATACCCACCCCAGTGGGTGATGATTTGTGGAATCAGTTCTTAGAGGAGTGTTTGAATCCTGCTGAGGTCTCCAAGAATGAGGAGGATGATGAGGCCGATCCAGAATACAATGTTGCTGCTGATCCTGATGCTCGTAAGTATTCGATCAAGGGCTTGACATTTCCTTGTTAGGTCCAGTTACCGAAGAACCTCGAAAACTAAATGCGCTAGAAAATGCGGTTAGTGGTCGTTCCTAGTTACCTATTTATTTATCTAGTATTAGTTATTAATATCGAAATAAAGTAAACTAACGCTTACAACGTGTAGTAAATATGAAGTAACTGCCTCCGTGGCCGAACGGTTACCATGACGGAGTGCCACGCAGAGGTCCCAGTTTCGACTTCCGGGCTGGGAGAAATATTTGTAAGGCCTACATTTATTTCTCTCGTGAGTTTGGGTGTAATTTGCGCTTGTGTATGTGAGTATCCATGGTACCCGCGACCCAGGGTTTCCCTAGTGCGGGGCTATGTTGAGTGTGCGTTATTATTATAACTCAATATTGTTTTTGTAGTACGTGCACATTATTATACTACCAAATCGATATGTTATAATACCAACTCAACATATAATAAACACTCGACATTGTATAAGTAGGTACTCGTAACATAAACTCAATTTATTCCTATACTTATCCTAAAACAAACGTTTTTCAGATGACGAAGACGAGGAAGCTCTTGAAAATAGTTTAATAAAGATCTCTAAAAAAGAACTCAATGACCTAGTGACAGAGTTGTTCAGCATCTTGCCTGAAGACACCGATGATCAGTTAGCTGCCGACTTGGCTAATAATGTGCTCGCTGACCACAATACTCCGGTATTTACCAAATTATTTATTATAATATATAGCTAGCTAGCATTCGTGACAGTCCATCGGTAGCATCGTTCAAACACAAATTAAATGAGCACTTCCTATTAAACTCGTAAATTAATCAGTAACATAATATAAATTAATATTTTGTTTAGATTATAATATATATTGTGTATCATATTTACATATATTTAAGTATGTAAAGTTTTTGTAAATGTCTGTATCAGTCGTATTTAGGTTGTCATCATTTTCATCGTAAGAAATTTCTTTTCGTGTTAAATTAAAATTTGTAAAGTGATTTTTTTTATAATATCAAGTGACGGGACGAACAAGTAGTGCGCCTGAAGGTAAGCTACACGCCTGTCCATAACAGTTACAGTGCCACTCAGAGCTTCAAATCGCAAAGATCTGAGGGGCACTGCCACTGCGCCCGTCACCCTGAGACATAAGATGACAAGTTCCATGTGCCTGTATAATTCACCAGCACCTTTACTCTTCAAAACCGGAACGCAATAATGCTAACATTACTGCTTGGCGGCAGAAATAGGTAAGGTGGCAGTACTTCCCTGGACGAACTCTTTCACAAGGAGCTCTACTGCTTACGATTTTTGCAATAATTAGTCCCACATACATACTTTCTTCACCACAGATGCTTTGGTGCCTGGAAAATATATTTTCTAGAGATAAGCTCACATTTTTGTGTGTTTGTGTGCGTGCGTGCGTGCGTGCGTGCGTGCGTGTTGGACATTATGTACAACAAAATAGATAACAATCAAATTACATTTATAAGAGATAAATATGATATTATATCTTTCTTATATATGATCATTTTAAAGTAAGAAAGATCATAATTTGCTCATTTACTTAATACAAAAGCGACAAGCGAATTAGGTGAGTTAGTACTCCTTTAAGTAATCTGGATCTTGGATCAAATTGTCGCATTACACTTTTATAACAAAGCAACTTTTTTGAACCTTGAACGTGCTACGAATTTGTGGCCTGTACTTGGTGCAACGGGCTGGTGTCCACAACTCGACGACAAAGCGCCTATTTTGCGTGTGGACAAGTTAACAACCGCCACCCTTACTTACCCTTCAAAACCGGAACGCACTAATGCTCACATTACTGCTAAGTGGCTGAAATAAGTAAGGCAGTACTTCCCTGGATGAACTCTTTCGCTCTACAGCTACGAAAACCAACCAAATTGACGGTATTCTTGAAAAATACCAATTCAAAACTACTCACAATAATCGAGCGTTTATGAAAAGACTGAAGCGAGTGTAGGAAGCTTCAACTTGATGTAATGGTAATATGTTTACAAATTTTTGTTATAGATTCCAAGTCATTGGGAAAGCAAACAAGAACCAATATCAGATGAAGAAACTGACAAGACTCCAAGTAGAATTACCTTCAAGAAAAGGAACAGCGTTAGCAGTGTTTCTATAGGAAAGATAGAACCGGAAGATTATATTGAATTTTGTGAAAGAGATAGTAGTGAACAAGACACGGTTGAGAAAGAGATGCCTAGATGTGTTACTCATGTTAGAGAAGGGTGCAGTACACATACGTAAGATTTTGAACTTAATGTTTTGATAAAATTTGGCATTATTATTAAAGTGTCGGTGATAATGAACATCGTTTACTGTAACAAAAGCTTTATGTTTGGAAGATGTTTTCAATTCCTTTCATTCGTCTAAATTTAGTTAAAAACGAAGTAAATGTAAATTCGACATGTTGTTTTCGTCGCCGACGCATTGCCACAACTACAACGCTATTTCGATTAGTAATACGTGTTAAATTTCGACTTATATTTTGATACTTTTAACTTCTGTTTTTATTTAATTTTATTTTTCTTTTGTTTTGTAAATATTTTTTCTTGTCTTACTTTTATTTATTATTATTTTTTATGTTACTCAAATAAATGTATTTTCGTTGTTTCTTGTTACTTTTAGAAAACCAAAGGCGACGACTATACACATATCCGTAGAAGAAAATATAGTACCTGTGGTGACAAAAGACGACCAACTACAACCACCTCCTGTAGTGAGGGAGCTACAGGAACCTTCCCCCACGACAGAGAAGGTTACCATTGAAATCGATAAATCTGGTTGTGTAAGTATTGTATAATATAATATAGTGTTACTCTTGTATATCTAGAAGAACAATATGCAATATGAGGTGAAATTAAATACTATAATAAAATTATTTACACGCTGCAGTCTCGGCCATATAATATTGGCCCACTTGCCAGTAGAGTACGAGCAGGTTCTCATTGGTTAAAATAATACGGTTAATTAGCTTTGCGCTCTTATCTAGCATCTCAGGTTTTTTTAAACCATCTGGCTGGTGTCGAAAAGAACTGGTGATCTTTATTGTGTACGGTTGATAATAGCTATAATACAAGATGGTAAAGTCGTCGGTAACTACTATGGAAATAAAACCTTAAAGAAACATTCCGTACCTATTAAACATCTTACCCAAGGTTATTGAACGTGAAGCTAAAATAGCTAAGACAGGTGAATTATTTATAAACATTCTGCTAAGTAGTAGTCTGACAGACGTACATTATCATTGCCGTTAATTCATAGTTTTTCGTGATCGTTTGTCTTAAAAATATACGTATAAAGTAATTGAAATGTAATAAGTCCATACTTGTATAAAAAAATTATTAACATACGCGTTTATAAGAAAAAATATTTATTATTAATTTTAGTGAGATCAAGGCACTTAAGGCCATAGCCGTGTTGGAAATTTTCTATAAAAAAAATTGTGAAAATTTACAGCATTAACTTAAATTTGCAGTCTTCCGGCTTAAAACAAAATAGTATTAAAAAATAGGCAAATCATTTCTCAATCAGCTTCAAAGTTCAGACTTACTTACACGCACTTAAGACAAATTGTTTTTTTTTGCAAATATGACAAGAAAATTTCGTTTACTGTTTCTATTTAGTTGGCCATACACGGCATTACTTCCTTCTAGATGATGGCATAGGTGCTGTTGGTGGTCTTGGACCAGAGTATATATAATTATTTTACTGACAAGACGTCTACCAGACCCATCAATAATTACTGACCTTACGTCTCGTAGACACCTAACCGTCGTAGTTTCTTAAGTATAATTGCCGCGGCGGCTCTCCTTGCACTGACCGGTAGCGAACACCGACGCAGGAAGGTAGTGAGCGAGACAGAACGATACCCGAAGAAACAACGAAACTGCAACACCGCATAGTTTTTGCAGTGTCTAGTAACGTCAGTCGCAGAGTTAATGAAAATATAAACACTATATCGAGTTAAACACTACCCTAATTACATCACTGTTGATCTTTCGCCCAAGTTTCATAGACATTTGTCTGTCAATATTTAATATATTTAGTCATTATTTTATTTATAAGAATTTTAGAAAAACGTCAGTTTGTTCAATTGACACTCGTTTGGATCCCTCTGTCAAACTGCATATACAGTTTTGCAGGACTATGTTTGTTGCTAAGAAAGTTGTACCACCTTTTAAATTCTAAAATAAAACATGTATTTTGAGATAGATCGCTGTACTAACATAAAATTTTCGATATACATACAGAAATTTTCACAGGGGACTTCATGTGATATTACGGCTGTGCTTGTCGCTATGCTTCAATTATATATCGAAGAATACAAAATCATGAACGAAGCAATTTGATTTACAGATGTTACCGGAACAAGTACAAATAATAGAACAACACCTACGTCAGCATATTCAACTCGCCACATCAAACTTCTTACAGCTATACGTTAACCCCATACATTGGAATTACGCACCTTCTTATAAGGAATATTTAGTAAGTACTAGCTGTACCCATCGAGTATATAACCAGAAATAACGACGAAATGTGATTTAATTCGTTTGAAAACTATTCTGCCAAATCATTACGGTGACAACTGCGCCCCGATTGGCCAGCCCGAACTCGGAACAAGAATGGATGGGTGTCGTCAGTTGTTTCACTTCAAATCGACCGCCGACTCGACGAAACTTAAAAAATTACATATTTAATTACCGATGAAATGTGATTCCGTTGATTTTGTAATTAGAGTTGTTGACTAGCTGTTTTTCCCACACCACTGAATGGAACAGATTCAGATTAAGATTCATTTATTTCTCAAATATAACATTACAGTATAAATTGCATTTCATGTCAAAGTATAAGAAATTATATTGAGATCGTCAGACAAAAAGGAAAATTATAAGAAAAGCACACAATAATTAGAAAATTAACAATTCATTATATAATATTGTTGTCATTAAATTATATATCATTCTCCATCAGGATCGTCATAAGTTGATAACAATTATACAAGAGTATGTTAATGCGGTAAAAATTAGTATAAAATAGAAAATACTGAATTCGTTACAATTTAAAGTCCATAAATTCTTTTACGGAGTATATAGGATTTTTCAAGAACAGGTCTTTCAGCCGGCGCCCAAATATTTCGTCAGACGGTTCAAGTCTGAGAGTACAGCTCCCATTGTTAGAGATATTTATTATCTTTATTACAATTAATACAGAACATTTTTGGAATATACGGAGACTTATACACACGTCCGTTATTAGCGCTGTACTATTTCAGCTTTCTAATTTGTGATTTCACCGCAAACGAGAGTTGATATTTAAAAGTGATATGAGGCCCATTTGCCTGATGAGTTGCTAGGAATGGATGGCCCTTATTTCGTCTCTATTTCTGGTTATATAGTCGATGGCTGTACCCTAAATGCGTTGCAATGAATGTGAAAGAAAAAACTTGGTATTTTAGCCCTGCAGGGTTAACCCCCTCCTTGGAGGAGAACCGTGTCCAGCAGTGGGATCCAATACTTCAGAGGCTTTTATAGCAATCGAATGAATAATAGTTGACGACCTCAGTGACGTAGGGCCACTGAAGTTTACACTGTGAGCGCTAGATGAGGAGACGCTGTACAAACTGACAACGCGTTTCCGCGCGGGAGTGCGGGGCGCATGTTCCGTCGTATCACGCACTACGCTGCGTGGTGCTATGACGACTGAGGGTCGTACCGCGAGAGTTAGCACTCACTGTAAAAATCCGCACATAATCGGCTCGACTTATTATGAACACCTGCCCGTTGACTTAAAAAACGAGCCTAACGATGAAACTTTTGATCGTCGACTGAATGACCTTTTATTGGATAATGCGTATTATTCCGTTGAAGAATATTGGGACATGATCTTGTAATGTATGTTGTAATTAAATTAGATTATTAGGTTTTTTTTTCAGTATTGGATGGAACCAGTTTAACTCTCATGTTACAAGGTGTATCTTTACGTGTCAATGCCCTAAACGACTATCAATTGTTTATAGGCGCAGTTCGAGAAAATTCTAGAAGATAATCCAAAGTCTGTGGTGAATGTATGTAATTTGAAACCTGCATTGGAATTGGTTCGAAGCTGGGAGAAATCAGTATCGCAAAATACCCCTGAAAACCAGGAGATGGTTGAGTAAGTCACTAGTTCTTTTTTTTAACGTTTTTTATGTAAAAATCTGTTTTACACCAAAAACAATTTGCCACATACACATTTTTAAAATGTGAATGAATGAAAACAATCTGACTGACTTGATAGTCATCTTCAAAAAGTCATCTAAGGGGCAATGTATACACATCTATATTAAGATTTAGTAGCAGTAGAGTTCCTTGTGAAAGAGTTCGTCCGGGGAAGTACTGCCACCTCACCTATTTCTGCCGCCAAGCAGTAATGTCAGCATTATTGTGTTCTGGTTTTGAAGGGTAAGGGTGCTGGTGAAATTAAAGTCACATGAGACTTGTCAACCTAAGTCTCAGGGTGACGGGCGCAGTGGCAGTCCCCTCAGTTTTTTGCGATGTAAAGCTCTGAGTGGCACTGCAACTGTTATGGACAGGCGTGTAGCTTACCATCAGGCGCACGACTTGTTCGTCCCCGTCACTTGATATTATAAAAAGGTTCCGGTTGACGCTAAAGGGTATACAGCTTCTACATACTTGGATGATAAAAATCCCTGGTAGTGACTCGTTTAACTTTTGCAGTTTGACTCGATCTATGCTATTTGAATAAAATATTGTAAATTATAAATGTGTATAGGTGTTTATTTACAAAGTACAATCCTTAGTTAACTCATCCTTCTCAAAGGAATTTGCCTTACCAATATCAATTTCAAGTGTAATTTACTTACGAAATAAAGATTATTTAGGTTTGAATATAATTTACCATAAAAGGAACAAAATACCACGTTTAGATAATGAATATGTTCTCATTTCCTTTCAGGTTTATGCAAAAGGAAGCTGATAGGAGGTAAGTAAGACAAGGCGTAACAGTTGCGAACAATTCATATAACAACATTCCCTTTGATTGATTGATGAGCACTGATTCTTAGGCGAGAGCAACTTAACGCAAAAAGCCTTTACGCAGCAGTAAAACAGTAACATCTGATAAATTACTGGCTGATAATGAACTCTAGCTATCAACAATCGTACAAGTATTGATCACTAAGGGCTTTCGCAAACGGAAGGCAGTCATTCGGCAACACGTTGATGCGGTCCACGGTAGTGTTCACCTTCTGTTTGCTAAACATGCGCAAAACAGCGCCTCGTATAGTAATTTAATATCGCATTGCATTCCCGTAAAAGTAATATTACAATGTGATATCGCCATCAACATCACACAAACTAAAAATGAGATTTATAAGCATCGTTCCGTACTTAGTAATAATATCATCAAATTGTATTATATACAATGTGATATCACCCTCACTCGCATCACACAGACTAAAATAATATGTGTTGTAAGCAGTGATCGGAATAGGTAGAGTTTTTTCGAGGAACAGAGTCAGAAAATGGAGACTGCCTTAGGACAATATTTTTTAGGTCCTGGATTTTTTCGGGATTGGAGAAATCTCGTAAGTTAAGTCTTGTTATTTGGGATAAGTAGGTAGACTATATTTATATTAACTTTGCGATGAGTTGTTGCAACACCAGTTTATCGGAATATTTAGGAAAATTCCGAATTCTTTGTTTTGTTTGTCAGTCTCGTCCCGCGCGCCCTCGCGGTTGGACGTGTAATCGAGTAATAATCAGTGATAAAATGACGTCAAATTTAGTGAAATGTGCAAGCTGTAACGTGGTAATAAACGAATTACTGACTTTTGTCAATAACAAAATAGATGTTATGAAGGAAGATGGAATCTCCCAAATCTGCACTAGTGCATTCACGGAGCTGGAAATTAAAACCGCTAAGGATCTGTTGTTTGATTCTATACCGTCTGCAAGGCGTAAGAAAATAAGAAAAGGAACTGGCAAGACCCGGCGTGACATCGATGATATAGTGACTTTAATGAAGGAAGGTAACCCTGAATCTTTTCCAATATTTGTTGCCAGGAACTTGCACAGATTGCCCCCGGTTTATTTTGATCACGTCGACACGACTAGGCTTCTAAAGGATATTTTAAAGCTACAACAGGATGTCCACAAAATTAACGAACAATTCGCTACAAAGGAGCAATTAACTATGCTAGCGTTGGACTTGGATGCGTTAAAACTGACCTCACTGGTTAATGTGAATGATACAAATGTTCAGAGAGTAAATACCAAGCGTGGTGCTGCTTTCCGTGATGGTTATGAGTATAACAGCGGTCCCATGGGTTTATTTCATAATGTGTCGGAAAATATTGTGACCGCTGAGGGTAATAAATCGCCCGATGGCTCCGAGACTATGTACAGAAATATTATACACTCACAAACTGCACTTGACAACGGGAATCATCATTTATATTCATCATTTAGCAAGAATAACATCAATAATTCCATAGAAATTGATAATAATAGTAACGTGTCGGTATTTTGCTCGAGTCCGTGCGATAGCTTGGTAATGACACACTCGTCATCGCCAACGGCCGAGCGGCCCCCGCCTCAGCTGCCGCCGTCGTCGCCCGCGTCGGCGCGTGTGCCGGCGCGTGAGCCGGCGCGAGCAACGACCCCGCCTCAGCGGCCGCCGTCGCCTGCGCCGGCACGTGTGCCGGCTCGTGTGCCTGCGCCCGCTTAAATATTACGTCGGCGCCGGAGCGGAGTCGCGCGGCCGCCCGCGCTGTCGGCGAGAGTGAACGTAAACAAAGAACGCTAGCAGATATTGTGCGCGAAGGCGAGTGGAAGAAGCCAGAAAAAAATGATGAATGGATTGTTTATCAAAAAAGAAAATTGAGAAACCGCTTTGTGGGAAATAGAGGTAGTGCTACCGATGCGGAAGGTTGTTTTAAGGCCGCTGAAGTGAAAATTCCAATTTATATTTATAATGTATCAAAGGAAGTGACAGTGTGTCAGATCAATAGATACATTCAGCGCAAAACTAGCTTATGCGTAACAATAGAAAAAATGAACATGAAGCGGCCTAAGGACTATGACTCGTACAAAATATTTGTACCTAAACATAAGTTGAGCTTGTTTATGTCAGACGAGTTCTGGCCGGATGGAATAGCGTATAGGCGTTTTGTCAATTTTAAGTACAAAGGGCCTGATAACGATGACTAATTGGAGAGAACTTTCGTGATTATTAATATCTCATGACCAGTATGCGACTTTTGACTTTTAATTGTAAAAATATAGCTAGATCAGTTGAGTGTGTAAGAAAACTATGTAAAGTAGCTGATGTCATCGCGCTGCAGGAGACCTGGCTGCTGCCGCACGATTTGGCCTATTTGGGAAGCATCGATGATCGTTTCGCTTTCACTGGGACCTCTGCTGTGGATACATCTGCAGGTGTACTCCGAGGACGGCCTTATGGTGGGGTAGCGCTATTGTGGAGGAGAGACATATCCGCCGTAGTATCTGTGGTTGAGTGTAAAAATGCTCGGTTGGCTGCTATCAAGGTAGCGTTGCAGGATCGCGCATTATTGATATTTTCCATGTACATGCCGACAGATTGTAGTGACAACATGGTCGATTTCACGGATTGTCTTGCGGAGATTAGTGCGGTAATTGAGAGTCAGGAAATCGAAACGGTGTTTTTATTAGGTGACTTCAACTCCCATCCAGGGGAGCCGTTTGCTGTAGAACTTACACAGTTTTGTGCGGATCAGTGTTGGTCTTGTATTGATTTGGAACTCTTGCCCTCTGACTCATACACATATGTGAGCGAGGCGCATGGCTGCCGGCGGTGGCTCGACCACTGTATTGGAACTGGTGCTGCGAGGCAAACTGTTGTAAGTACGTCGATTTTGTATGATTCGTACTGGTCTGACCATTTCCCCATTGTAGTGCATTGTAATATTAATTTAATTAAGCCTAAAATTTTAAAATCTGTTTGTAATAATAATAAGATTATGTGGGGTGACCGTGACTCTGCTCAGATATCAAAGTACCACGATTTTTGTAACTCTAGGTTAAAGCTAATAGATTTCCCTCATGAGCTTAGTAAATGTTGTAATAAAATATGCAACAATAATGATCATTTTCAAGTTTTGCAACGGTTGTATCAGGATATTATTGGTACCTTAACGGAGGCTGCGGTGACCTGTTTTCATGTAAGAAATAATAAAAAGAAGCACTATGTGACGGGGTGGAGCCGATATGTCAGTGGGGCTCATGGGAGAGCTAGGTTATGTTTCCAAGACTGGGTTCTTCACGGTAAACCTTCATCGGGTTATTTTTATGATGAGATGTACCAATCTAGGAAGCAGTTTAAGGCTAAATTAAAATGGTGTCAAAACCACGAACAGCAAATTAAGAATGATATAATTGCACAACATCATTGCAGTAAAAGCTTTGGACCCTTTTGGAAAGCTGTAAATAAATTAAATCACAAAACGAGTGCCCCCGCGACTATAGCGGGTGTTCAAGACCCTAAGGATATAGCCGACCTCTTCCAGAGTCATTTCAAAGTGGTTTCCCCATTGGGACCTTCTGCGCGGGTATTTAATGCTGGGGCCATATCTGAGACTACCTTAACTATAACTGCAAAGCAGGTGGCTTCTATAATAAAAACCATGGTTAGGGGTAAGTCACCGGGGCACGATGGTCTCAGCATTGAACATCTGCTGCATGCAGGTGTTCACTTGCTCAGGGTTCTTTCAATGTTTTACACCCTGTGTATGGGCCACTGTTACTTACCGGACGATCTCATGCGTACTGTTGTGGTCCCAATTGTGAAGAATAAGACCGGTGATTTTTCTGAGCTGTCCAACTATAGGCCGGTTTCATTAGCAACCATTGTAGCCAAGGTGCTGGACAGTGTGCTGGATGGTTATTTGAAGGGGCACCTCCGTTTGAATGACGCGCAATTTGGCTTCAGGTCTGGATTGTCTACGGAGAGTGCCATCATGTGCCTGAAGCGCACTGTCCAGTACTATACAGCTGGAAGAACACCGGTTTTCGCGTGCTACCTCGACTTGTCCAGAGCGTTCGATCTAGTATCTTATGACGTGCTGTGGGATAAGATCGAACAACAGTCGACCATGCCTTATGAGATCACATCCCTCTTAAGGTTTTGGTACAGCCACCAGAAAAACAGTGTGAGATGGTCCGGTTCGTTTTCAGGCGAGTACGGGTTGGAGTGCGGAGTGAGGCAGGGGGGGTTAACCTCGCCTCGGCTCTTCAACTTTTATATGAATGAGCTGATCGAGGAGCTCAACAAAACTAAAGTTGGGTGTCACGTTGATGGCATTTGCGTGAATAACATCAGCTACGCAGACGATATGGTTTTGTTGAGCCCCTCGATCGGTGCTCTCAAGCGTCTTTTGCAGATTTGTGAACGGTATGCGGTGGTCCATGGACTCAAGTACAATGTTAGTAAAAGTGAGCTGATGGTTTTTAAGGATGGTACGAAATCTTATAATGTACCACCACTCACTCTCTCTGGCGCTCCTTTGAAGACAGTCACTAAATTTAAGTACTTGGGTCACTGGGTCACCGAAAACCTCTGTGACAACGAAGACATCGAGCGGGAGCGGAGATCGTTGGCAGTCCGATGCAACATGTTGGCCCGCAGGTTCGCGCGGTGTACGAGGGACGTAAAAATAACGCTCTTCAAAGCGTTTTGCGTCTCCTTTTACTCGTGCGCCCTGTGGGTGAACTATACGCAGAAGGCGTACGACGTACTCCGCGTACAGTATAACAACGCGTTCCGGGTGTTGTTGGGGCTGCCGCGGAGGTGCAGCGCGTCCGGCATGTTTGCCGAGGCGCGGACGGACGGCTTTGCGGCTGTCATGAGGAAGAGGTGCGCCTCCCTCGAAGCCCGCATCCGTGCCAGCCCCAACACCATCCTGTCCGCGTTCGCCGACCACTGGGACGGCCCAATGGTCGCCCGGTGGTCGTCACTACATGTCTAACGTTGGAGGTTTTTTAGTTTAGTTTGATATTTTATTTGTACATTTTTATTTTTTACTAACAATAGTGCTTAAGATTTTCTTTTTATATGATACTAACACTTATGGACTTATGGTCTGAAATAAAGATTTTTATTATTATTATATTATTATTTTTCATTAATTTTATCTCTAAAGTGTACATTTTACAAAAGACTTATGTCTCGCCAAACTGGAAACTGTTACTTAATACATTTAATTAGAGTTGTTAAGATATGCAGACTGTTTTTTTTAATGGGACATTATGGGGAAATCCAAAACCATATCCAATTTTTTTTATAAATTAAATTTTACCAACTTGTGCTGTCCTGATTTTTTCGTCTCATACAATGAAATGATTCCTTCATGAAACTGTCTATCAGCACTAAAAAATTTTGATCAATTTTATTCATTTTTATGGACAACTCACGCTTGACCAAAAAATTGACTATGCCAAAATTGTTTTCACATAAAAAGACTTAATAGTTCCTAAGACAGTTTCCTTGTATATTCAGTACGGTTTCGGCTGGTTTAAATGGGCTATGGTTTCGGATTTCTTCACACTCTCTCATTAAAAAAACACTATATTTCAAACATTTTGTTGATTTATGGACATTCCTGCGGAATCAAAAAACGATCGCATCGACTCATAGTGCTCTAGTACGCTTAAACTTTCTGATTCGATTTTCATGTCATTTTCAGAAAGTCGAAATTTTCCTAAATATTCCGAAAAATTGGTGTTGCAACAAATAATCGCAAAGTTAAAATAAATATAGTCTATCTGCCTATCCCAAATAACGTCAATTTTTTATGTACTTAACAGATTTTCCCGATCCCGAAAAGATCCAGAACCTAAACAATATTGTCGTAAGGCAGTCTGCATTTTCTGTCTATGTTCCTCGAAGTTTAGGTAAAAAACTCTACCTATTCCGATCACTGGTTATAAGGCACCACTCCGTGCTTATTTTGATGCCTAATAATATTATCATCACTGATTCGTCACCTGTTCCGAACATTGCTGCGACCGTTACGTGTAAACCAGAGCAGGTAGATAGGTATTGTGTAGTGTACAAGCAGTTTTACAATTTTTAAATAACGCAACAGCAATATAATTTATTCAGTATTAAAAATATTTTTGTAACCTTTATATTGCAACTGAAATAAATAGTGGTGCTTAATTTTCCGAAGTAATGTGTGATATTACAATTGTAATTTTACTCGCATTACTTTACACGTCCCCACGGTTTACTTGATCCCTCATACCCGAATTTATTTTACAGTCGACGTCGTAACCAATGTAACAATATACACGTAGGCGACTTTCCCGAAATGTTCAAGCGAGTGATAGCGAATAGTTCAGTGTTCCTCTATCCTTATTTGTTGCCGCCTCACCCGTATCGACCAGACATCCTTAAGAGGTTCAGCTACAGACGTTCTGAGGATGAGTAAGTATTGTTTAACTGAGTTTAAAAAATTTATATTTAGTAGTGCTTAACACGTTCATCGCCGAACAGAATTTTCAGGAATGTTCCGAAAATGACTTTAGCTTATATGATTAGTTCTGGTCTCATTTGTATGTATATATAAGATTTTCCGCGATATTTCACTATTTGGCTCTATTTCAGGTTTTTTTTTAGTGCCGGGCTATTTTGACCCGGCGCGGCCTTAACGGCATAATTATTACGTTTAGGCCGCACCGGTCATAATGCCGGGCAGAGTACATATGTACACGCAATGTTCGATCGATGTTTACCTATAACTGACATACGTCTGTTGCGTACGGGCGCGCGCTCCCTAATGCTAACACACAGCGCGGGAGCACACCGCGGAGTCAGTGGAAGTTCTAGCTGCACCCCACCCCTTTTACTTCCTCCCCTCGCGTTGACCAATACGGAAGAGTTTACTCATTTCACTATTGTTTTGCTAATTAGTTAGTTACTGTACAGTACACCACAAACAAAAAAATCTCTGTTGTCGATTTTAGAAGACTGTTAGCGAAACAACTTATTCAGGGCAGTCAGGGAAATGCAGCAACAATCACACCCCGGCGAAAAAGACAAAGACATGAGCTGAAGAAAAAGGAAGGGTCGGTAGCTTCGACAAGAAAATGTTGTCGCGAATGTTACAAAACCAATGTACAATTATATGGCAGAAATGGGGCCAAAAACAAAACAAAAAAAGTGTTTTGGTTTTGTAATATGTGTCCCGGTAATCCCCATTTATGTCGACAATGTTTCGATAAATGCCACTAGTGACATAAGTATTTACATATATGTTAGAAATTGTTTTTGTTTTACAATTTTTATAAACAGTTCGTACTTGGCAAGGTACCAATTTTTTATTATTATGATAAGCAAAATTAGACTTTTAGTTTGATATTCGATTTACATTTCACATTTTGGAGTATTTGTAACTTTTAAATTCAACTCGAAATTAAAGTAACTTTTTTGTTTGGAAATCTTTCTTTTTTTTCTTCTAAGTAAGGAAAAGTAGGTATGCCTTCAAAAATCCTAAAAACCAAGTGGCAACAGAAGTTCGTTGGGGCCGCGCCGGTCATGTTGAATGGTTAAATACGCAGCTTTTGCCATCTGCGGCGTGAACGGCCATCGCAAAATTAGATATGTCGTGCCGGTCATTTTGACCGCCCACGGCCCCAACAGGTGGATAAGGTGCCGGTCATTTTGACCCCCCATGGCGACGAACGTGTTAACAACTAGACTGACCAATGTTACGATATTTAATAAGTTGACTTAAAAAACGTTATTCCAACAACACTATTACTTGCTACTTGGTGTAACGGGCTGGTGTCCGCAACTCGACGTCAAGGCGCCTATTAAAAACACACTTTTTAGAACCTAGAACTTTTTAGAACCTAGGATCTTCGGCATATGAGTGAACCTCCAAAGCCCTACATTGATCTTTCAACGGAGGGACATGCACCAATATATGTTTTTGTCTCGTGTGCAGTTTACTAATGTCCACATGCTTCTCACGAAGAAGAAAAACGCGAGGAACTGCAGGTGCAATCGCGATCAATGGTACCTGCAGACGGTATACAAGATTTTTTGAAGACATGAAATCCCCAACCCGCATATCGCACTTGACAACTAACGTAGTATTATCTCAAAATTGCGTTATTTAGTAATTTTACTCCAAAGTTTCGCTATATTTGTATGTCATTCGTATACGATTTAATTTCAAAGTGACAGGACAACACTGTCGCTTTGAAACTAAAAAGGTAATTATTAATGTAACCTAAAGCAATTTTGAGATAATACTATGTTAATTGCCATGTGCAATATACTCGTATATAGCCAACGTGGGGAACCATGACTTGATGATGGTCCTTTGTTGGGTGCTCATTTTCTGTTCTCTGTTCTGTGCTCAGTTGCAGAATGTGCACACTCTTTTTGTAAAATAAATTCAATGACATATAGGTTATCAAATCGTTGACCTTCTAAATATTTTCCATCTTTCATAATTTTTATTCATTTTTCTCATTAAAGTTGACATTCTTAGGGTCGTATTCCAGAACTCTACTCAATGCTCAAGTCAGGATTTGAGTATGGCTTAAAGCACTCGAAATCATATTCAAGTCCCTGCCATTAGGGTCGTATTTCCAGTGCTTGTGTTTCAATTGTAATCCTGACTTGAGCATTGAATAGAGTTCTAGAATACGACCCTTAGTTTTATTGATAATACGATCCGTTACTCCGTAAGTAAATACTAGGGACACCGTTTCTGCATCTGAAAGAAACTTCTCAGCTTTTAGGTATCGATCTGTCAATGTAGAAAAACTAACTGTTTGTGGCATCGTCGTTGTTTCCGATTCCCATAACACAAGTGCTTTAGTTACATATTATGTCATATTGTCTAATATTTATTTATTAGGTATAAAAAAATATTATTTTGATCTTAAGGGTTACCATAAACTCAAGGCGTGACGTATAAGGTGTTACTCGTCGGTTAATGTATGGGGTATATGAGTTAAGTGTTTGAAAAATCCCATTTATACATTTACCGCATTCTCTGCTTTTGCGAGCAAAGAAAGCCGTGATTGTTGAGTCAGTACGGTCGTTTGTCCTTCGAGTCGGATTAAAAATTTTATTCTTTACAGACTTATAGTGCTCGGTCTAGATCAATTCTGGCGTTACATAGAACAGAATCCCGACCTATTCCCCCCACCAAGCGCCAAACACCCCCGCCACCGATGGGGTCTCACTGCCACAATAAGATTGGTTACCAAACACATGTTCCCTTGGATCACACCGCGGTGGATGTTACTGCATGTATCGAAGGGTAGAAAGGACAAGGATGGACCTATTTATGTAAGTATCGTTTTTAATACACGAAATTGTTTTAAATAAAAAATTTAGTGTAATGAAAGGAGTAAGGCAGAGTAAACTAGTGCAGGTAGAAGTAATTAACTATATGGAAAACGATGTACACAATATTTACTTCCCAAGATTTTTAATGATATAGACTGGTTAACAAATGATATAAAATTAAAAAAACATTCACTATAACGTAAATTAAATAAAAGAGTACCTCTTAAAGTAATTATTTATTTAGCCAGTTAAGTACATGTTATTACGAAATAAATAATTTCGATAAAATTATGTCGCCAACACATTGTACAGCCATTTGGCGACTTTTAGTACCTAAATTTGTTTTGTATATATTTGAATCATAACAATAAAAAACTAGAGTACAAACAGTGTTATACAACCATTAAAATTGCCTTCGTCGCAATCATCCCTTTGCCCTCGTTTCATTATGGGGTTTGCGTATGTTTTCTTCTTATATTCCTCTCTACCACTCAACATTTAATTTTCACTACCTTCATCCTCTCTCCGTTCCATTCACATTTACAACTTCCAACGTAATATGACAATCATTCCTCAGCGAAAATTGTCTCAATAATTTTTATACTAACTGGATGGATTCTCCATTACAACACCAAAACTAATTCTTACAAAAAATACATATGTTATTTGTGTGCGTGCGTGCGTGTGTTGATGTTAAGAAAAATAGCCATTTTCCCGTTCATAATAATTTCTGGTTTTTGCTATTTTTTTAAAGTAATCTTCAAGTAATTGTGACATTTAATTTCACCAGGCAAGCTGGTAAAAACAGAATCTCAAAATAATTTTAAACAATCTTTCAGAATTACTTCAAGAATGGAACAATAGAACCAGTGAAACATAGACTTCTACCGTTTAACCCTAACTTAACTTTATATGAACAGCCGGAACACGAAATGCCTCGAATTTGGGTCAGGTACCTTGCGAAAAGTAGTAAACGATTCAAAGTAAGTGTAATTAACACATATAACTTAGGTCTCTTGTACGGTTTGTGCCGTAGTCTCTATTGAAGAGTTTCATAATTTTTCAATTCTTCGAAAGTTGGGTGTAAATTATTTTAGTGAACATTTCATTGTCATGCTCACGTGATACTATAGAATGCAAGAAAAAGGTGCAATAATATTTTGATATTACTCAAAGTGTCCTTGTCAACTTTGTCAAAGCGCGGCCGAGGCGCGTCGGTCGCGCGTTTCAGTGTGGCAGGGTTCATATGAACTCATACATTACAAAAATTCCCGCGCCCGGAACGCTTCCGCGGTTGCCTGTGAGTGGCCAGAGCATTAATGTTTTTTTTAAAACCAAAGCTATTAATTACTGCTACATGTCACATCATAGTATTTATTACACCATGTATATCGTGAACACTAAAAATAAATGAATATTCATTTAAACTAACCTACATAAACTTTATACTATTGTTTTTTTCCAGGATTTTTTGTACAAAAGAAAAGATTGTGGCCAACCCGCAGATGGTGTTCTAATCGATTTAGGAACTGTCGTAGCAACCCCACAAAAAGCAGCTCTACCTATCGATTTTACCAAAGTCATTGAATGCACTAGAGGAAATCTTCTTCCCAAAATCAGTGCACAAGTATATCGTGATAAATTCGATATTGAGATTGAAAATAATGTACACATGTCAAATAATGAATCAAACCAAGCAAATGGCATGAATAATACGGGCAAAGTAATTACAGCCCCACTTATGCCAAATTTCGGTAATATTTCAGTAACTAACGTTTTACCCGCAAATGCTAAGGTCCTATACAACTTAATACCCGTTGTTAAAACTAAAATCCCTGTAAAGAACATTGAAGGTAATAACGCTATAGGTAAAGTAACTATAACAGTCGCTTCAACAATAGGCAATGCAACCTTGAGTAATGGTGTTACTAACAATAATGCAAATACAACTCAAATTTTACCCACGGGGATTTCACAAGAGGATAAAACTGAAAACAATGCTAATAATGCGTTAACTGATACAGGAGATGCAATTGATAAAAAAGTTATAACTGTTGTGCAAATGGATAACACTGTTGTAAAAGAAATGGTGTCGAAACGCAATGAAGAAATTTTAAATACTGGCATGAACCAAATGGTAACTGATGCAGTGGACTCAAAATTACTTACAAATACTACACAAACGATTTCAGGTGTTACAACTAACGCTTTGCCTATAAACAAGGGAGAAATTTGTAAAACATGTCCAAGTATGACACCAACAAATAAAATATGTACACATAATGTGACAGCAAATGTTCAAAATGTAAATACAAATGAACAAAATACTTCTAATGCTACACCTTCAAATATGTATACATTAATTAAAACCAGCGCAGGATCATACCTAATACCTTTATCACTGCTACAAAAAACTAATACCGTTAATAGTGTTACTGCTCCTATAGTCAGTACTGGTATAACCACAGACAATGCAATAAACGTTACAGTTTTAAATAAAAATACAACTGAAGCAAACAAACACTCACTTCCTAGAAACAAAAATGATTGCTTAATTTCTGACAATACACATAAAGAATTAAAAAACCATTGCCAATGTTGTATCATATTAAGAAAGATATGTAAACAGAAACAAGCGTGTATTACAGATTATTTTACGTTGAATAAGAATAAAGAAAAAACTTGCGAATGTACTGACAGAAAATACCCAAAAACGACTAAAAGATTGAGATTATTCTTGAAAAATTATAAAAGTAATAGTTGGTGTGTTCATAAAGAGTTGCAGTCTAAGTTGAAATTGATCAAGAATGAGATGCATGAGGAACGAGCAAGTACAAGTAAAATAGAGTCCCCGGAGGATGAATACAGTTTGGAAGATATTGGTAAGTGATGTTAGTGATTAGATAACTACTTATATATTTGTATATACTAATTCCTTGTAATGTAACTATAGAAATTGATAGTTGATACTGATGGCACAAGTACGAGAGGGAATCTTTAGGTGATTAATAGTAATATACCTTAGCGCTGCAATATATAATAGTTGAAAATTCAATTGCCTTGGCCGACCTACAAAAACAAAGCTGCGGTAGGCCTAAGCATCTCTAAAGATGTCGAGCCTCCTGCCTCGGGAATGCCTCGGCAGTTTTCGGGATGCTTCGGCAGCTTTCAGGATACTTTGGCAGACTTCCGAAGGTTATTCGCCCAAAGTCTGCTTGGATATAGTTCTCTTCGACAAAGATATAATTTTTAAATATACTGGCAATAAACCAGCTTGCAACGTTACGACTGATTTGAAGAGAGATGAGAGTGTAGAGAAGCTAGAAAGCGAGCACGATGTCGCAACGATATTCTTAGGCATTATTATTAGACACTAACGGCAACTATGCCGCGGTACCTAAAGAGCCCTTGTGCCATTAAAGAGAACCTGTAATTTAAAATAAAAACATTACCGAACACTCAGGGTGACAATAATTCATTCTATTACATAAAAAATGGGTATGCTTTAAACATAGCCATTATTGATTTACCTAATTTAAGCAAAATTCTGAGATGGGTTTATTTTGCACCGGGACTGGGTTAATTTTGTATGAGCTGTGACAAGGGTCACAGCGCATACAAACACTCCTTTGGACGGTAACGTAATAAAAGCGATCGACGTCAATGTATTACGCTAAACCAACTGTTTTTTTTTGTTGATGTTCCTTTCTCCTATCAAAAGTCATAGATCACTTCTCCAAGTGGACTAAAATGTAATCTATTTTATTTTTTAATAAAAATTTTATCTTTTCCAGCGTTTGTCACGTCTTACCAACTAAAACTGACAACAAGATCAAACGTAGTCCGGGACATGGCAGCGAAAAGAAAAATCCAAAGAATACTTTCTAATTTTGACCATGAGACGGATAGCGTTATAAGATTAACAGAAGAATTGTACAAAGCGTTTGGTACCGATCTAGTGGATTTGTATAAGGAGTTTCTTGGTTTTTTAACTGCTGAACAGGCTAATAGGATTGATATGTTCCGGGACTACTTTTTGCATAGTTGTATTGGTGACTTAATTAAGAAAATTGAGGTAAGTTCTCAACTGCGTTCATTTTACTGGTGCTAGAGTTCTCTGTACAGTATGGGTAGGTTATTATCTATTATATCCTTATCTATTTATCCAACAAAGCTGCCTAGACAAACCAGCATAGATAGAGGAGACTAGAACTTATATAAGTCATGAGCACAAAAATTTATTTAAAATTGCCAGATCTATTAAAAATTCTAAAATATTTATTATTTCAAAAAATTATCATATGAATTGAAAACAACCTAGTCTTACTATTTCCCCCTCAACTTTGTTGTGCTCGAAAATACTTACGATGTGACTTTGTTGTTACAATGTAACACCTTATACACCATTGTGGAATGTAAATATTGTATACGTCCCGCTACGGGTAACGCATTTGGGATATAAAGGATACTTTTCCATATACCCTGTATATGTATTTCCATCGTTGAAAAAGGATACTTCGAAGGAGGCGATTATTCCGTAAATGTAAGAGATATTAAAAACCTTTAAACTGATATCGAAAGTACCTTGCCTAATGACTAAAATGACATCAATTTATTACATTATTTAATTAGTTTCGAGAGTAAACGCCAGAAAAATATATAAACATATTACTTTGACCGGCCCTTATCAATAATGCCCGGCTGCCCGCGGGTCCATCTGACAAATCGAGGCTTAAGATAGCATCAATTTATTATAGCATTGGGCAGTTTTTCCAGATATATAAGTCGTACTTAAGATGGCGTCAATTTATCACAGGATTGGGCAGAATATTCCCAACTTCAAGCAGGCAATAATCCTTCTTTTTTTGCGTCAGGAATGCCTCATATATAGTCCCGGTCGAATTTTTATTACACTGCCCATTTGTTGCCGGGATTATTACTACAGACCGGCGATTCTTCATAAGTGACCGATCTTATCAAATTGCCCGTAACACATACACGGATGCATTCGCACATTTCCATGACAAGCACATCAGGAACGTCAGTGTTCTGCACGCTATTCATGTTTAATCAATGCTATCCGATTTTTATGTCATCCGGACAATGCATATTTATAATTAACATATATGCACTGATTTTGATGGGACTCGGGAGCTGCCAACATTTGTTTAATTTTTTGTGATTTATTTTTAGTGCATGTTCCGCATAAATAGAATATGCAGTAATGTGATTATAATGTATAAGCTTAAGTAACCTTACATTTTTGACGTTTCCCTTTCAGTCTGAAATCTCGGACAACGAACGAAAACATGATGTGCTGACCTATCTCAACGAATTGCTAGTGGATCGGGTATCAACTTCTTGTCAAATGTGCACTGGCTTGCTTGTCAAAATGTACGGTTACCCGACACTTGCAAGACATGTTTTTTCTTTATTCCCGCATCGAGCTGATAGCAGGAAACATAATGTTAGGTAAGGGGACCTTTAAATCTGTTACACACCTTAAATCTAACTCCCACTTAAGACTTACGTCATAATAAAACAGTGCAACTTCAGCCACGTACACTTCGCTCAGAGCGTAGGGTTGTCTCATTATTATTTTAGTTTTTTTTTATAATATCAAGTGACGGGACGATCATGTCGTGCGCCTGATGGTATAGTGTATTCCAATAGAATTGAGAGTGGACGTAAACAAACCAGTTGGGTTAAAATTCTGGAGAAATCACTTCTGGATTTTTATCTTATTTGATTTATATATTTTTATCATATTCTGGATTTATGTCCACTCTAAATTCTATTGTGATACACTATAGTGTATTCCAATAGAATTATTTGTTTACGTCCACTCTCAATTCTATTGGAATAGACTATAAGCTACACGTCTATCCGTAACAGTTGCAGTGCCACTCAGAGCTTTAAATCGCAAACATTACAGCAGCAGCAGCGGGCAGTACTTCTCTTGACGAACTCTTTCACAAGGAGCTCTACCGCTACAAAATCTACTACTACTTGTACCTTTTTTTTTTTTTTTTGACGGGGTGGAAATCTTTATGGATACCCCTGTTATGTGGGGACTCTCCCTCCAGACTGGAGGGACTACCCCACTAAAGCCCCCCCGGGTTTCCCTCTCGCCGGTTGAGTCGGCGCCGTGGGATCAGTGAACATTCACCACGACGCCGCCGCCCGGCCGCCCTAGCTTACGCCAGGGCTCCCGGAGGCCAACGGAGGGGCGAGTCGGTTGTCCTCCGACTCGCCCCACTACTAGTTGTACCTAAAGGTTTGAAAAAAAAATGTTGGTATTCATCATAGTAGTCTCGTGTATATTCCCTAATAATAATACGCACGTACTCATATTGAAATAACCTTTATCAAATAGTAATAATAATAAAGATAAAAATAATTTTGTTAAAATTCATAGAAAAATATTTTAAATAGTTTGAACACCGAGCGAACGCTCACGGCGACGTGCAGTTACTGCGTTCCACTGGAGCTAGTCAAACTCACAGTTTGTCAACGGGCGCAGCCATAATGCCTCACGGGACTTGCGATTTAAAGCTCTGATTGGCACTGTTAAGTATAGGCAGGGAACAAAAAGTAACAAGAATGGACACTCTCCGCCCCTCCCTAGATTTAGATACCGCACCACGCCCCGCACATTGACGATCACATTGACTGAACGACAACAAGGCTGTCGGCGAGCCGTTATCGCGCTAAGACGGCTTTCATATTTGAATATAGTTTACATTTATTCAGTACGTTACTATTTATAATGGTCGTGAATTGTGCTGTGACTACGACTATTTATCATCATCTAAACGGGATAAAGAGAGGAGTTTCTTTCATTTTCCGAAAGATGAAACGAAGACGAAAAAACTTATGTCTGTGACTCGTTCAGTTATTGTTTTCTTCATTCATTTAGTGCAGAATAATATATAATATATATTTATTATATCAATATAACGAGACGCCATAACTTCGTGAGCCGAAAAACATTTCGTAGTGAATATACTTAATTAATAACTAACTAGGTAATGATAAAGTTGGACATGCAATTTCAAATACCTTGGTTACCTTATTTAAAAGTACCTGTCCAAAACACAACATTTTAAGTGCTTTTTATATATTTTTAAATAAATCTTCAATATTATTCTAATTAGTGAATTAGTGGAAATAATAATATTATATCGGTATACATAAATACCTAATGAACATGTGTAATTATTAGGATTCTATTAATAGAATTAAAGATAACAGATTCAATAGTAAACAGAGTCAATAACTAGGTCAAATGAAATTCAAAAAAATATTGTTATGTATAGTGATGAAATGGGTTAAAATATAGATTAGCAACTTAACCACCTAGGAATAAAATTAACAAATATTGGCATGCCAGGTGCAACATACTGTAAAATATTAGATAGTATTTTGTCAACTAAATTTGACAAAGACACTTCATTAATAATTTTAATTGGCAGAAGAGGAAAATGTAACAAAAAAGATTTAATACAATATTTTTCACAATTAAATAATTTAATTAATATAAAAGAAATTATTTTGTTAGCTTTTCCCTTCAGCAATAGCCTCACAACAAGTGAAAATAATTTGAGGCATAACTTAAATAGAACATTACACAGCTTGACATTTCATTATAGTAAATTTCATTTTATGGATACTAATAATTATTAGTAAATATTTTTATTTGACTAAAGATAGGTATTATCTTACTAGTTATTTTAGGAGACAGATAGCAGAGTTGCTATCATATTATATTAATAATTCAGCCAAATCATTGGCTACCAGACCAGCTGCTTCTATTGAGCAGTCCGTTGACATAGGTCAGTTTATTGACAATAATCATTCTGTTGAAAATAATTCAACTTCTAATTATTTAAATTAATTAATAAGACAACGGAAAGATACTCTTGCAACACAATGACAGTAAAAAACCAACCTAAAACACACAGAAATAAAATAAATTGTATATTAAACTTTTTTTTGTCGAGTTGATTAATCATATATTTGATGCATTTGAAGTCTCACATGATGCTATTGGTTTATTCTGTGGCCTTTCAAAGCTTTTGATTGTGTTCACCATGATACACTGGTCAGGAAACTTCGCCATTATGGTGTGGCGGGACGTGATCTCGACCTTCTTAAATCGTATTTGCGTGGTAGGGTACAGAGGGTCGATGTTAACGGTACGAGATCATCAGGATCTGCAATTAGCATGGGTGTATACCTCAAGGTTCAATTCTAGGCCCATTTTTGTTTTTAGTTTATATTAATGACTTACCTAGCCTTATGGAGGGTATAAAACATGAGATAGTATTGTTTGCTGATGATACTTCCTTATTATTTAAAGTTCAAAGGCACCAATATTCCTACGACGATGTGAACAATGCTATATCTAAAGTAGTTGATTGGTTTGCTGTTAATAACCTACTTCTTAATGAGAAAAAAACAAATTGTGTGAAATTTACATTACCCAATGTTAGAGAGACGGTTACAAACATTGTAGTTAGAAACGAAAAATTGAATCTTGTGGATACAGTTGTATTTCTAGGTATAACGTTAGACGCTAAATTGCAATGGGGTCCCCATATAAGTAAGTTATCAAAACGGCTCGGCTCTGCAGTGTACGCGATTAAAAAATAAGGAAACTTTCAGACGTCGAAACCGCTAGATTGGTTTACTTCAGCTACTTTCACAGTCTAATGACATACGGCATTTTGCTTTGAGGTAATGCCGCCGATATCAATAGAATCTTTGTCCTGCAGAAACGTGCAGTTAGGGCAATTTACAATCTGGGCCCCAAAGTATCTTTGAGAGATAAGTTTAAGGAAATTAACATTCTTACACTAGCCTCACAGTACATTTATGAAAATGTAATTTATGTTAAAAGGAATAGTAATTTCTTTATGAAAAATAGTGACAGACATAACATTAATACGAGGAATAGAAATAAACTAGCTTTTCTTGATAGTCGTCTTCACAAAGTCAAAAAATCATTTAAGGGGCAATGTATACGCTTCTATAACAAGATTCCGGTTGATATACAAAATATGCCTTTCACGAGTTTTAAAACTATAGCGAAACAAAAACTTTATACTAAAGGTTATTATACAACTTCTGCGTACTTGGATGACAAAAATCCGTGGCAGTAACGCGTTTAGCTCATGGAGGTAGTCTCGATCTCTGATGTTTCAAATAAAAAAAAAATATTGTAAATGTTATTTACAAAGAGCAACCCCTAGAGCTCATTCTTCTCAGGGGAATCTGCCTTACGAATGAACGGTAGAGTTTAACCATTGTGACGATTTCAAGTGTAATAATGCTTACCTATGAAATAAAGATTATTTTAAATTTGAATTTTTGAATTGAAAGATTTTTCTTAGCTTAAGAATTTTCGTTATGATGCCGCATGCCGCTCTGACCTCGTAACGTAATATTACGAGAAAGTGGTGGGTAACCCTGCCACTTCACGCACACATTAGCGTGTGTGCAGATAGCGTCTTGCTTTATGTAGTAGTAGAAGGTAACTTTCGACCGTTGTATGAAGTGTCCAGAGTGTGGTATAGGCGTGCCGCTCCGTGCCTTCACTTGATATCATTAAACAATAAAATCGCTCGCGTAGGATTACGTCACAATAGCACTACCCTATATTCTGTTCGCAGTTGTAGTCGCGACTGGAGGAGTCTGTAATTTAATTAAACACTAACACTTTTATCTCATAATCGTTTCTCCCAACAGTTGCAGTTCAAAAACGTCTATTCCAAACACCAGGCAAACAAAACCCCAAGCACAAACTTCAAAACAAAGTAACTCTCAAAATACTGTTTGTACCATAAGACAATCGTGTGGAAATAATTTAACACTAATTCCGAACCTAGAAACGAATACAGATGAAGAAATGCCACATAAAACGACACGAATTGACTTATCCAAGTGTGTTGAAGAACCAAATGCAACTAAAGACAATCAAGTGGTACAGCCAGAAAGCACGGAAAATAAATCGCACATAGAGCCTTCGATGAATTCAGAAGAAACAGATGATTTTATAGAAGATTCGTTGACGATTTGTGACGACAATTTTGTCACGATGAATTACGAAGCTGACAATTCTTCCAGGTTTGTTCTTTAACATTTGTTCTTTGTTTGTTTGATTGTCTTCATCGTCACTTTTCATCAGGTGAGATGGAAGTCAAATGCGCACTTATTTTTTAATTTAAAAAAAGAATTTCCCAAAGTGGTCCGTTCGAACCCCTAGGGGTCTATTAAATGTTCTAAGTGGTCCGTGGTAAGTAAAAAAATGTCCGCGAAATAGATCGAAATTTTCATTAAAAAAAATTGCAAAGCGATGTTATTCCGCATGATCATGTGGCGCGGACGAAATCGGTCATGCATAATTTCGGTATGTCTAGTAGGTTTTATTAGAACGTAAAAGTTAATTTCCTTGAGGAGATTCAAGATTAAGTGTTACAGTAAAGGGTCCATGACCGAAATAAGCCTGGGAACCACTGGTCTATACAGTGATAACCTAGTAGGGAGAACGCTTACCACCTATGATAGCGTCACGAGCCTCTCTTAAAGAAGCCATGGTCTAGTGACACTCATTGCAAGACTTCTGTAGCAATAGATATGGGTTACGCGATCCTACGTTGTGTGCTTCATCAGAATCAGCATTGATTTCAATTTAATCAGTGTTATTTATTAATCTTTCAGTGGTGAAGACGACACTGGAACCGTATATAATCAAAGCAATAGTAATCACGGACCTAGAAATTCCGTTATTAAAAATGTAAGTATTATTATATATATTATATATATATATTATACTGAAAATATATATCAAACCGTGGAACATGTTAATATAGTATGCCCGGTTACTTTGTTACAGGAGGACCAACCAACTATGATGGACACATCAGAAATAACAATTAGTAAAACCGAAGTTCAAGGTCATATCGAAGTTCAAGATCATACTGAAGATCTACCAACAATGGCTATGAGTGAAGAAATACTGGTCAAAACCGAAGTACCAGAATGGAAACGAGATGAAGATAAACTTATTTTACAAATATTGTTACAATATCTCTCCCCCAGTGAAAGAAAAGGAAAGACTATACTGGAAATTCTTGATGAGAAAAATGTGTATCAAATGTTATCGGAAAGTGTAACACATAAAACGAGATCTGAAATCAAAGATAGGGTCATGTATTTGCTCGATATTCTTGTTATGTTATGATTTTATTTGTAACAGTTCCAACTCGTTGTGGTACATACATTTATGTATCTATTTGCCTTTGTGCGAAAATGTCATAGTGTTAGGATTTTGTAATAAAAAATATGAAATCAAAATTTTATTTTATGTTAAACTTCGCTAACAACAGTCTGGAAGTAAAGTAAACAGGAGTAAATTAAAAATATAAAAAAAGAAATACGTAATTGTACTATTCTAGTGTGTAGGTATTGATGGGGTCGCATATTGAAACCTTACTTTCTCAAACTCGTATATTATAAACAGTGGTTATTCAGGAGATGGCAAAACTTTCGATTTATTTTAAAGTTTCTAGTCAAGGATGTTAATTTGGATGCATTACTTTAAGACTAGATAAAAGCCAGTGTGTGACTATGAAGGAAATGTGATTTGAAATCAACCTGCAAAATTTGTAGGTACAGGTTCAAGAGCACGTCAAGCTTGACACTTAAGGCTTAAAACCAACTCTATGTCGCTTACGATAAGAACGGTACAAAGTGTCAAGCTTGACGTGCTCTTCACTGTACAATCCATTTTTTGCATTTCAGTAACGTTGTGCTTTAAGATACGAGTTTGAGAAAGTGAGGTAACGATATTTCAAAACACTGGAAATCTCACTAATACATACTTACCTACAAACTGCAAGCATCATCTGTATGATTAATATGAATGTTTAAACTTTGTTAAAATATTAATATTTACGTGGCAACATAAAGAACATAAGTACGCAAAATATACTTAATATACGAGAATACATTAAAAAAATCCGCACATTTGACCACTCTTCGACTACTCTCGAGAGCCGTGCCTTTTCGTCTAAACTTGTGCCTGCTCGGTCTTTAGTGGGAGCGATCCCAATTAGATCAATCGGACAAAGACAAGTAATTCGGTTCTTTATTTCCTTAGTTCAATGGGATTGGGAATGAATCTTAGGGTCGTATTCTAGAACTCTACTCAATACTCAAGTCAGGACTTGAGTATTGCAGTGAGCACTGAAAATCATACTCAAGTCCCTGCCATTAGGGTCGTATTTCCAGTGCTTGTGTTTCCAGTGCAAATGCTGACTTGAGCATTGAGTAGAGTTCTAGAATACGACCCTCAGGGTCGTATTCCAGAACTCTATTCAATGCTCAAGTCAGGATCTGAGTACGATTTCATGCACTGGAAATACGGCCCTAATGGCAGGGATTTGAGTATGATTTCGAGTGCTTTAAACCATACTCAAATCCCGACTTGAGCATTGAGTAGAGTTCTAGAATACGACACTTAGACTTATTTTTTTGTGTCCGTCAGGATGGCTGGACCAAACGAGATGTACAACTCAAACTGTGCTCATTATTTACTACCTATTTTCTACTATTTAGTACCTTTGTTGACATATTTTCTACCTTTGCGCTAACGGAAATATTAAACAAATAAAGTGGTCAGCCATTCTGACTTCAGGATGGCTGGACCCCTTTAAGTTTTTCATGGTTCTAGCAGTATATAATTTACTTTTTTTATATAACTATTTACTACCTAATTTCTACCTAAACATACTTTTTTTTCACTATTTTAGGAAGCTTCTATAAAAAGTTATTCAAAAAAAATAAGAAAACGCCTTTTGCAAAAATTATCATCTAAAAATGACAGTTTATCATGTCCGTATAATTGCTAATAACAGTTTTGCAGGCGCTTACACCATGCCAACTATGATTTCTGGATTATCTTTGTAAGCTATATATTATAACAATTATTATATTAATTACTAGTTTAATTCACTAATACAAATGTAAATTTCATTTGTAGATATTAAGGAATGCGAACGAATTATAATCAGTTTTGTAAAGGAGGGAGATCTTTCTTCCGTTGGATGAGGTTACCAAAACAAGCCAAGGGAAACTCCAAATGGTTCAGAAGATTTTTATTTTCACCTTGTATGTCACCTACAATTTCACCCTATATGCCAAAGGTCCGGGCTGTTGTTCCCAAGAAGGGACTCACTCCTGGAAACCGTTCCGCGAGATGAGGTTTATTCACCGACCGCGCGTGATAAACGCAATGAAATTCACAGACTATTGAACTTCGTGTCGAATAAATACGCCATAAGTAGTCTGTGCGCCCGAAGAAGAACATCGTTCTGGAATTTTTGACCGAATATTATAAGTATCATGCTTCTGAACTGGGCGGGTTTTTGAAGTTACGAGTCGTTTTTACAAAGATTATTTTTATTTGAAGTATATTATGAAGAAAAAACGATGAAAGAAATAGTGATGAAGAAAGTTAGAACTATATTCCTTATTTTAAACCAAATTACAAAAGACTACGAATACGAATTCAAAGTTATTGTTCAAAGTAATAGAAGATAATGAATGTGATTTAAGTGAAAGTAATACATAAATATTGACTCCCGCCGCTTAAAAGACTGTTTAATAAACCCAAATAAGTGAACTAAGTTATTTAAGAGAAATTGAAAACAATGTATTAGAATTTAGAATTACAATGGCAAATATTACAGAGGACCCCGATAATTAACGAAGACATGGCTCAAAAGACTTGTATCCAAGCCAAAACTATTAATAAAAAGTAATAATAATAATTTTTCTGAACGAAAATTAAAACGTCAAATTTAAACAATTTAAGTATTTTGCGTGCTTTGTTTGAAATTTTTGTTTTATCCTGTTTCTATTCTAATTAGTGATCCTACACATACAACAAAACACACGTTATTTTAGTTACAATGGCACGTAATACTGATGAAAACGATGACGGCAATATAAATCCAGCGTCTGTTGCGTCTAATGTTAAGAATACATTCAAACAAGTAAGTTTTTACATTAAGTACTGTATGTGTATTAAATAAATTATGAACACTATTTAAACTTTCGTATAAAAACTATTATTAAGGTCTCAGTAACATATACTGGATGTTTCAGTCACACTTTGTAAATTATTATTTAAATAATTGGAGTAGCATTGAAGCTGTAGAAGATTCAGTACCCCCTTAACGATATTAGAGCTAGATTATTAGCTCAACCTTCTCCAAACAGGCTACTGCTGGTACATCTTAAGTGCACTAAAAACACAATAAATACCTTTTTTAGGAAGTTATAAAAGAGCTTTTAAATGGCTCGTTCCAAGACAATAAAACTAAACTAGGTAATGACGCACTCTCACTGGTGGTGGAAGTGTCTAAGTGTCTTGTGACGGAAATATGTCTCCGAGCATCGAATCAAGCTTTGAGAGAGAACTGTGACAAAGTTGACATTGAACATGTGGAGAAATGTCTCCCACAGTTGGTAAGTCATAAAGTTAAACTTACATTAATTTTTTTAAATTATTTTCAGGTGTGGTTGTTTTGGCTGCACTTGAAAATCCTGGATCACAGGAGTCAGTTATTATTTAGTAAAGCTTCCTTTTTTTTAATCTGATTATGCTGCCTCTGTGACATCCAACAGAAGCATTCAGCTGTGCTGCAACAATCAAATTAGTTTACTAATTATTGTTTCCATAAAGTTTTACAAAACTATTCAAAGACTTCACACCCCACCTATCTGATTGGGCCTTGAAATTTTTAGTTCACTAATTGTGATTGTCAAAGTCGAGTGTGCTTCTAAATATTGTGTGAAAATTGTAATGCCGCGGCCACAGCTTCATAGTGTGGTACCACTGCAGCGTGTCTATAAGAGTCTAATTTGAAAGCACCTTAAAACCCACTCTTCATAGAAAACCCCTCCCCAGTAAGTGGATCAGGTACAGGTGTTGAACATGAGGACCATGAGGTTAGGTGATTGACCTGATATAATACTTTTTTATAACATCAAGTGACAGGATGAACAAGTTGTGGTAAGACCTGATGGTAAGCTACATACCTGTCCATAACAGTTACAGTGCCACTCAGCTTTAAATTGCAAATATCTGAGGGGCACTACCACTGCACCTGTCACCCTGAGACATAACTTGACAAGTCCCACATGCCTATAATTTCACCACTGAACATAAATTTCTTTTTCAGATGCTGGACTTCCCATAAACAATATATGAGTACACAGTATGGATTCTCTTCAAACTTCCTTACTTGACGGAATAATTGTTTTCAGTGTTCTCATCGTTCATAAATGAGAATATATTGTCATTATTAAGAGGGTACTTTGCTGCTCATTAGATTGATTTTATGGCTCTTTAGCCACTTCAGACAGCATAGAAGGTGTTTCAGCAACCATATCTTGTTATTTTGTTATCTCTGTGACAGTATTGACAGCTGTTGAAAAGTGAGGGAATGTAAGAAAGTATTAATTTCAAAAACTGTACAAAATCAAACATACATTTCATTCATCATACCGTCATAGAAAAGTGAAAAAAATTGTAAACTTATGTACAACTACCTTATAAGTGTGTATTAAAGGGAAAATGTAACTCAACCATGTGTTTGCATCAGCAAGTGAGGCAAATGGACACATAGCTCTTCTTCACTCTGGTTTGGTAAATAATGGGCCTTATGTTTGTCTAATCTACCAAGTGTATAATGGTTACTGTGAATATGACAATGCAATAAAATTTTGATCTTGGAGTTGTACAGACAGCAACATATCAAGCTACACATTGTCGAATCTTGTCCCATTGCACTGGAGACGATATTCGAACCAAAATGTATAGCTTGATGTGCTGTACACTGTACATTATTCTTTCCTATCTGTTGTCAACTTCTGAGTAGTCATGTGGGCCATATAGATGGCTTGAACGGCTTGAAACACAGTTGTATAGTGTTTTACATAGACTATCTGCATGGTCTGTGCAAATCTGTCTTTAAGAGTTGAGCCCTACTTGTCAGCATCATTCTCATTATTTGTCAGCACCAGGGCCGCACTACACTCCAGACAGGAGCCAACCCAGGCTCCATAGTAAAAAATTGCAGTGTTTCCCATTGGTCAGATTGGTCTGTGGGATTTTTTCCCATTGCATTGGTCAGTTCTCATCCTACTTGAAATCAAACTTTTTTAATTTTCAGTATTTACACTTTTAGAGAAAGGAATGTTTAGTGTTTGTCTCCTAATGCATGTGGCTTCCTTATAGGTGAATTTCAGTGGAACTTTTTGAGTGATTTTTGTAAAATCCTTTTTCCTTTTGGTTTTAAGCTCTTAAACGTACAAATAAGTTCAAGCAATGTCACTAGTTATTAAATCACGGAAATATTAAAAAAAAACGGTATTTTAGGTCACATGAATGAGATTGCAGTAACATGCCTGTTTTTCTCATAAACAAAAATGAGAAAGACGGCACAGTAATGAGAAATTATTATCACAACACACATTTTATTGTTCACAAAAGAACATTTAGCAACATTTAACATGTAACAAATATTTTAATATAACTTCTTGAATCAAAATCCTTCTCATCCGTGTAAGACCCATCTATCTATTTATATGTAATAAATAAATAAATCTAAATAATTATTTTGTTAATGTCATATAAACTTTGTTGTACTTCAATATATCATCATCATCACCATCAACAGCATCATCATGATCACCATTATCATCAACGTCATTACCATTCATATCATCACTACAATGAGCATCACCACCATCATACCATCATCATCACATTCATCGTCATCACCACCATTTAATTGTCATATTTAAAGTAAATATTTGACATAAAGTAACTATTCGCCTTAAAAGTAGACAAGAATGAGAGCGACAAGAGTGATATTTGAATACATTTTTAGTTGTCAAGGTCTTAAAATAAGCTGGACCGTTATAAAGTGCGTGGATTTTAAAATTCCCTTTGTCTAATTCATATATACAATAAAGTTTATAAGACTATTACTTTACATGAATGAGAACGATTCCTTAGGTACAATCGGTCTACTTTCCCGATCGGTCCACTTTCACTATTCGTCTACTTTCCCGATCGGTGCACTTGTTTTACCCGATTCCTCCATTTCCCCTTGCAAGTTAATAAAATTTTATGTAAGTAAGTTAATAAAATTTGACAAGAAAAAATTCGTTTTACAAATTTTCAAAGCAGTTTATAATTGCAGATTGTCATGGAGCACATTTTTTATATTTTTGATAATGATGGCCGCTTTGCGTTAACCGTGATTTGAAAAACAAAATTAAGTATAGTTTTTTTAACCGACTTGAAAAAGGAGGAAGTTCACAATTCGACTGTATTTTTTTATGTATGCTACGCGATACTACTCAACCGCATTTAGGAACCGATTCTGATAATTCTTTTTTTGTTGGAAAGAGGATACCTCATTAGTGGTCCCATTTAAATTTATCCAAAATATTCCTCCGCTAAGGGTGGCAAACTAGGGCGTGAATCCGGATTCGCGCACTTTCCGGTAACCGATTTCAATAAAACTTGGCAAATAGATGTAATACCACGACCTTTTGAGGTCGGTTTTTTTAGTACTCTGTACTGAGATTATCTGAATAGACGCATCATTAAAGTAGACCGATCGGGAAAGTAGACGAAATGGGAAATAAACGAATCGGGAAAAACAAGGTGACCGATCAGGAAAGTAGGCGAATAGTGAAAGTGGACCGATTGTACCGGAAGGGAGAACGATTTAGTCACTAGCACTGAAATTGGTATTTTTATTCGATTTTTTTGCTAAGACGGAGATGCACGGTTACAAGGTTACTTCACCGTGTACACTCCATTCCGATAAGAGCCCCTTCAGGTGATGCGGTATGAACTTTTGTTATTAGGAGGCTTTTAATTGAATTGACACTAATGATGAGAATAACAATGTTTTCTTGGGATGTGTTTAAAATTTAAACACATTTTATATTCCGAAGAAAACATATTTGTTTATAATAAATTGGAAAGTTACGGTGTGTATCCGTCGTGAAAGTTATGCGTTTATCCTCGATGGGAAATATTGCGATTTCCACGAGTGTTTAATTTTTTTCTTCTGTTCTTAAAATCATGGCGACGTGGAACCGGCTCGCATAAATGAGAAATTACCCACTTTTTAAATTTTCATTTATTACTGTGACGTAGTAAAGTAGTATTTTTATATGTAACCTTAGAATAATAACGCATAGAAACCTAGTACGGACACGCTAAGTGAGGCAAGTTGAAGCGCGCCCAATGGGCCTACACGAGCGGGCAGGCCTTCAGTGCTCAAGGTCAACTTGCACTGCGAACAGCTCCAGAATATTAGCTAAAAATGACGAAATGTGCGGTAAATGAGTGTAAAAATACGTCAGACAAACATAAAATAGATACTAACATCACATTCCACAAGGAAGTAACGCGTTTCAACTTGTATTTTTATATAAATATTCACTAAAACCGAAAATTAATTTCGTTGCAACAAGACACGAAAATGTTGCAAAGGACGGATTTCTTTCTCCCAATTTTGCTATTCTGTTTCAAAATAATTATATAACGTATTTTTTTGAGAATAGGCAATATCGCGATGGCTGCAGATTTTTTATTTATTCTAATGTAAGTGTGCATTTGACCTACATTTCTGCAAGTTGAATGCGTACAAATGTTGTTTACAAAGAGCAACCCCTAGAGTCTGCCTTACGAATGAGCGGTAAAGTTTAACCAATGTGACGATTTGAAGTGTAATAATGCTTACCTATGAAATAAAGATTATTTTGATTTTGATTTTGATTCTGGGTGTCGTTTCCGAGGTATTTGGGGGTGCTCATTACGAATATAGCACTTATTTCTAAATACAAGATGGCGGACACGATTTCTAAAAAAATGCAATATGGGTATCCTTTTCGAGGTATTTGGGGATGCTCATTACAAATATGACACACATTTCTAAATCCAAGATGGCGGACGCGATTTTTCGAATAATGGCAAGTTGGGTATCGTTTTCGAGATATTTGGGGGTACTTATTACGAATATAGCACTTATTTGTAAATCCATGATGGTGGACACGATTTTTCAAAAAATGCTATATGGGTATCCTTTTCGAGGTATTTGTGGATGCTCAATACGAATATGGCAATCATTTCTAAATCCAAGATGGCGCACAATTTTTCGAATAATTGCAAGTTGGGTATCGTTTTCGAGATATTTGGGGATGTTCAATACGAATATGGCACTCATTTCTAAATCCAAGATGGCAGACACGACAGTTCAAACAAAAGCAATATTCGTAATGAGCACCGAAACGATACCCAACTTGCCATTATTCGAAAAATCGTGCCCGCCATCTTGGATTTACAAATAGTGCCATATGCACATTAAGCATCCCCAAATACCTCGAAAATGATACCCATATAGCATTTTCTTAAAAAATCATGTCCGCCATCTTGGATTTAGAAATGAGTGCCATATTTGTAATGAGCACCTCTAAATACCTCGAAAATGATTCCCATATTGCATTTATTTGAAAGGTCGTGTCCGTCATCGTGTATTCAGATATAAATGCCATTTCTATAAGGATTACCAAAAATAAATTTTTGGAAATTCGTGTCACTTGACATTGTCGATCGACAAAACCGAGCATATCTGTGGGCACCTGATCGACATTGTCGATCGACAGTAACAATCGACAAAATCGAGCAAATCTGTAGGCACCTGATCGACAATGTCGGGCAAATCTGTAGGCACTCTTAACTTAATGATGAATTTAGCAAGGTACAATTTCCCCACTTTTGAGGGAAATGTTATTCCATGGCATCACTATTTGTATATTGGTGTGCGTGCCGACGAGCGTAGATACAAGTTGCTTACGCCTACATGAATTTGATTTTTGCCTCGCTTGTGACAGTTCGTTTGGTATGAAACTATCATTCTATGCGTTATTATTCTTAAGTATGTAACACAGACTAAGTAAGCAATCAATTATATTAAATAAATAATGCTTAGCAATTATGTAATAATATAAGTTTTTGAGGTTAGCTGAAAACGACCCTTACAGAATACTTCCAATCATTCTCTACCAAGGAAAAATCTCCGGGTATAAAAGTAAAATGTAGGTCTTTATTTTTATAGAAAAAAAAGTCTCTGAATCAACTTTCAAAGAAATTACACATCCACGTCACGATCCACAAATTATTCCTATACCGCGAAAAGCCAAGAACAAAAAAGTTCGACAGACAAAACACGTGTATGGACGGACGCGTGCTGACAAGTGTAGTCCAACCCGCAACGGAGGGTTACGGAAACCTTAAAAATAAGTAGCACAACAATGAAGTAGTCAAATAATAAAAGTCGTTATACGTTTTGTTACAAATTTTATTATACAAATTATTTCTGTAACATCCAGAACACAAGTTCTAACCGAAAATGTACAGTTTCCCTCATTGTTTACCTCAAAATACAATGCACAACACAAGCGGAAAACTATACTTTTCCAATCTTACATAACAAAGCATCCATTGGTAAAAAATACAATACTCGTACTTAATGATTACAATATTCAAAGCCTTGAATGTTTTCTTGACCACCTTACATTCAAGAGTTCAGATACTACAAGATTAGACTGGTATACAATAGTAACACTAACACTGATGACTTTTCTATTGTCCGTACACAAAAGAATCTACTTGTAATTGGTACCTAAATACTTTATGTGTGGGCAGAGAACGACACGAAATAATCAACAGCTGTGCTTATAATTTTTTGGCGAAACGTTACCTCTGACGAACAAAATTGAAGCGCGCTATGTTGAGCTGGTGTGAGGTATACATAACGTGACATAACACAACACACTATACATAGCGGAACGTATGGTGCCGCTTTGAGCGGAATAGTCCCGGTTTTAGGCTTTGTGTCCCGCTGTCTCCAAAATACTTAGTGTCCCGCTTTCACAAAACAGAACACACGTAACAATACATTTTAAAGAATGGCGCGAAAGATAACAATATATATAAAGCCAGCCAACCAGACATCGAGCACCACCCTACACAAGATTAGTTCTTTTTTGAATCATTAAACAATTTTAGTTCTTTTTTTTTATCATTAAACATTTCGTAACTATCATAAAACATGTCTTTCCCGCTCTGAGGGAAAAAAATAGTGGTCACGTTAAATATACCTGCAGTTTCATAGACAGCAACGGCGCTTATCGTAAAATTAAATATCAGAATGTGGTAGGTGTTTCGCTATATAGATCTCAAAAACCAACTACGGGGGCTTTTAGTGCAATTTTGGAGTACTTTCTGTGTAGTTGCCGCCTACCGCGTCTCCACATAAGTATCAACAACGTACTGAGGAAATCCAATTACTTACACATGTACCATGTATACATTAAGACAGTACGGTCTGTATGAGGTGATACAAGTACATCAGTGCCGTTGAACTTTCTAACAGCAAAAGTAAGTTTAATGTGAAATGTTTTAACGCATATGTTATTAGTAATTCAATATGACACAAACGCAATAATCCTATTACTGTCATAGCCGTACTTTCTTTTAAACAAGAACATTAATAATCACTACACGGCACAAAGAAAAGTAGTCACATTTTGGTGTGCGGTACAATATAATACAGTCGATGAGCGGGTTAATATCGCCCGTGCTTTGTAGAAAGGGCGAAAGCGCCATTCAAAATTTTTTTTTTCAGGGGAGATGTTTTAGTTTTTCACGACTGCTTTAAAATAATTTCATCCTGTCTGTTTTAAATTCAATTTCAAAACTTAAACTTAATTAAAACCAAAATCAAATTTTAAAACAGAACGCAAAAATTTAAAATAGTCGGTAAAACCTAATAAAACATGTTCACCTGAAAAGATTTCGAAATGGCGTTTTCGCCCTTTCCACTAAACACCCACGATATGAGGAAATAATTATTAGAACAGTTCTTATAACACCGGGCAATAAATTGATGACTAATTGACTTGGGCAGTATGTAATTTTTCATAAAATAATTAAATGTTTTTTCAAGTGAAATGAGGCCTTACTTGTGGATAGGACTTTTTGGGAGTATTTAAAAGTAATCCTATGGCATCATTGACATAGCGTTATAGAGCTCGTAAGCTGCAAAAGGCCGTAGAGCCATTTTAGGTTATTGTGTCGCGTTAAATGTCGCGTGCACGTTTCATTGTCACGATTGCAGTCCACATAGACGCGGTCAGAAGTACTCTGTGACTCTGAAACCAACCTTACTTCCTAGAAACGCAATCAAAAGATAATACAAGCTCAGTAAACCTTAGCCTAACTTAGGCATAATGATAGTAAACGAAGTTAATTCGAGGCGCTTGTGGCTCAAGAAAATGAGAGAAAATAATTAAAATATAAAAAGTCCTTTGGACACAGAAGCAAGTACAAAAGCGGCACAGACTAAATTGTTTAAAAAAAATATTACATATTTTGTCTAGAAGCTGACTCTACCGAGATGACGTATTATTAAGAATATTAAACTTATTTTTTTTTAAATACCATTTTATTAACTTTCAGAGCAGTTAAATACCGTATGTCGTATGTAAAAAAGGTAATGAATGGTATACATCATCTAAAAAAATATGATTTCAGTAAACTAAATCTCATTTTCTTGGGCATTGAATAATAGTAATTATCGTTATCTACACCTACTTGAATAATACAGCCCATAAATTAAAATCCCCGACGACAAAGTTTTATAAAAAATAATTTTATAGGCGGATGTGAACACCGTAATGCCCGACTTCATTTAAATATTATTTTGTACATTTACAAAATGTTGTATTGCCGTTTTACGCTTGCAAGAAGTCGAAATTTGTTTCATAGGGCTGTTGGCAAGTAATCAAAGAATACTCGCTTTACAATTTGATACTTTCTCTTAACTATTGTTGAAGGCAGTATTTAATTTTTGTCATAATTACAACACTGAACTATAAATAACTTTTCAATGTATGGTAAACAAAACGTTAAATTTCAATGTAAAATTTGCACTCCTTGTAAACTTGTCAGCTAACTTGTATATTGAAAAACATTTTATTGTTTAGTATACAAGAATAGGCTCTAATAATCTGCAAATTTAATAATATTCCCCACAAATCCTTCAATACCAGGAAACATACCGGCCAGTTCTATATACTAGAAGAAATACACAATCTCGAGATAAAAAGTAATGCTTTTACATTAAAAATATGTATTTCTTTGTACTACATACACTTTGACTTAATTGTCACTCAGTAATACATTAATCATATAAATAGTCCATTCAGTAAAATAAATCATGGGAACTAGAGCTTTAAATTCGATGTTTTATCCAGGATTCTGTTACTACAGAGACACAATAGAGAGAAAAAGGTATATCTTCTTATCTTAGGAAAGTGTGAGTAAGGTATATCTTATCACTCTATCAGTCTCTCATAGTCCAACACGCATATAAAATGCATAGCTGTAGATCATATTATTTATTTTATTGATGCGAATAATATTAAGTTTATATTTTAACATTTTGACAGCTCAGAGAGGTAACAGGGCAAACACACAAAATCCGTTTATACAATTCTTAAAATAGCTATCATGCGTCCAACAATATCCATTTCAAAATCAATGCACCTTTGTAATGGACTGAAGACGCCAGTAATTTATAGCCATTTAGGCAATTTAAATGAGAGGAGCAAATTTATTTTTGATATCTGGGGTTTTTATTAGGGTGAAGGTACACTCATCGCAAAGCAAAGTAGTAGATCCGTCAATGAGTTTGTCCTAATCCCTAACAGACAACATGAATTCCTGCACAAAATTAAGACCAGGGCTGTTGCGAATATCAGCATCTGCATCCGCGGATAATCTGCATAAATTAAAATATCAGCATCTACATTCATCGATGCTAATAATCACTGACTGACTGATAAAATCCAGAGCGTTTAAGCTAGGCAGACTCATTATCATCATGCAGATTGATTCTTTTGTTAATTAATGTCACAAAATCATTGAAGTAATATTTTATCACAATACTAAAGAAAATAGAAAGCTTTTTCATTCAGTAAGGATGTGCATTTATCGCGTTTTTTTCTTAAATACACAAAATCAGCATCTGCTGATGTGTAAAAAACGTGCATCGGCAACAACCCTGCTCAAGACTACATGTGTATTTACTGACCTTGACTAGTCCTATGAACAGCATATTATGAATGTGCTTTGGAACGAAACAGTGAGATCCTTGAAGAGTTCCAATGCATGAAATGAAAGGTCATAATTGAATGCCAACATGTTAATAATGAATGCTTATGTTAGCTGACATGTTATGACATTATTGACCTAGAGTATCGATTCTGACAGTCCCAATTGTTACCTAAACAAATTTGACGGAAATAAATATATTGTCATTAAATCACTTCCATACCTCCCATTAAGTTTAAAAAGGGATAATATTTTAGATCTGTCAAATTATTTTAAGTAGTCAACAATATTTTTATTATTTTTTTTCACTAAGTGGTAATTTTTTTGTGTTAACTGTTAGCACCTAAACAGTTTCATTGTTTGGTCATTTAAGACTCACAGCCTCATTGACTTGCAAATCAACCGACTTTTCAATTGACGACAACAAGAATTTGACTGTTTCCTCATACAACGTTTGTTTTAAATGGTACGAAAATAATGCAAACATACAAGCAAAATTTAAAATGCAGTCATGTTTGAGATAAGCAAGATATAACTGTCTATCTTTGACCCAAAATTATAACTAGAACTGTTGATTAGGAGTTTGATCTCAAAAACGCTGAGTGTATTTTGCAATAAAAATGTATGAATTATTGAAGGCAAATCTATAATGAACTCCATCTTGACAGAAGTTGAACATTTTCGCAACACAGGTACAGTTCTAGGACATTTTCACACACAGATACTCACTAAGCACCATTCCACGTCACATCACAGTTCAGAAGAGATCCATATCTTCATTACACATGACTTCCAGAAAATCATCGTCATCGTAGTTTTGTAGACCGCGAGGATCGTCCGTTCGGTCGGGAAGCAGTGAGCGGGAGCGCGGGGAGTGCGGATGAGCATCAGTGTGCGATTGGGCGTCAGTATCGCTTGAACACTCGCGCGCGTCTGTCGCAGGTGACGGTGGTGGATTGGAACCGTGTTCCGTTTGTACGGTGGCTTCACCGCGTGACAGAAGTGAGGGTAATTCTGAATCTGTAATAGTTTGACAAACAGTAAAGATAGGTATAGTACAACATATATAGATATCGGAGGAGGATTCATATCGATCTAGTAGCATTGAGACGGAATCAAGGTTCTCGAAGTGGGTCCGCTCCACTCGCGATCTTTTAGGCTCGGAGACGAACTTCAGGCGGCTACGGGATTTCGCGCGGTAATGGCATGAATGTCGGAGCTGACTGGAGGACGTAGAAGAGACACGGTTGCGACATCTCGGCGGACACCGAAGATGTAATTGTGTCGTGTACGCCACAGGCGGGGGAGAGTTGCAATAGGGACAAGGAGTTAGATTAAATAGTTGTACTTGTTTCGCGGCCCATATAACCAAGATGGTTGATAAGGGCCATGGGAAGGTTGGTGGGTTTGATCTAGAAGCATACAAGCTGTGCTACACTATAAACGAGTGTTACGAGTTATTTAAGCTGCGCTACGTAGCTCATGGATAGCACACTGTATTCTAGCCCGAGTAAACGCCAGGACCCAGACGCGCAAGGACACTTACACACATTAGAAAGATTGTGTAATGTATGGAACATAGCTAAATTAATGCCGACATTGAACAACATTGTACTAACAAATGAACATACCTGTGAGACTCTGCTTTAGCTGCTCCACGACTTGCTGGCGGCTTTTAGTGCGCAGACGTTTGATCTTGCGTGCCTGTTCCTTTCGATCTTCCGTGAAAATTTGGTTGATCATCGCTTGCGAGATTTCGTCATCACGTTTTAGGAGAAAGAAATAAACTCCTCCAGGGGTCCTTCTTCGTGTGCCATTCTGAAAATATTTAGATTGTAGAAAAGTTGTGTTGTACAAGAATATATAGCTCAATTAATAAAATAAATTTTAGTGATATAGTTTATTGCATGTCAGGATATTTCACCACCATGATCTTCAACTATTTTTTGTGAAATTACTCCACTAGTTTGTTATGATTATTAATACAAAGATCCGCTGATTCGTTCCGTGGCTTATTTGGTTTAGTATCTGGCATGGTTTGCTACAAGATGTTTGTTAGAATCCAGCCGGATCGAAGGAATATTTCTAAAAATCTAAGAATCTTTGTATTAATAATTAAATTTTACTGGTTAAAAAGTGATGCACTCAAGAGGTTGTGCATCATTCCCAATACCACCTATTTGCGAAGTTAATATTTCCAAATTACTTGGTCTTTCTTACCATAATTAACATTCCACCATCTGCTTCTATCCTTTGTGTTTCTTTGTATATTTCTATTGCTTTATTTGCACCTAATCCTTGCACAATTCTCCCTGAAAACGATATATAAACGGTTTATAACAAAAGAGTAACTTTTCCATTCACGGAAGAAAAAAACCAATGGAAGTGCCTTAAACCTCGATTACTATCAGAACCGCTGTCGCCAAAACTCACACATTCATAATTTTAACACCATGAAATTTTGATATTGGTAGTTTCTAATTTAAAAAGAAATAACAAATTCTAGACTGTTAATGTAATTGAAAACTTTACCCAGTTGGCATATAGTTCAAAGTTATTTTATTTAGCTTCCTATTACTGCCAGTTACGTTTTGATTCTATATTGAAATTTCAATCAATATGCTGCCATCTAACGAGCAATAGAACGATGAGGAATTCAAGATGTTTACCATATGGTAAATGCAATATTGCAGAGGTATAAGGTTCACTTTCGTTTCATGTAATAAAAAATGTTACAATAAACAGAAAAATGCAAATTCATTAAAATTTCATAAAATAAGACTTAATGACGATATTATAGACATGAAATAATAATGCAAACACTCAACATTGCCCCGCACTAGGGAAACCCTGTGTCGCGGGTGCCATGGACACACACATTGACAACCACAAATTATACTAAAAGTCACGATATAAATAAATGTAGGCCATACAAATATCGGGAATCGAACCTGAGACGTCTGCATAGCAGGTGGGCATGGTAGCCACACGGCTACAGAGGCAGTTATATTACAAATGTGACTGTCTTTTTTGCATTCTAAAGAACCAAAATAAAGCATTTTTTTATGTGTTTTGAGGATTTGTGTGAGATAATTGACACAACTGTAGTTCATTGATTGCATGAGATGTTCAAAAATAAAAAAATTGTTGAAACAAAGCTTAAATAAACCTTCTATAATAACCATATTTAAAAAGTGATATTATGGCTAGCCCCCATTAGTGAATGTGTTTCAAAACTAGCATTCACACAAGCACCATATTTACATATATAAGACATTCTCTAACAAACAGCATAAAACCTTTCCTGCAATGGTAATGTGCTGTCCTAGTTACAGGAAGTGTTAATAAGCAAGAGAAAATATATGTAAGCACATACCAACTAAATCCTTTTTATCTTCCGACAGCTTATCAGCTATATCTAAAGCAATACTCTCAATTGGGTCCTCAGGAGCAACTGCTAAATCTGGCAAATGTTTGGCAATTCGTATTTCCTCACGCTCATCATCATGTTTTAATTTTATAAGCCTTAGTTTACCATTTGCTCGGTCAGCTCGGCTCCTTTTGTTTGACACTCGGTCATTATCATTGCAATTATAATTGTTTGTAAACACTTTCTTAGACACAGCAGCATCATCTAATCGGTACTTAATTGTATAATCATAAGATTCAACGCCATATCTACTCTTTTTTGATACGTCACAGCTTATCATGTCTTCAGTTAAAAGATCCTCCTGAAAATAGTACCAAATCTATATTAATTTTATTTTTATAAACATAAGGTACAAGCTTGGTGTAATAAGGACACATCTGCAAATTGACAACTTCTCAGGAGAGAGAAATCAGTTAATAACTTTTTTATGCTTATGAAGTTTTAAAATTTCATAAGAATCAATAAATACATAATTTGTTGCATGTAGTTTATACTATTTTTATGAATTAATTAGATAAAATCACTTTTGCCATATGATCTCATGTGTTTTTGTTACACCGAGAATTCAAAGTTTTTTTTTTTTTTAACAGTTACAACACATTTATTATATCATGCATTTGGTATCTGGCTGCACAATTAGAAGGCGATTGAATTTGGTTATGATATGGGCTTTTTATTGGGAAGTATGAAGTTTTAGAAAAAATATTTAGTTGTACATTTGATTGTTTTGTCTGACAAATTGTTTGAGGCAAAATCACTTCACAAGAATGAATATTTTTGGTAAATATATACCCCATTGTTCCATTCCTCTATAAAATAGTTGTCATTTTGCTCCAATGAAATAAAATGTGAACTACCTATTTTTAAAAGTGAAAATACCTAAAGTAAGCCAGATGGTAGTTCACACTTCCCATTGAACAATTTGCCACAAAAGGCTATAAGGCCCTTGGTATTCCTATTTATTTATTATTGTTAGGAATTATTTTGTTCAATACAAAACTTTTTATGATTGTTACCTGCAAGGACTTGCACCAAATATTGTATTTTTCTTTCTTGTCTGGCTGAGACGGCGGTTGCGATCGGCGCGGCCTGATTTTGGTCCTCTTAGCTCGTCTTCGAGGCTCCTCATCAGACTCCGACCCTGAAGATTCCGGCAGAGACCCGTCGTCGCTCTGCTCGTCTTGTATGTGCATGTGCACCAAAGAAGGAGGGTTAAAAGCTTCTGGCCGCTCCAAGGGAATGTATGTACCCTCTTCGACATCAGAATCCTCCAACTGGAAAGTTCAAAAGTATCTCAATGTATCAATATGAACACTACGACAAACGCCCAAGTGTCAAATCATAAAAATTTGATGACATATTTGAAGCTGAATTTCCCTGTTATGCTTCACAGAATCCCATTTTCTACAACTCAATTTATAAAAATATCATTTCAAAAGCATGCAAAAGAGTTAAAAATAACAAAGTACAAATGAAATGTGAAGATATTGAATCGAAAAAGTTGTAAGTAAAAGTTACGATCTAACCTCCCCTTCTTCCCGTTCAAGGCACACTTCGACATCCAGCTCTCCTTCTGTAGTCGACATCATGCTTGCAGATGGTAAGTAATGAGAAACGAATAAAGCACATGAAAGATTTTTGACCCAACGCAAAGAATTCCGCCTTAATCACTTTCTGCTAGCTGGCTATAGTCGTCTAGTCGGATCGGGTCATAAACAAGATAGAACACTAACTGTCAAAAGGTCAGAACTCACAAGTATGTACAAAGACAGTTAAAATTGATGTTCCGAGGTGCGTTTGCAAATATATGATTCAAAAAATAATAGTATAAATGGCGGGAAAAAGTCTCAAAGAGTAAGTTGCCGCCAAAACTTGAAGCAAACGACAAATTTAAAAGTTATTGTAAAGGCGATGTGAATGCACAAATTCTGGCAATATATTGCCTCAATTTATCGCATTGCGCCTTGAGTTCACCGATAAGCAGCTTGATTTTGATTGCCTCTCCCGATCGGAAATTGCGTCTTTTCCGAGTCGAGGCGTATAATATTAAGGATGGGCTACCCGATCGGGATCAAATCCTATTTGAATTAAAATCAGGGCCCAGGAGCTGCGACATTTTATCGCTCGATGAAGTTTAAAAGCTTTTTATCGGAAATCTCGGCAATATGAGCGATGACAAACTGTCACTGTCGTCTGTATGGCGGGCTTAGAGTATTTTTTTCCACCCTTTAAGATGGCGGGATACAACTCGTCCCATCGTTAGTCTTTATAAGTATCATGAATCCACCTCTTAGAGGATGGAAAAAAATAAAGACTAATCCACCTAGACAAAGGTCTATGTAAGTTGCTGTAGTCCACAGACTACTTAGTTAACTGTAGTGAAGTCTATGGTCTATGGTCCGCAATTTTTGTTTTTAAATTTCTCGTCGTTGCCTCGCGTAGTTATGTTTTCTAGCGCATCACTAACAAGTGATAAAGTATCTACCATAGACAACTATGTACCATAATGAAAGTTTCTACTACTATTGAGACAAAAACATAATACATGCTAATGATAGATAATTATCGTACTTTTTTTAAATAAAATATATAAATGCAATCTTATTTCCTGTTAATCGACGTTCTCAGCTCCATGTGCTTGGAACCTAGTCGAGGTTTTTTAAATATACTCGATGCTTTTAATACATCTTTTAAATTTGTGGCGAATGGCGAGGGAGCTTTTCATCCTCTAAGCGAGAGAAGTACGAACTTTTTTTTTGGTACTGTTTTTTCCATTTGAAAAAACAAAGGCACTAATGCGCTATACAGCCAAGACTGAGGGTCATATTCCAGAACTCTACCCAACGCTCCAGTCAGGACTTGAGTATGATTTAAAGCACTGAAAATCATATTCAAGAATTTGCCAATAGGGTCGTATTTCCAGTGCTTGAAATCATACTCAAGTCTGCCAAGTCCTGTTTTGAGCATTGATTAGAGTTCTGGAATACGACCCTATGAGTAATTTCTCTTTTAGATCCCATTACAGAATGTCTTTGATAGTCCATCCTTCATGAATCAAAAATTCCTTTTTTCTTGCGGAAAAGCAGAGGTCCATGGACCATACAGCCTAGTTTTTTTTTAGTAACGTCATTCTTTGTTTTTATTCTTTGGCTTTTCGCTGATATCTTTTCAACCACTAACTTGGTCTCTGTCTTGTTTTTACAACGGGGAAACTTATAAAATAAAAATGAAAATTGAAACTCGTTATTAGGAAGTCAGAGAAAGAGTGAAAAAAGAGATCAGGCGAGGTTCTGGCTATTATTAATTGAATCATAGGTAGGTACGTCACAGGAGAAAATTCATAGATAAATGGGAAGCTGTCATCATTACCAAATGTATCTAGAAGTAGCTACTGAGAAACATCAATATTATGGAAGAAACGTAAAGTTTACTAATAAAAATCACCTTCAAATTCTTATAGGTACTTAAAATTATGTAGTTATGCTGCAACAATATTTCTTTCCAATGCTCATACTTGTAATGAAATCCGCGTACAACGTGGGCAGGGTAGCAGATTCGTAAGTATATTAAATCCACAGGTTGAATTATAAGATATTTGTTCGTATTAGCAAAATCGTAAAGGTTTATTACTCGCATTGTACACAGGGAGTTACCTCCATGGACGTGGGAGTGCGAAAGTGAAAAATGCATTCCTACGCGATCATCAAGGACTGATAAAATGCAATCGTTGGCTACATGTAACATGCTATGTGGAAATAATCAGTTATGGCCACATCCAACAGGACACGTTTCAATATCTGCAACAGGGATCCCAGTTCGCGCCGAATTAGTTCAACTACGCGTTATAAAATCTCCATCACGATTAGTCTACGACCACATCAAAGAGGCCTTCAGTTTATTCCGAGAAAACTTTATAAACTTGGAAAAAAATGCACACGGTTTCGCGGAATGGCGTGCTGTTAGTTTGCAAATTTCAGTGAATGGCAGTATGGACCCTCGGCTGAGAGTTGATACAGACGAAAGCTACGAATTAGCAATAGAACCGAGATATGGACCTAATGGTCCCTTAGAGATTAGGATCATTGCAAAGTCTTTCTGCGGTGCTCGACATGGCTTAGAAACATTATCACAATTGATATGGTTGGACCCTTATTTTTCTTCCCTATTCATTGTTGAATCTGCGACTATAGTTGACGAACCTCGTTTTAAGTATCGTGGAATAATGCTAGATACTGCAAGAAATTTTTTCCCTCTAAATGACATATTGAGAACGATGGACGCAATGGCAGCTTCGAAGCTAAATACATTTCATTGGCGCGTGAGTGACTCGCAATCTTTTTCTTTGAAGTTAAAGAGTGTTCCTCAGTTGGCATTTTTTGGAGCGTATGGCCCGGGTGCGTCGTATTCTCTTGATGATGTAGATATTATAGTTCAATACGCTCGACTGAGAGGGATTCGTGTGATCATAGAAGTGGATACTCCAGCCCACGTTGGCAACGCATGGAAATGGTATATACCCAAAAACATGGGCGATAATATAATCCTGTGTCTTAATGAGGACCTGTGGGATCAATATTGCAATGCACCACAATGTGGCCAGTTAAATCCACGGAATTCTCATGTTTATGATTATCTGCAAGAAATCTATGCAGAAATTATTGCTCTTACAGGTGTCGATGATGTGTTCCATATAGGAGGTGATGACATTTCTGAGCGTTGTTGGACGAAGCACTTTAAAAACACCGACCCCGCAGTACTGTGGCTTGAATTCACTAAAAACGTGCTAAGTCGGTTAGAAATTGCAAATGGCAAATTACCAAATACTACGATAATATGGTCGTCTACCTTAAGCGACGACATTAAAACGATTCTAAAAGACTATGAGGAGTCTCTAGCTTTACAGATACGTTCTTCACACTGGATTAATAAATATGTTAGAGGTATGAGAACGATAATATCTCATGAAGAACCGTGGAATTTTAACAGTGGAATGGAGGAGTGGGATGATGAAACAAGAAATGAGCCATATAATTCTTGGCAACAGGTATATGAACATAGACCTTGGGCTCATGGTGTTGATGTGCCACCTGTTATAGGCGGTGAGGCCATTGTTTGGTCTACTATGTTGAGTTCTGGAGGGTTGGATTCTCGTATATGGCCTCGAGCATCAGCGCTAGCAGAACGGTTATGGTCAGATATTCCACATGGTGCTACGCGAGTTGTTTACATACGACTTGATATTCACCGATCTCGATTGCTCGCTAGAGGAATACACGCAGCTCCCTTATGGTCTATGTGGTGCAGTCAGAATCCCTATACCTGCGGTTAAATAAGATTTAACACAATGTTAAATAACAAGGTACCGCTCTAGCACCGTGGCGATAGCGATAACACAAATCGACAATGTCACAATATGAAAATCATTGGGAAGCAGTAGTGACCTAATTCATAACTCCGCGACGCTTCCACTTAAGTTGTGCTTCGAAACTATAGTTTCGAGTGAAAGTGTTACTTTTTTTATGTTTTTACATTTACATTTATTGTACGCACTAAATTAGGATGTATTGTACGTTATTTGACATAATATGACTTTACTTTCGTTAGTGATTATTGTATTTTTGTTTTTAATTATTACGTGAACATCCGTAACTTACAACGTATCCTGATATAGTTTTCGAACGTCAGTATGTTCGGCGTTCTCCAGGTACAGTCGGCTACATAACTGGTAAAACTGTTTTGTATGCATATTATCTCTCACCTCTTTTATTGGTCTCCTTAGGGTCTTCTTAACGCTATTTTAATAACCAGGAATCAACCACGTCAATAAAGTGTCGAGATTAGCAGTTAAAATTATTTGTCTCTAAATTGCACAGTAACTATCCTTTAAGGGCCGAGTAGGTGGGGATAGCGTATCGCGTGAGCGGCTAATAGAAATCTCTATTAACTCAATACAAGTTGAAACGCTACTAACTTATTATTTCTGTAAAGGTTTTAATTAAGCTTTGGTTTCTTAGTTCAACGCTTATTCTCTTTTGCTGTAGAACAGCAAAATAACAAACAGAAGCTCCCTAATCCTTAATATACAGACCAACCAAGAGATCTATCTCTTAGGGAGCTTCTGTTTGCCAAGAATGCTCCGAGAATCCCAAATACGTATGGAATACATCCAAAATCAAAAACATAACCTGCAGGCTAGCACGACAGGGCTCAATTTGCGCGAGATACTGCCGTTCTCGCATAAAGTATCTTTTTTTTTTGTCGCTCTCGCGTAATTCGCGTCCTGTCGTGCTAGCCCTATTGAAACGAAAGATTATTCGAATATAAACGGAAATAGTTTCTGCACAACACAAGAAATTAGGAAACGGAAATTACGTACAATCTTCTAGTATTTTATGGTCAAGTTTGATGCCTGCTTTTAATAGAATTGTTTAAATACCGTCATTTTTAGTTTTATTATCTCTTAGTCTGTGTATTTATTTGTTAATTTGTCTAGGTGTTGTGTAGGTTACTCAGAGAAATATTCCACGTTTGTTGTTTTTTCTGTAGAACACTAATTTATCGTGTGTGAAGTAATAAACTTGAAAGTGCCGCTCGATGCCACGGAAGAAAAGGTAAAAAGTTTTCGTTTAGTTTTAGTCTATGTCCAACATGGCGGCCAAAGTACAGCAAGCGTCAAGCTAATTGTTTTGTGAAGGATAATTCGATAAATTTAATTTTTACATAAAAATAAATGTTGGTGCAGTTTGGTACAACTTACATTTAATATGAGTAGATATTACGATTACGGTAACGCGATATCATGGTAAGTAAATAATATTTTTGTCACTTGCTCTCCATGTTGGTTAATTTTTGTGTACGTTTACTTAGAAACGCTCATTTTTGTATAAATACAATGGTAATTTGTAATATTTGAGACTAAAAAGCCTGTGGGTAAGCCGACTGAATTATGACTGTAGTTTACTCAGTTACTTGCATGGGTTTTAAAAAAAAAGATTTTAAACGAGTCCAATATTCTCAAACGTGGTTTGAGGTCATGTAGTCACGCTAGCGAGTTATTTTTTTCTCTACAATAATTATAATTACGTCTCTAGTACAAACACAATTTTGTTAATTTCCCGCTAATTAGGCCATTACAGAATGTTAAATTTTTTTAATACGACGCGTTAGATTAGTTATTGATTTTTTAGGGACTTCCTGTTTGTAATGGAGGACGAAATTGCGTTTTAATTTTTGCCGCAAACGTTGTTTCCGAAGATATAAAATGTATTCCGTCATTTGTGTAGTAATTCATTGTTACATGTTAAAAATGAGAAAAATCGACCAACTGCTTGTGTATACTTAAGGATATAGTACAAAAATTTTAATAATTGCAATGTGTATAGTACCAAATGTATATTTAACCATTAAAAAAAGCTTATAGTTTGCAAATAAATAAATAAACATATTAAAAAAAAACATTAGATATATTTGCCATAATAATTTCTAGGGTGTTTACGAAGTAGTTCCACTAAACTATGTTTTTTAAATGTAAATAACAATTGCCACATTACCATCCTTTTGACTTTACTGTCCTAGGTTGAAAATATTTTTTTTTTTTAGTGGGTTTAAATTATAAATCATGAGCACAGATAGGAATTGGCACAGCTTTTTTTCCTTAACTTGAAGTAATACACATAGAGTGGACAATACCGCCCTCTAAAATCTGGTAATTATTAAAAATATAGGTAGAAAATTATAACCGAATGTTTATATTTTTACTTACAATTATTTACAACATTTTTCCTTTACATGCTACTATAATGAAGTAATTTCTAGTGACTTATTATATAAAATGTACAACAAAATACAATACAGTAATTCTAGGATTTCACAGGGAGGTGTTACCCACTGTATGTGTATCTTTGAAGTTTACATTTATTTTTATAACAAATCACAAATGTGTCTAATGCCACATCCTTTAATTTGAAAATCAATGAAAAATACGGGTGTATTGCATGTCACGAAGTCCTGGTCCAGCCCCCTAAATCTGCCTAACTTGAAGGCAGTCATATATTTGTGAAATATCAAATTCTGTACATATTCCAAACCCATTCCTAAATCAAAGAAATTTAAACCATTTGGGTTTGGAGATGAATGTTTGACATTTCACTCTGAGCATATAAGCTGATTTTCAAGTTAGACCCCTGTCCTATGTTATTACAGAAAGTTACTCTCAATAATGATTGGTTTTGTAAGAGAAACTTGCTGGACAGATATATTTATTATAGTTTCTGGAAAATTTCATTGGTAGAACAGTCATCTTATTTCTCTTACCATTTAGCTCCGGATCTTCCTGACATTTCAGGTTTTTGTCCCACAGTTAAAGCTGCTAATGTACTTTCTCTCCTTAGCAATACTCCTTCATAGCTGCAGTGAAATAATTTGTCAAATTTTACCATAAGGGATCGTCAACTATATTCTAAAAATAGCATTTCTACGTTTACGGAATTGTGTGGTTTGTTTTATCCAACAGAGCTGTAAGACATGTTTTAACCATTGATGACTAAAATTGATAATTATTCAATTGCAGATGTTCTCTAGTGCCCCTTTTCCCTTCCATACGGTTTAATAAGAGAAATAAGGCGACACGTCGAAGAAATTTTCCAGAAAACATCTTTTGTAGCTGACTTATGATAGCACTTTACGTCCGTTTTCGGACTGCTGCATTTCAGTTGACATGACATGATCGCTCGTCAACAATGGTTAAAACACGATCTTCGGCGAGGGTAGGAAGTGCGGCCCAGAGCTCATCTGCCGAAAATGGGAACCCTTCCGAACTTAGATCGCGGCTCAAAACAACTGAGAACGGACACCGCTCACAAAAAACCTACAATACTTCTAGGCAAGTGTCAGAACCTCTCGAGTTTGCCTCACAAGCTGTCCGCATGAATATTTACTCTGCAAAGACTGCGGACATATACCTAATTGTTGCAATGGTCCTTAAGTATGTGAGAAGAAGTGTGATTGTCTGAGCATGTGGTTTTGCTTCCGGTGTCGGGTCTTTAATGCTGCAGCGCACTTATTAAGTGTTCTTGTTTCACGATTCCTTGAAGCTGATTGTCGAGAAGAAAGGGTATTAGTAAATGTTGCATGGTTTCGATGTGCACTAAGAATTCTGATTATAGCTGAACTGAGTTTTCTTGGAGAGCAGGATATGTCTGTGTTGTGTTACAATTAATAGTGCAGTAAACAAATATGTGTATTATTTTGTATTGCACTTTATAATGTTAAACTCAGATGTTCTGAATATGATATTTGTGAAGTTTCTTAAGGTTTCGGTATTTGTCGTCCACATGATGTACGTGCATTTGCCGCGATTGATAATACTAAGGGCTCGTTCCCATTATGTCGTGACGACAGGTAGTCGTGCAGTTAGTGTCGAGGCTTGTATATTTAAATGAAGTATAGCAAAGATATATAGCAAAACACGATTAACAGTCGTTCACGACTTTATTGAAGTTACGACGACAGATTGTCGTGATATTGGGAAGAGCTAGAACGACAGTTGTCCAATGTGACGACAGATAATCGTACCTTCAAACGATTCTGTCATACAAACGACAAGGCGGCTGCCGTAAACCGATAAATTGTCGTCACGATCTAGTGGAAACAGCTAGACACAACAGTCGTTCAACGATAAAATGTCCACAACACAGTCACGACTCATAGTCGTGATATGGGAACAGGCTAGACGCGACAGTCGTCTGACGATAAATAAAACGTTACGACATAACGGGAACGCGCCCTAAAGCGTACGCGAAATAGCAAGGCACTAAAGATTTTCTAGTCGCTAGACTAGTTATACAACACGATCACGATATTTTCCGTGACCAAATCCAGATGTTTGGAATATTAAACCTTTCTTAAATTGTTTCCAAGAAAGCGTCGTCTTATTAATATCTAGTATGGTTTCAGTTGCAACATTGGCCGTTGAATTATTCCGCGCAGACTAAGCGCTTGCCATTAACGGAATGGACGCATTTACAATGTGCTCAATTGTGAAAAGTTAAAATACATTACGAACACTGTATTTTTGCTTTGTCACTATAATATTTTTTTTTCTTCTATTTGCCTGGAGTATTAAAGCATACAATGTCAAGCAAAATACCTTGCTCACCAGGAACAATCAAGCGCTGCCCTCGGGCGGCGTGCCGGGCAGCGGGTCTCAGGGCAAAGACCCCCTGGCCCCCGCACTGCCCGGCTCTCGCAACATGTACCAGCATCCCGCTGTTAGCGGATATAACACACAGGACTCCAGGGGACAGAGCATGCCTGTCACGGTAGGATTGGCTACGAATTTTGCATTTGGAAGTTTTTTTTAAATAAATATATTTATGGATGGTGCTTTTGTAGTGTTAATATTTGATGAATTAAACGGTTTCGTTCACTCAAAATCGGTCACATAATGCGAATAAAAGTTATTTGCCTGCTTAATTCTTAATTGAAACAAAGATGCTTTATATTTTTAACTGTGTGCAGTAGTTAGTTCAAGTGTAGTTGTAGAAGAACAGAAATGCTTATTGCGCAGGGTCGACAGAATCCGATGTACGGGAGCATGTACCATGGATACGGGGCAGGCGCGGGCGCCGCTCTCACCCCCATGCCGTCTCCGTCGCCCACGGCGCCGCTGCCACCCTTCCCCGTGCACCCTGATGTTAAATTTAAAAAGTAATTTAAACGTATTATTCGTATTTACACATTATTTACACTATCTACACGTTTGCCAGGATACAGCAAGCTGTAGTTCTATCCTTCAAATGTCTCTAACGATTACATGGCGAGAATTAAGTAGATATTTTTTATTATTTTAATGCTACAAGAAATCTGCAAGGCAATGCTGCTTTTTGAATTGTTTCTGCATTACTACTGCATTACTAGAAAGATTATTGTTTATTGTTTTGTGATGGTTGGCAATTTAGAGTTGGACTCTCCTCGTGTCGACTTTTACAGAGAACATACACTTTTCAAAATGAAATGACCATAATATCGCCAAAATTTCATGGTCTAAAACCAGCTGGTCACCCTATGTATTTTCGGTAATATTTTCACTAGGCTTCCCTTCTACGACGTCCTGGCGGAGCTCATGAAGCCGTCAACCATGATGCCTATGCAGGCGGGACGAATGCAGGAGGGCACCTACATTTTCCACCTGACGCCGCAGCAGGCCACCGAAATCGCCTCGGGAAAAGACATCGTCGGCACTAGTAATAAGCTCGATTATGTTATACAGGTGTGTTTCTCTTTACGCATCCTTTTACTTCTTTGTTTTACCAGTAAAGACAGATTTGAACGTGAAAACTTAGAGATCATGAACGAGCGGAATATTCTCTTGGAACAAACGACTAAATATCAAAAATAACTAATGTGAAGACTTAATTGTACTTGGATTGAATTACGTCAGTATTGCGTGCTAATTATATATCAGTTATCCAGCAACAGGTTGTAAGAAACTGACTGATGGCATAGTATAATATAACAAGTAGTGCAACTCTCGCCTACACTTCGCATGGAGCGTAGGGTTGTCACATTATTATTTTAGTTGTACCTACAAGTTGTAAACATAATTTGAAAAACTTAGGTGTTCATCACAGTATGCTCGTGCTATATTGAGATAACCTTTGTTAAATGCAATACTTACATATTGATATTTTTATGCCATCATCGCGGATTGGTATTTCGATTATTGTAGTATGATTATGAAATGGAACTAAAATGCTGAACAATTTTGAATTTGATGCAGTCTTTTTCAGACAACAATAAAGCGTGAAACACACAGATAGCGGGTGCGCGTCAGGCGCGTGCCTATTTCCCGCGCCCGCGCTCGGTGTATTGTTGTTTATATAAATACACGGAATTAGTAGATCCGACCCGCTCCGATGATGATGCTGTTACGTTGCGGCTATCACAAAATAACTATTTTACGTAAATAAAAGTCGACTTCTTTCAGTTGACACAATACATATAATCAATAAAATGCGTCACCATAACAATCAGAAAAATAATAAAAATATAGAAGATACAAAGGAGTTCGTAACAACGCTTATGCAACATACAACTATTTGAATATTTGATGCAATTTTTTTAACACCGAGCGAACGAGAGCGGAGAGCTTCAACTGTAACTCCGTGTTATCGTCCATATAAATACACAGAATTAGACCCGCCGCGGTACTGACCCGACCGGCGCCCGACCCGCACCTCGCACCGCTCTCTGTGTTTCACGCCGTAACGAATGACCTGCGTTTATACAAATGTGTGCATCTGTGCACGACGCATGGCGGGCGTGCACACATACAAGTCGCGCTGCTACATTTATTTGGAGTTATTAATTTGTTACAGGCACAATTGAGATTCTGTCTTCTTGAAACATCGTGTGAACAAGAGGACTATTTCCCACCTAGCGTTAATGTTAAAGTGAATAACAAAATGTGTCCACTACCAGTAAGTATTTCTTTAAATTTAATTCTTTATTACAATTCACGAAAAGAAAACAATTTTTTTGGAATACCTAACAACTTATATTAAGATAATAATAAACAAGTATTTTGACGGCATGTTTATTAGCCATGAAAATTTCACGTCGTCGGAAGGATGGTTCACAACACACGAAAATCGTCTGAATTCCCTAACACACAGGTGGACTATGGCTTAAACTCTCTTAGAGTGCCTGTACCTGTGCCCAGTAGTGGGACTTCTAATGAGTTGCCTATGGTGATATCGATTTCGCAATTGCTACAGGTTGAAAATGAAATTATTTTTTGGATCTAAATCGCGTATTTTTTTATTTTTTTTTCAAACAAACCACGTTTCCGGCTCATAAAGCCGTCTACTCACGAGTGAGTTGTAACCGTAACTGTTGCATGTTATGTTACCAAAAGTTATGGTGTTGTAACGCGGGCCTCGCGTATTTAAATAGAAGACTCGGACCACATGAATTTTATTGTAGAAATAAGAAAGAAAAAGTACAGGAAGGGAAAAGAACAGGTAAAGGCGTGAAGGCTGTAACAAATAAAATAACGGTATAAAACACTCCCTCACAACGGATTAACATTTAATGTAAGCAAACTTACCCCAAAAGGGTCTTCATAAAAATACTGATGATTTATAAGTAGTTAGGTACAATATTCTTAATGGTAGGTATAATTGATCCTAATTTTATATGAAGTCGAGCGCTTGTGCTCGATTCGGAAATTTGGTAGAGAGTTGCGACGGAAAGAAGAAGAGAGTGACGACTCACAAACGCGCGTTTACGGAATAGACGCTCAAAAAGCAGACTGTTGCGTTTGTATCAATTCATATGCGCGTAAAACGTGATACAGACGCGCGCGAGAAGCGCTTTCGAAGCTTGTCTGTACCGAACGTCGCGTTGTAAGCAAAAAGCTTATAATAATATTAACTTTTGCTGTGATTTTTTTGTCCTTTTCACTCTTCGTGTCTAGAGCAATGCATGCAATATAAACGCCCAAAACCGATTAGTAATAATTTAGTACCGTTACTAAGTAATATCTTTGAAATTAAATATATTTTAGTATATTTTATGTTTAAGACGACGCCATGTGCGTGCTTTTTATAATTTTTTGTTGCTTCATTTCAAAAAGTAACTGAAATTAACAAACAAAACTAAAATTAAAACTGTCTCTTATCAAAATGCGCAATATATACGCGCGGCTACGGCGCGTATACGCGCAGATGACACGCGCGTTTACAACGCCACTGAATTTGTGAACGTGTGCAAAGATTTACTCGCTGCGACTGCATAGCGTTTGAATTGTGTTAACGTGCGTCATCTGCGCGTAATCGACGGGTATAAAATACGCCGTGTGCGTAGGCTCTTACGGTTACAGCTCGCATATGAGTACCCGGCTTAACAGATCACGGCTGACTCAGGCTGACATCGTTGTTGTGACTTCTAAATGGTTTCAATTTCCGATGATTTCATGGTACATTGTACTCAACCAAAAAAAAAAGAACGTGACTTATTCGCCGGTTTTATTACTATATTCGAAATAAATTTCTGAACAGTAATGAATGTGTAATTTCAACACAGAATCCCATACCAACCAACAAGCCCACCCCAGAGCCGAAACGACCACCTCGTCCAGTGAACATTTCGTCTCTCGTCAAACTGTCGCCGACAGTCGCCAACACAATACATGTGACCTGGGCGGCTGACTTCACAAGGGCCTACGTGCTCAGCGTTTTTATGGTGCGGAAACTCACTTCGGCCGAGTTGCTGCAACGATTGAAGAATAAAGGAACCAAAAATCCAGACTATACACGCTCGCTTAGTAAGTATTATTAAAAAAACGTAATCCAAAATCATCGAGTATATAACCACAAATAGAGACGAAATATTCCTGGTAACACATTAGCTATACAGCTCTTATAAATATCAACTCCCGATTGCACTGAAATATAGACAGGCCAACTACTGACCCATGTGTATGTCCCCGTATATTCCAAAAATTATTCTGTATTTATTGTAACAAAGATAATATCTCTAACAATACCGTGCTGTTCTATTCGGTGGTGCGGGACAACAGCAAAACATCTAATTACAAAACAAACGGAATCACATTTCATCCGTAATTAAATATGTAATTTTGTAATTTTCGTCCATTATAGCAAAGCTCAAGTTAACTGTTCGATTTGAAGTGAAACAGTTGACGACACCCGTCAATTGTTTCGAACTCGGGCTAGCCAATCGGAGCGCAGTTGTCACAGTAATGATATGGCAGAATAGTTTTCAAACAAATTAAATGACATTTCCTCTCTGTTTCTGGTTATATACTCGATGTCGAAAATCAAATTTACTTTGACATGCAATACCAATAAAAAAAGTAAATACGAATGAAATACAAGGTAAACATGTCTATGGCCCCGCTATGGAGGGGCTATGGAATATTTAATTTTGGCCGACACTGGTATTCTGCCTTGGCCCATAATGGTTAAGAACACATTAAAAATTAACCACCGTCTCGTATCCACGATCGCGCCCACATCTTAGATGCCTGGCATTATAAGACCACGAGGGCATCTCGTTCCTTCCTTACTCGAACCTGTCAGATGTGGAATGATCTTCTTCCTGAAGTATTATTTTCTTTGCGCTTTTTGGACACTATGTATGAGCACCTGCTTGTTTGCTTCCTTCTTTGGATAAAAATTAAACATAACCAACACTAACTGATCAAACCTGAGCTAAAACGATTTACAATTAGTACTTAAAGAAAGTTTTCTTTTTATCATGTTAAAAACTATTGGGTTGACCAAAAAGTCCGCAAGGGTACGTTAACAAAAATATACTTAATGAATTATGTATTGGCCATGTTGATTTACAATGTTTTGCTATTTTTCAGGTAATTTTAGAATTCCCCTTTCATAAAAATTCCTATCTACAACTCACAAATATGGTTTGACTGTCTGTTTGTTATCAAAGTCGTGCCATTCAAAGAATTTTGTAAAGTTGAAACAGGTTAAAGTCTCAAGGCTGTGTCAGGCGAACATGGTGGATAAAGTAACACATGGGATTAGTTTCATGTGAGGTGGCCGTTGAGATGTAAAGTAACACATCCCAACCTAACAGCGACAGTTTTTGAGGCGCTGTAAATATGTGCGTGGTCTAGCATTATCGTAATCTTTGCAATTCACGAGTTGTCAGTGTTTTTCATGAATTTTTAACTTAAAACTTTCCCGCTTATTCTAAAAATGCGCGCTAAAATATATTTAAAATGACCATTGATACTGATAACATTTTAAAAGAAAAGAGTGTTGTTTTTTTTAATTTAGCTAGTGACGAAAACCGCGCGGCTTTTTTGGCCAACCTATTATTACCTATTATTTATACAAAATTGTTAAGTTCCTATGCGACACTTTACTTAAAAACTAAGTTCTTGACAACATTTTATTTGGTTTTTGTTAATTAAAACCTGAACCTAGAGGTTCAACTGTGTGCTTCAACAAAATTCCGATGATCAGGCTAATATGATACTTTTCCATGCAGTCAAAGAAAAACTATCAGAAGACTACGACAGCGAGATAGCGACGACATCTCTTCGGGTCTCCCTAATGTGTCCGCTAGGCAAGATGCGTATGTCGTGCCCGTGTCGGCCAGCAAATTGCCCGCATCTACAATGTTTCGACGCATCGTTGTTCCTGCAGATGAATGAGAGGAAACCCACGTGGCTATGTCCTGTTTGTGATCGCCCGGCACCTTATGATTCCCTGGTAGTTGATGGGTAAGTGCAGTTATATGCATAAAAACTTGTTAAGTTTGTGATTTTAACCTAAGGTTTACGATATCGCCGTGAATATAGAAAAGAGCTGAATGAAGAAGAAAGAATTTTTGTTTTTTATTACCTGTGGCCGTAGCATATCAGAATATGTGTGATAAACCTCCCCATGACAATATTTAATTCAGTTGATAAATCTAAGTTTGCTTATTTGGTAATGGACTATTGTTATACATTTTGCAGACAAAGACGACGATATTAAATTGCGTATATAGCTATCTTTGTCGTTTATTCATCGCCGCGAAAACGATAAACAAAAAATGACAAAGCTACATTTGCTTATTTGGTAATTAACACTGTTTTACATTTTGAAGAACAAGGACAACGATATGAAATTACGTATAGCTATCTTTGTCGTTTAATCATCGCTGTGAAAACCATCAAACAAAAAATGTTTTTTCACCTCGTTTGTCGCGCTCAATTTTTATAACGTTGATAAAATTACTGTGCAAATGTTTTAAAATCAGCCGTGATCTTGTAGCCGTGTTTGGCACTGTGTTATCTTTTGCAGTCATCGGTCGCCGGCTCTCGCGATGACATGCTCATCATGTGCGCTATTGTAATAAAATTTTAAAATGCCGATTTATCAGTCGAATTTGAGAGCTAAATGTGGATATAATAGCTTTATCGAGGCCGCATGCTGCGGGGGCTGGTCTCTAATATGATACATAGATTGTTTAATAACAAAAAGTTGCTAGGCTATGAATTATGGCATAGGAAAAGAACATTTTTTGACAATACTCATTTATTATTTGGGCTAATTTTGACCACGGCCTGCTCACGTAATTGGAATTTGAATAGGTAATTGGGGTATGTGGAAGTATTTAATACCTTGCCAATTAATAAAAAGTTTGCAGAGTATCTATTGATACGATTGATTGATTTATGAATAAAATAATTTAATTTTTGGTACCTATTAACACTCATTGCTAGATAGGTAATGGAAGATGAAAAACAAAACTGTGTTAAAATAAAAGAAAACATTTTTTTTTATGCTAATTTACTACATGTGTCATCCACCATCAATTTCCGATTCTGAACTTGTATTACTACTCGAACTCCAATGTTTGCAATCTCTCGCTTCAAAAAAAAGTAACCGTAGTAACCGTAAAAAATTAAGTGGCTCATTAAAAAAATCATGTTTTTTTTAATTACATACATTTTACATCGAACTTGGCTAGAGTATACGTAGATATAATTTAGCCCTTAATAACTAATTACTTAGATAATTAGAGATTAGATAGTCAGTTGGAAATTAATCCGCATGCAATAATTGCTAATCACACAGGTATTTCCAAGAAGTGTTGACGTCGTCTCGACTATCGAGCGACTGCAACGAGATCCAGCTGCACGCGGACGGGAATTGGTCCGCGCATGCGCCGCCAGCGCGCGCGCCGCAGACTGTACAGCCCGCCGCAGAGCCTGTCACGCTCATTTCGGATGATCTCGGTCAGTACTACAGAAGTTCCTTCTAGACTTGAATAACAGGGGTATTCTCTGCACCCCAGGACCGATTAGCACTTTCGTGTCAGCCTAGATAAATACCTGTACACTTGAGATTGGATGATCTACATGGTCGAGTGGTTTGGACACCTATTTTTATGGTTCCGGGTTCGATCCCGACCGTGTCAATGTACAAAACTACCTTTTTTATATTGTCTCAGGTCTCAGTGTTTGTAGTACGGGTAATTTTCAGGTTAGTTTTCTCTGTCTAATTTCGGTGGTAATTTTTATTGTTAAAGTATTCGAGTATATTATCTTGAAATATTAAATAATATTTTAGGTTACTACACTCGAATATTAAATAATGCTTCATGATATTATCACAGTACGTAAGATTCTAAAATATTTGAATAATAGAAGTTGCACCGAAATTGGGTAAACTAACCTGATAATTACCCGTACCGTCGTTGTTTCAGATTTACACAACAAGTGCTTTAGTTACTTGCTTCGGGATTAGAGTAATGATAAATATATATGATAAAATAAAAATGAGTAAAGTATGTGATGTTGTCTAATATTTATTATTTATTACTTGACATAAACGCGTCTCTTGATAGGCCTATTATCCTCTACACTGTCTTAGTCAACGTCTGTCACCATACGCGCGTAAGCTTAAAAAATCATGGCAATAAAATTTGCGAGGGATTGAATTTCGTCGCTTAGCAAACGTTCAAGCTCATTTCGAATGATTTTAAAAGAGAGTTAAATAACTACACATATTTAATTGAGTCAAATACATTATGTAACATAATTTTTATTTCTGGGTTCTCGACATATTTCTAATTTATTGAAAAACATTTCCTTTGTGTACAACGACAAGTTGAAATTTATGTACCATAAGGAAACGTACAAATTGTCGGGTTTCTCTTTATTTATACTCCGTCCAACCCTTAGAGGATGGAAAAAAATAAAAGAAAGGAGCTGCCCTAAGTACAGAATCAACGTGCATATTACCAAAATTTGAAAGTTACAAATGGCGGATTTCTTTAGTGTTGTACCATAATCTATCGATAAGTCATTATCGACATGCAAATGTATGGCTTGAATTTTTGTTTCTTTAGTTTACTGTAACCAAAGTATGCCTAAACAAACACAAGTCTGATAATTTAATCTCGAGTGGTATATTATTATAAATGTCAACACACATTTTTAAACTTCAAAAAAAATTTATTTTCAACATTACAACTGGTAACTTATTTAGTAAAAGTCACCAAACTGCTGTGCAGTTTGTTGGCGACATGCGCATTCTTGCTTAATTATACCTACTTTACTTGTATTTAACATTACGTAGTATTAATTGTACTTACTAAATAAAATATAAAAATTACTTTAAGAGGTACGCCTTTAACCTACATTTTAGTACATATTTACATAACGTCTTTTAACTAACCGTCAAGTACAAGTCTATTCAGGTTTCTGCGGATTCTAGTATTCCCGTTAATTCCCGGGCTTTGTTAAGCAAATGAATCTATCAAGCTATTTTAACACAGGAATAATGGAAGTAGTTGTAAAAATCAATTATCGGAAATCAACAATTATCATGTACTAGCTTTTCCCCACGATAAAATCCCCGCAATAAAGTTGCAAAAAAGAAATGACAAAAACGAACGTGGTGGATGCTGATTATTCCAGAAACAGAACAACATGACATTTTGTTGATATATAATATATACTTCTTTATTTTGTGTTTTGATTTTTTTTTTGAATAGAGTTATAAAACCAGTATGCATTTCATATGCGGACGGACTAACGTGTGATCGCTATTGGTCGAGCGCCTTTGGTTTGTGATAAGCTGAATGAACTCTATACACGTTGGCGCTCGCCTTCACTCGGTCAGCTAGGCGAGTGACACCGAACAAGGCAAGGCAACGCAAATAGGCTGTCTATACGTTGGTATGTTGTCATTGTATTGCAGGCTTTAAAAAAATAGTCATTTTTAATAGTTAGAGTTGTCATTGGGAAAAATCAGAAACGAGTGGATAATTTTGTTTTCAGGAACTGAGAATAGCTAGTAAATGAGTCTTGTTTAATCTAAATTGAACATAAAATTATTTACCAATAAACCTAATGATGGAATAGCATTGTCATGTAATCTAGTTACATTTAAAGTTCTGTTAAAATTTGACTCTTCAAAATGAAGCGAACAAATGAAGATGGTCTTTGATCCAACGTTTATATTCGGCAGTCCTATGATTTCCAACCATTCTTTCTTCCTTTTTTCATTTGTAGGAAAACTTGAAATAATATTAATAAAACAATAAAAACCTCGTAGTGAATTGTTTTAATAACAGAATATCGATAATATGTATGCTTACAAGATCAACACTATCTCAAAATAATCGTTAACAACAATCATCAAAATATACAAACAAACAGGCAATCAAAGTAACAAAAGCAAAATTTGGCAAGATTTATAAATAAACTACTTAAATAAGTCTAATTACATAAAATATTCGGGCTATTGTGTGATTTATAGACAAAAAAATAACACATGCCTGTGCAATGTAACATTCGATTGATTTGCAGTTTTTCTAAAACCGCATCCTTTAATGCTGCAGCGTCGCATTTTTATTAATAAATAATTATTCTCACTGTCAATATTTTTGTCCAATTTAATTATAATACATATGAATAATTCAATAATACATTTGGAAAAACATTTGTTTTGACATTTGATGTACTTCCCTTTGACAACGGTATCATGTACCTCGTGTACTTGAAATGGCCACGGTTGGCATTTAAAATGACGTTACGAATTTTCGATTCCCGTGTTTGACACAGACCAATATGTAATGCTATCTCTTTTGGCTTAAGACGGCACGTAATAGTTAAACAAAGACAATAATATGTTTATGTTTTCGACGTCGAAATGCATCATATACATATAACGTCTGATTTATATATGTCAACGTAACATGTCCTTTAGTTTCCATAGTCTAAGGTCCAACCATTTATTTAATTTTTGACATCCGAAGTTCCGTAATTATTGACATACAACCATAGACAAAAAAATGCAATACTTCCTGTACTCTTTTATTTTTTAATTTTAGTGAAGCGACGTGCTCTTTAGCTCCGATATTTATCGAGCCAACAGATTATGTAACAAAGATTATTCAAGTTGATAAATTTTGGTACCTGTCTAATAAATTGTATTGAAATGAAATAAATTATAAATAATTAGAATAAATTCTTATTTTTTATTATAAGGAATCGTCCGATTCTTCTCCATATGAACGGGAATCATCACTTGAGTCCGCCTTAACATTAATGATTAAGTTTTGAGTACATAAATTGTTAAACGCAACATCACGATGCCAATCAGACAATAATCTTCTTTTTTGAACTCGCTCACATTCACAATTAAAACTTCTTCATAAATAAAATCGATTGCCATAAAAAAATCGAATCGGAAACGCACTAGGACATCACTGATTATGTAAACGTGATTATGTAAACGTGATTATGTATGTTACGTGATTATGTAAATACCACTACGACAGCTAAAGCAAAGTGTCAAGAGAGTAGCTACTGTTTTCTACATACTTGCTGCTCCATTAAACAAAAACCAATAGTGTCAAACCAGAAACAGAACCTTTTTCAAAAATTCATCACTGTCATGTCTTCAACATTAGTATTATTAATAGCCTTATCAAATTTCGGGGAATAAGTATTGAAATTGTGGTAACTGTAAAACAGTCCAAGGTGAGAACCCTAAAAATCATATGTGTTTGTTTGTTGACATTTATTCTACGTCAGGGATTCCCAAACTTAATTTTCTCTACTGCCCACTTTGAAAATAACCTATTTTTTAGCGCCCCCATTTTTTCATTTACATAAAAACCACTATAATTTCAAATTAAATTAATTATTGTGAGCTATATTAGCGGAGATTAAACATTCATTCTAAACGAGACTTTTATTATAACCCGCAAGAGTTAACTTGAGACCTGAGCGCAGTAGGTAGTACACAACGGCGCTCAGGTCTCAAGTTAATTACGGGCTACACCTGCCAATGAGAATGATTATTGAAACGCAACTTTATAGTATTCAGACCGAGTATCTTTTATTCAAAATAAAACAAACATAATCGATTCTAATATAAAAACTAATGTGAAGGATAAATGTGATGCTGTTTAATAAGTTTGTTGACATCAGGTTCCAATTTACTCAAGAACAGCCGCAAGTCACCACATTCGGTAACATGCAAACGATTTCTCTTTTTAGTAAGCAGCGTTGTCACAGCACTAAAACCACGTCCACACAAATATGACGATGGGAATGCTATCAAGAGTCGTTGAACGATTAACCACAATCCAGGGTACAATTGCGAGACCGGTTTTTATAGCCAAAATTCTTGGTAGCCATTTTTGAACTTGATTTTTATTTGCTCGTTCGTTGTCAATTCTATAGGTTCTTCTTCCAGCTGAGGTGATATTGCTGTGTTGACATTTGAAAACGGATCCAAAACCCAGTCTGGTATTTCCAAGTTCAAAATGTCCTGGTATCGTTCGGTAAAGTCAATGTGAAGGCTTTCCAAATGTTGGCAGTAGGCAAACAAGTCGTCTTTACTGCAGAATACTGATAAATTCGGAAAATTGTAATACTCACATCTGCCCATATTCTTTTTGCGTAGAAGCAGTTTGGCTGCCAAAGCAGCAACGACATTTTTTGTTTTAATTAAATTTAGTTCGTCACCTTGCAGTTGGAGATTCATGTCGATGAACAATTTATACAGGTCTGTCATGTAAGCTATATCATTTTTTGATGTAATGAGCTTGTTGCGCAATTCTGTATCTTTAGTTTCCAAGAACTCTATCACAGAGTCAAACAGGTTGTAAAATCGAGTCAGACAATTGCCTCTTGATAGCCAACGAACTTCAGTATGAAACAACAAACGGTTGAAATCTTCGTCATTTGTAACAAAAAGCTGATGAAATAATCTATCA